TGCCCGAGAAAAAAATCTATTTTTGGTCTCGTTTTGTTTTGCTTTATACAGAGTTTAAACGACCGTGATTTCAAGTTGGTTTGGTTTAAAATATTTATTCTGAATGATTTTATTTGAAAAGAAAATAATTTTTGTCAAAATAAGTGCAATGCATATTAAAACAACAATATTTAAACAATCATAGCTTCCATATATATCAGGGACTTTAATGAACATGTATCAAATATTAAAATATCGTGTGCACTAGCCATATAGTCGGTATACAATTGACAGGTTACAAGATTAAACAATATCTTTACTGATAATAAACACTCTTCAGAATGTAGGTTATGTATTAGGCGTCTCATACCTTAAGTAACTACTTAAATACATTGATATCGTGCTCATGAGCATATAAGCAGTGTAACAGTTAGGAAAATGATAATGAAGGTGATGAAAATTATAATGACAACAACAAAGACGATAGTGAAAGCGGTCGTGATAATGGTGAAGCCAAAGACGTAAGTGGTGGCGGTCGTGATAATGATGAAGTTGATGATAATAATGAAAGATGAATTTTAGCGGCATAATCATGTGAACAAAAAATAAAAACATATAATTATAAATTCTTTTATAACGCGGTAAAGAATTTGTAAAATAACATTGATGACTGACAACATTAAATGCGGGTTTGAATAAGCTAGCTCTTGTATAACATACTACATTTACGATTGATCACAGATAATTATGTGTTGCCGTTTTTGATGGTATGATTATCTTATCGATTCGTAGTAATGCATTATTGTCCATTCATTTAAAAGTATTCTTTTATATCATTTTAAAAATTATTTTTCATCTGATAAAAACACTATATATTCAGATTATTATCAAAAAGTTTATCAAATTGATATCAAAAAAATCTTCAAAATTAATCTAAGTTCCGAGAAGGGATACTCAAAAAAAAATTTAATCGTTACGCGTTTTGACCTTACAACTGTACAAATTGAAGAGAAAGAGAAAAAAGTCATTTAAAACACACATAACTTTTTATGAGGTAATACTTCACGAGGGTAACCTCGCCCTTTCCGTCTTTATTTTATATTTTTGATTTTTTGACCCGTATTTGAATATGAATGGTTGCTACTGCACGGAAATTAAGTTAAAATACAAAAAATTACAATAAATTGAAACAGTAGAGTAAAAAAGGAGATTTATTTTCTTGATAATTTATATTATATTGTAATAAATAAGTTCCAGTGATATTTCGTTATTGTATCAATTGTTAGCGTTCTCTAGTAGAGACTTTTTCAAAAACAAAGTTAGTTATGTATGACAATCATACTCTTAATACAGACGTCATTGGCTTGGATCTTACCATTGGCTTACCAATGAATATAAAACATCGGCCCTTCATGCATACTTCGGAAAAGAGGAACCGTACATAAAACACGAATAGTCCCTCGTGGCTGAAGTGTTGTACACAAGAATTGCAGACATTATTTAACCCTGCGTGATCGTAAGAAGCGATTAAATGTGTCAGAATAATTGGATCTATGCATCTCTAAGCTCCAGTAGGTGAGGTAGTTTTGACCCCTGGTGCTGCTTTGAAGTTTGTAACACCCGATATTAGCCAAAATACTGTTACTCGATGCTTTTAAAAAAGGAAAATATTTTGCTTTTTCCTAAAAACATTTGTGTTTTTTTAATTTAAAAACCCAAGGGAAAAATTTATTTCTTTGGGACACTTTTCCCTAAAAAGATTTTCTTTTTTTCAGATATTTTTTGTTAAACAAAACCTTTACCTATGTAACAGTACAAAATTGTCAGTCGCATGGTACATCTGAATTAGCAGTAAGAATAACACCCATTAGAAATTAAAATGATTACAAAAATAGGGGATAGTTAATAAATCTCTATCACTTTTTTCCAAAAAGGGTAGCACATGAAGACCGCTATTGTAAGGACACACAAGAGGCAGGCATTTGGCAGACGTGATTGGTCTACAATCATAAATGTTTCAAATATTGATAAAAACAACAGTAATGTACCATTTGGATATTTTTATACAACATTACCTAAAGAACGGAGACGTATAAAGTTATAAGTGATTTAGTATAAACATGTTTATGAATAATAATGTTTTGTTCTAGAACACTTTATTATCCGCTATGTAAATATATGTAATATCAGATATCTCACACTTGCCAACAACATCCATATATAATTCTTTCGCAGTATGTTGTTATGTCCCATACTAAATACTATCAACGTAATTATTTATTGCATTATAGACCTTTATTAAAGAATAATTTACTTAAAAATGCTTAATCTAGGTCCCAAAAAAATCTGTTGACATTTGTCAGAAAACAAAACTTATTCTAGTTGCAGGTATGACTCGCTAAATTATGTTTAGTAAGAAACTAAAAGGACAACGTTATCTTATTCAAATATATATATTTATATATATAGTTAGACGTCCAAAGTACAGAGATACATGATTATATGCGGCTAAAATAAATCGTGGTTTGAAACTAGATTAATCGGTCACGTGGAAATCAGTTCATCCAATAGATTTCTTTTGTTGAACGTCAGTCATAAAGTTCTAGATATCAAAGTTATATAAATGAGTGTGTCTGATTTGTCGAATCATTATTTAGATAGTTAGATATGCATTTTTGTTACCATGTCTTGGAAACAAACATTGGTGGAAAAATGCATAGTTATTAATGGTGCTCCAAGGTACTTAAACAAAAGTCAGCTTAGTGATATCATTCAAAACAAGGCTTCAACAACAAACATTTTATTACATCACTTTCAAGATGTGAACAATTTCGATCAGTGGGTTCTTTGGCTGGACTCAGCAGAAAGTAAGTTAAAGTTTTCTTATGAGTTAACAGTAAAAATCTCCCCCACGCATTCGTTGTCTTTTTTAAAATATCTAAATCTTGCAATCGAATACTAGTAGTAGATCAATTCAAACGTAAAGTGTCTATGTACAAATGTTTTTTATTAACAGTATTTCGGTGTTGAATCATATTTCTAGTTTTGCCATCATTTATATATCATATTTCTATTTTACTATCATTTTTATATTTCATAAATTCTCGTATGCCAAATATAAGAATTTAGAAATAAAACGCTTCTAATTACAATATTTTTCAAATGCATCATGACTCATAAATAAAGAGTGCTTACTTGCTTACGTAAGAAATCACAAAACCTGGCATCATCAGAACAACGTAATAAACAATCATTTTAAAATTCCAGGTTTCATTGTTTCAAATGCAATTTCTGAAATTAATCATGTGAATCTTTGGCATATTCATTTCTGTCTGAAAAGACTTTTAACCGACATGAGGCGTTTTCCTAAGTTTTTAGGTATATACTTATTCCCGATAAATCTTACAATTTGTTTTGTAAAAGTTGAAGATAGTTTTAATTTATTTTTAATACATTTATAAAAGGATTGTGTTCCAGCATGTAGGGTGTCCGAATTTTAGGTCGCTAACTTCAAATCACTTGCCTTCATCGCTGTGGGCTCGAACTTTGGGATTCTTTTATCCAGTTTGCTTTAGGAAAGTAGGTGGTTCTACTCAGATGCCCGTTTGTGCCTGGAGAGGACTCCGAGGTCTCCATCATGAAGTAAAGCTGGAAAGTCGCGATATGGCCTTTACTATGTTGTAGCGACATGAAACCTAGCCCCTCCCCTCCAAAAAAAAACAACAAAAAACAAGTGTTTCTGTATGTATTCACAAGAGTGAGATACAGGTAGCTTACCTTTTGATCATTTTGCGACATACAATTCAGTTATTTCAGTGTGATTAACGAAACACTCAAGATACAATAGTGAAAAACAAAATATTCCGATTATAAAAGTATTGAAACCCTTTTATTCAGATTAGACAATCGTGGTTTCGTAGCAAACCAAAAATACATCTCTTGTTTAAGTGACAATGGTTAACTCTTTTATACATGCATTGCAAGTAGAGCTGTCATCGATAGAGAAAATATCGATGTATCGTTGATATATTTTGCTGATCTATTATCGATACACATTTAAAAAAAAATTGATAATTTTGGATAAATTAATTAAATGTTTAAAAATTATGAAAATTCACCTAAAACATATAGAAGCAGTTATTTATGTCTTACAATATGCTTTTGTTATACAGTGGAAATATTTCATAGCAGTGGTGACAAAATATATTGTCAAAAAATATTGTCTAGAAAAAAAATCATGTAGTGTACAGAACATGTTTTTAACTGAAATCATTAAAACAGGTATGAACGTGAATGACAGATAAGTAATTATAAGTTATTATCGATATATCGGTGAATTGTTGATTTTAGTCATCTGATATCGATTTATCGTTGATATGCTTTGCACTGAATCAATGACAGCTCTAATTACAAGTTATTCGATCATATAACATTAAGAGGATATTTTTTCGTTTGAGTGAAATATGGAATATATTTTCACGAAAAATGATAAAATGCCACATATTTTCACGAGCCGGGATTGTGATTAAAAATATGTGTTTTTTTATCATGTTGAGTGAAAATATATACCATATTTTACGAAAAACGAAAAGTTAACATAACCTTTTTATTTAATTTCAATATCAAAGAAAAATGGTTACGAACTCCCTTGCTTGCTACGCAACTGCAATCATACAGCGCGCAGTAATAAAATTATTGTCTTGTTTGCATGCGATATTAAGCGTTACATGGTGACGTCACGTAAACAACTCTTTAAACGTCTGTACAGCTTTAATGACTGAATTAAAGATATTGGTGTTCGGATTAATTTTAATTTACAAAAGTTGTTTTGCATTTAACAAAATGGCGAAAGAAGTCCCTCAAAATAACTCCGCCAATTTTCATATTTAATTTTCATATTTATCTTTTACAAATATGAAATATATTTGAATGTTATAGCACCATATTTCATGGGCAAAATTAAATAATATTATATAATTTACTACTTTTTATTTTTCTTATTTCATAATAAATTTTGTTTTCCAGTAATGTTGCTTTTGCCACTTATTAATGTTGAAAGGACATTTCACCAAAATATTCAAAATATAATATTATCAATAGCAATAACTATCGTTAATCCTACTTGAAGTATTTCGCATGCATGTAACTTTAAATTACCTTCTGTTTGTGTCATCAAATTTCTGGATATATTTTTCTCAAACATATGGTGATTTCGTTCTTGTTGCTTACAGGCAAAAGAGTTTACTGAATAAGTTGGTTAAGTATAAGTAGATATGAACGGGACATGATAATAAGTAGCAAAGTTAGAAATAGAGTAAAGGCCGATTAAGAAAGGTTTAATTGTACCTAGTTTATATCTTTATTCTAGTTACATTCTTGATAAGGCCATCACCCTTTAAGTTGAAGAAATATGTCGTTAAGGTATATGTAGTTTCATTTTGAGTTGCCTGTCTCTCTATCAAACGAATGGGCTCCGCATCACTCAAGTACGTTTAGCAGTAACTTTTATATATCAAATAACAGGAAAATGTTTCAGTATCTAACTAAAGTTGGTTGTCAATAATCTTGTACTTCTACGAAATTTGCAATTTTCAGGGTCAGGTACTTTTATCGGCTCATTTTATCACTCAAACGGTTTCAATTGTTAAGTCAAGTTAACTAGATAGCTGATATGAAATGAAATGTTGTCTAAATATAGCAGTTTCATTTTCTGTTCCATTTAAATTGTGTTCGTCCTAAAATGTTACACGTATCGTTTTCTTGTATAAATGGTATTTTGAAACAAAGTTCCAAAGTAATGAAAAATTTAATAACATCTTTATAGGCAATAGAAAATAAATAACTAGATTCTCATCAAAATTTTGGAAATAATTGGGCGAGTTGGTTGATTTTATTTTTATAATCCATTTTCAGTCTGGAATTTCATACTAAGAGGTCACTATTTGTAAATTTGTTCTATTATATACTATTCAGATGCTAATATTATGTGACTGTAAAATATATAGATTCAGATTGAGAATAGAAGCAACATGATAATATCTTGATTGTTATGATCTGTTTTAATTAAACTTCCATATAATGACATCAAGCAAATTGATGTTTGGACAAAAAGAACCAATATATTCATGTATTGTTACGTAAAAGATATCTTGTTTTACTATCAGCAAAGATAAGTGTAATATCTTTCAATATCAATTCAATAAGTACCCTATTTCTGATAATATTGAGTTGAACAATGAACATAATAATTATATATTTATATTATATTGAAAGAGTGTATATCCATACAAATAGCGGAAAAAAGTAAAATAAATGAAGAGAAATATATATATGTTCTAAATTTTATAAAAGAGCGAAATAAAGATGTACTATGCAAATGGCAATCAATATTACTTTTTCTGGAGTTAAGTCTCTTAAAGATTAATTAATCAACAAATGAAGCTACACAGAAAGAAAATTCTATTTATATATCACATGGCAAAATAATAACGTCTAACCTATTGAAAATTTGGCAAAGAAAGTACAGAAATTACCTATTGCATTAAAAATTTATTTGGCATTTTACATTTTGTATTAAAAATCTATCTTATTTTCACTTTTTTGCCATGAGTAGATATTATAAAGAGAGCAGCACGCTGACCGCGGAATTCGAAATTATTTTTTTCAGCACACTTTGGTTTAAATATGGTCCAGGTGACTTATTTCAGGCCCTGATATTTCAAGTATAATATTGTAACAACCTGGGCGAATGTCAAAATAACCACATTTCATAGTGTGGCTTTCATTGAAGAAACAAAACAAAATATAGACCATAGAAATAATCAGGGTCCTTACTAGGATTTTCAAAATCCTGAGACTTCCTAGCCAGAAAAAGTGGGAGGCCCAAACCATGTTGGATATCTTTATCAGTCTTTGCTGCATTTTTATAATTGATGAATATTCACTTTACTGTAAAGAAGTGCTTGAAATTGTGTCAAAGATAATTTCATAAACCTTGTATCATCAGACCATTCTGCTGTTTTCTTCCCGATTAAGACCAAACACAACTCCCTTAAGAAAATATCCATTGTACAAATATACTTGCAAATTTCTCATTCTAAAGTACGTAAGTAATTTTAATCAATAATCTATATTCAATGTGTTATTGGACACATTTTAACAAAACTAAGCTTACTTTTGGTGACCTCTTTTTCATTATAAAAATAGGCGTCGCGTAATAAGTGACACATGGAAAATGAAAAAAATGTCTTTTTCCTGCATAACCATTCACAATTCTAGATGTTGATTTTGATTTTACCAGATTAATCATTTAATGATTATTTTTAGATTGTTATTCATTTTTTTTAAAAGCATTGGAAAACAAAATTTCCAATTTGCAAATTAAGGCTAATTTTACTCATGTTGTTTATCTGCTGTCTATTTATCTTGTCTAAAATTGGTCTTATGTTGGTCAATATCGTTTAAGTTATTTAACAAATTTCGTTTTAACTATCAAAACAGGTTATCTTTAGCTCTTTGATTTTAATTTGGACCCGAGGATTGACGGTAAGTAATTTTTTCTCGGACCACATGATCCGAATTTTATTCAGCCAGGACCGAGACCGACGGACTTTCCACCGCACAGATGATGAGCATACACTTATATACTTTCAGTACTCGGCATTTGGTAATCAAATGTTAAGTTCTAGCTATATTTTTTTTTTCTGCGGAGCACTTTTTGGCGGGCGGGTATGAGAATCTGGGAATGTTACGGGTCTAGTTTGACTTGGTTGTTCTTAGGCTTTAGTGATAAGTTCAAACTGAAATGGTGTATTCGCCGTGTATTTACAAGTATAAACAGTTGTACGTTTGAAAAAAACTCCATTATGAGCATAACTATTTGCGAAGCTCGACAATTAAATTTTTTATGCAAAAAAACTTAACAAGTTGCTCTTCTATATAGAAAATAATGGGGTATACATATATTATTTTGTATTGAAATGGAGTTTGTCCGAGTACAAGTGAACATGTACATGTCTCACATAAATATTTATCAGCACATTTCAACGATCAGTTTTCAAACTGATTACAAGGTTCAAGTGTTCTATATCTAGATTTAGATTTGTTAGCATTTATCCTAATCATAATTGATTCGAGCATATCTATGTAAAAATATGCATGTAAATTTACATTTGAATTTATAAAATTCTATCAAGATAAAACGTGTTCTGCTGTTATGTACACATACATGAATTTATCGCTCCTGATTATTATCATCATTGTACTACTTACTGTAAATATCAAACATCTATACTGTAGTTCATGAACATTATTTCACCAGTTAGGTATAATACATTGGTATTTCGTTCTTTAAAAAATGTTTGAGTCATTTAAAGCGTTCTTTATAAGATTTTAAACAAGCGATTATAACAACATTTATACAATATGTGATCGAAATCTGTTGTGTTTCAAAATTTCAATACGAGACAATTACAAGAAGGGGGATTTCGAAAAAAAGAAATAATCACGTTCTCACGTGTATATATAACGTAGGAATGTTTTAGTTATTACGTACATTTGCACTCGCTTAAACGTGTGCATGTTATACCGAACACATGCGGACATGTTAACTATGCATACATACTTATAAGTGTCACGTGCACACGTTTGCACATTCATGTGTGATTGCTTAGTCGTGCACACGTAAAATCTTATATGTAATAAACGCGTGCGCATGGATTCTTATTTGTGCGCAAGTTAGAATCAGCGTTTCAGATGCCTGATGCTGTCGACATTTAGTACGTTCTTACTTTTGAGGAGCTTTTTCCACCAGTTGTCACGAAACTAAGTCAGGATGTTTGTTGTAGCAATTGCTCAGGGTTGTTCGGATATGGGCCATCTTTGATTAAAAAACTAAGTCACATGACTAAAAAAATAAGATAGACGTCTTGCCAAAAGTCTAAAGGCTGTTGTTTCTATTCAAATATGCTTAAGTTCAATGTTAAACATGATTTATGCACGGTGAAAAAATAGGTCTCAATATACATTCGCCTTTATTTAGATATAGATATGAGTGTTGCTCAAGTTTATGTATGGTTCATTTAGGTCACAAAACCCAAATATGACAAAAAAAATTATAAAAACATCAAAGTAAATTGCCAGCCAAAATACCCTAGAAATTTTCAGAAAAAGTGTTTTATGATGATTTCCATTTATTGATATCAACTGAATGAATATCGCCTTTCTTTGTTGATCTTTGTTCTCATGTCATATTGAGTCTTTTATGTAGGTTAACATTTGCACTAATTCAGATAGGGATATGAGTGTTGCGATATAAGTTTGCGATATCAGTTTATGATAAAGCCATTATGTTTGCGTCCAAAGTTAACGCCTTAAATAATCAATGAGTCGTATAAGGGTTATTATGGTTATTATTTGTTTTGACTAAAATCCTAAAGATAAAAATGATTAATGCTATTTCTTTTCAAAATTATCGTTCATATATTTTGTTGGTTTTGTAAGAATATGCTTGGAGAATTAAACAAGGATCTTGTAAATTGAACACTTCTCTATCTTAATCCTTAAAGTGACAAAACGGTTTATTGCAAGCATATATTTAATCAATATTATTTTTGGTTAGTTCAACCGACATGGTGATTGCAATAATATTAATTTCAAGCAACTAGAACTAGTGCTGGTAAAGGAAAATCCAAAGTACCTTATTCGTCCATTTCATCAGTATCAAAGTAGAACCAACAACCTGTAGGCTAGACGGATAGTCTTTTAAAAAGTACTTTGGCACAAACCATGCCATTTGAAGGACTAACTGGAGCACAAGGAACTACTGCACCAAAGCATTGTGCTGGATTGGTCAATGATAGATGTCGTATTATATTGAAATATGTGTCCTGTGTAAAACAAGTATTAGGTATTAAAAGTAACGACGTCTACAAACTGATTTGTAAAATAAGCTCAGTATGCATATTTATTACATAAAAGCTCAATGAATATCACCTTTCCTTGTTGATCTTTTTTCTCATCCCATATTGAATCGGCCGTATGTTAAGTTTCTCTTCCATTGCTTCGCGCCTACAGGCGCGTAGCTATATGTGTTTATTTTTTTGTCCATGGACCCGATTTTTACCAATTAATCCCTTTGATTTACAGCTAAAAATATAAATCGGAATCAAGAACTCCTTCCGATTTCTATTATGTACAGTCATATATTGGTTTCCCCTTCGGTGATTCGCATCATGTCATTTTAATGAATGAGAACGGGATGAAACGCCTCAGCCGCTTGGAAGGCAGTATAAAAGACAATACAAAAAATAAACTTAAATTCGGTTATTGATTTCTATCATTTGTATCTTCTACAGGAAATTTCTTATTATTGTGTAGTATACAGTGGGTTTTGTAAGTATTTTATTGAAGCATGTAAATAACATACTGGAGAATTTTGCAGGAAATAAAATGCAAACATATTCAACAATAAATTGACCATTTAAAAATTTACAGAGGCCATTTTTACGAGTTGTTATATCATAGTATTTTCATTTTGAAAGGTTCTTTCCGGTACATTATAGCTCCTATATTTGTAAGGACCCTGATCGCACGTCTGACAGTTTTAACGTAAATATTTAAACCGACCCTGATTTCCCGTAATTTTTCTGTAGGAAGTTTATTCTATTTTGTTTGACGGCATTAAACGTTTAAAACGTGTTTGACGGTTTTATGGTTGTTTGAGTGGAATGTTGATTTGCCAAATACTGTGACATTTTAACGAAAGAAATTTTCGTCTTCAGTTTGAACATGAGGGTTTATACGAATGTGTACATAGATGATTGTGACGCAATTCAACAAAATAGTAGATAGATCGCCCAATAAATCAATTAACAATAGCTCTTTGTATATCACCAATGTCCAGTAGCTTATATCTTTGACTCGCACGAACATGATGTTAGTGCACTGTTAGTGAATTTCCTCATATCTGTCTGAACTTCAGGAAACAGTCGTCAATTATATTGATAAATAATGTTTCACCATATGACGTGTTCAACAAACAAAATTTCTTAAAATTTGGTCTTTTGAAAAAAAATTCCCATTTTTTCATTCTAGAGTGTATTCTACCTGGGACATGAATATAACTACATGTACTGTATTTTTTAAATCCTAGGTATTAATAGAAACGCTTGTTTAATTTGACATGAACAAAATGCATGTAATACAATCTATTACTATATTATTCCCTATTGTTACTATTTGTATACTTGTTACAATTATAATAACAAAAAACAGACTTTGTTCATTTTGACTACTGTTTTGTATGTTCCAATATATACAATTCTGGTAAAATCCGATAAACCATTGAAAACTTTATAAGAATATTTAGTCATCAGATGTCTACTTGTTCATCTTTGCTATATTTTTTGCCCTTTGATGTTTTGCATCAATGCTTTTCTTGTTACATTTGCCGCTAAACAACGATATCTTGAAAAGTAAAGTCGATGAAAGTTTTGTTCTTGCTTATATGGATTTTTATATTTCTTACCATGATAAGTTGAAGATATTTGTAGAAATGAGTAGAATTATAGGTGAAAAAGAAAATGTACATGCTTTGATATTTTTAGCACCTAATATTACTGACTACAGTAGTGACACGAACAGAACAATGTTGCACATTACATTTACAAGTCTTGTTAGTCTTGTTGTATTCAATGAAATTACATGCACTTTCCTTCCCAGTTGGGCATCAGTAAACGCATATTTATTTTTTAATTTAATAACTTGCCCCTCTCTCCTTGACAGTGCATACGATAAGTATAATTATACAAAAAACGATTTCCAAAACATCTGGAATAATGTACAATAAAACTTAGTCTAAATAGAATATGACCTGTGCGTAGGAATAATTTGGTAACGTATCTGTAATGAGCGCATTTTTTGCGCGGAGCTTCTCAATTTCAGCATTGCAGCAACATATGTACTTGTTTTGCTATATTTTCTGATTTCAGCGTGTGTTAAGACATGTAAGAAAACACACTATATGTATACGGACTACAAAATAAACTTTACATAAAAATTATCCAATGTTAAACACACAAAGAATTTTTGTGAAGTAATGGTTTTTGTCAATGAACATCAGAAATAATGGAAAAAGTTTGACCAAGAAATTTTGCATCCCAGGTCTACCATACAACAATATGTAGTAAAAGGTTTGCAGGAAAAAAGAATGTAGCAATTCTAAACTCACCTTATGTTGCTACAAGATGGAAAAAATATCTGAGATTTCTATACTGGAATCCTATATTGTGTATGAGATTTACTATTTCATCTGTTCACTATTTTTCAAATATATATTTATCTTACAAAGTTGACTATCTCTAAGTACATATCAAAAAATGTTGACAAGAATTATTTTACAAAGACCGTCATAACAACTCAACAACTAAAGTTCTGTTTTCATACATAAAATATTAAAACATTTCCATTGAAGGCGTTAACTACCTTTGTGATGAAATTCAAGAAGAACAATTTACTTCCGATGATGAAAGCTATACAGTTACTTTCCTCAGATGTGACGAGTCTAACATACCCGAAGCTTGGCTGGTGAGTGAGGTAACGTAATGTTCTGTTTAATACATAAACTATATATAAGTTTATTAATTAAAAAATAAATAGATAAGATAAATAGTGTCATTTTGTCATCAGAGTGTCTTCATCAGACCAGCAATTTCGCTGATATTGTTTGAAGATGAAAATATTTAAGAACATGCGTTAATTGATATGTAACATTATATGGTAAAACTAGATGAGTGGTAGTCGACTTTAAAACATGGAGCTTCAATAAAAAATTTGATTGTATTCTTACTAGGAGCTTGCCGGCAGTAGCAAAGAGTTTGGTGACCATCATGATAAAGGTATGAAATGTTTGATAACTGTTCAGTGAAACAAAACTTACTCTTTGTACTCGTTTTCTCCCTTTTATTTTTATTAAGAATAAAAGAGTCATTTGAATTTCTTTTTCTACTTAATTGACATTTAATTAACAATAAGCATTTCTATTTAAGTTTTGGATGATTTAATTCGTGTATTGTATTTTGATTTGTTTTTATAAAGGTAATAATCATAATGAGGTTGTACAAAATTATCTGTAATGAACGAAATGTGTCTAGTATTGGTAAAGGTTAACACAATCATATCAACCTTATATCAACTTCATATCAACTTTATTTCAATGTTCAAGGTTCTTTTCTTCGTTCACACACAATCGAAAGCACATTTGGGAAAGAATCACAACATCAACAGAAACAAACACCAATTGTAAAAACAAAATTATCAAATCTGCCAGAAGATACTGATACCGAGTTTCTAGAACTGTTTTTGGAGCAAGAACTAGGAAATGGCATTGACATATTATCAATAGAGTTATGTAAAAATGGAACTGAAGCAATTATAGAATTCGAAAATAAAAACGGTATGCAACAATATATTTGTTCTTAATCAATGTTTAACTTAGTAAGTAAAAGATGTCTGCTATTCTGTGTTGAATGAACTTCTTCAATGCATACAAAATTTGAACAGGTATGAGCCAAATATCTAATGTGATAAAATTATGAAGTAGCGAGCATACGTCTGTGGCAATACATTCTTTAAGATGGGGCTTTTATAAAGAAAAATACACCATTACAACTATATTAATGTACATGTAGTAATTATTTTTTTCAGTGCATGATGTATTAATGAAAAGACAACCTTTAGACGTGGAAGGTCAGAAAGTATTTGTAGAACTGATAAAGTCACAACCATTAATACAGGGTGACCCTAGATCAATAGAAGTATCCTCAGACAAAGGCGTTATTACTGAAAGAACTGCACGAACTATTCGCATGTATTTTAGCAATAATGGACGTTCCGATGGGGGCAAAATAGTTGAATTCAAATTTGAAGAAACCACAGAAATCATTCTTATAACATTCGAATCTGCAGAAGGTAAATTGCATTAAAAAACTACATTATTGAATTGAGTTTTATTTGCTATGCATAATGTTATAAATCTTCAAAGTACTCCCAATAGCACATGATAATACATTGGTAAATACTATTTATTTTTAGTTGCAAAAGCTGTATCTGAGCGAAAAGATCATAGATACAGAGATGCAATACTGAATGTAGTTTTGATAGATGAAGACTTGCTGAAGAAAAGAGCATACGAAGACTCTAAAAGTATGAAATCAAAAGCAGTACGGATCACAAATCTACCCCATGAAATCGACAAAGATACTCTCGAAGTGGTGTTTGAGGATGTTGAAACATTTGGAGAGAATATTAGTGTTGTAGATGTTCAACTAGATCCTGAAAGTAGTAGTGCTATCATAGAATTTTCAGAAACCGATGGTTAACTTCTATTTTTTCTTTTATTGTTATAATAAGCATTTTATAATCATTGTTCTTTTAATAAATCAGTTTTGTTCTAATGAATGTTTTACCTGAGGCCAAGGCGAATTGTCCCTTGACGAATCAAATGCAGTTGTCGATCGCCAAATTTTTTTATATATTCTATTTTAAATTGTAAAAGTAAATTTTGAAGCCATGACAATATTCAGCTACGCGGAAATTTGAGTTGTGCAGTGATTCATCTACTAGTGGTAGTATTTAAAAAATCATGCATATCAACAAGACAAATCAAAAGTTTAAAAACTACCATTTGGCTAAAACTATGCTCAAAATTATATTATACACGTAATAAAAATGACAACAAAGATGAAGAAGGTTAAGCCCTCAACATGACCTAAAAGCTATGGTGAAACTTAAATAGATATAATTATATGATTAAGTTTTTATTACATTATATAGGTTTTATAAATTGTAAATTTCTATGTTCTTCATTGACTGTTTTCAGTCGTTGAAAGAATTCTTCAGAAGAAGACTGTCGATGTTGAGGGACATACAGTAAATATTGAAGCTTTTAAAGAAGTCAATCGAGAAGAACCTTGTACTGTTGAAGTAACAGGACCAGCAGATTGCCTGACAGAGAATAACATAAGAGCACTGAAAATGTATTTCAATAACAAGAAACGATCAGGGGGAGAAGATGTTATAAATTGCTGCTTTCGAAAACCTGGCTTAGTTGAAGTAACATTTGAAGATAGCAAAGGTAATAAAAGGAAAAAACAATATAAAACAGATCAACAAAATCAATTTTTTGATGACACGTCGAACATTTGATTAATCTGTTAATTAATTTTAATTGACACGAACTTATTTAAAATAGATATGTAATGAAAGATATTTTGATTTATTTACAGTTGCAAAACGTGTTGTAGAATGGGATAGCCACCGGTTTAAAACATCAAATATTCATGTGAATGTAAAGGAAAATAAATCTGATGTTCCAGACAAGTCTAATAAGTTACTTTTCTCGGGTGTTGATGAAGCAATTAAAGACGTTCTTGTCCTTTACATAGAAGATATGTTTGAAAACGTACACGTTAAAGCTGAAATTCCTGGTGATGATGAATCAAAAGTTATACTAGAATTTGATGACTCAGAAGGTATTGTTTCTTCTTTTGGTATCTACATGACGGTTCAAATAAAGTTGTGAAAGACATTGTGTTAAGATATTTTGATCTAGTGTGTTTGGCAAATATAGTATTATTAGTCATACAATCTTTGCATATTTCACGAAAACAAATCCGCGTGTCCAGCCATTAGCTGACGCCAAACAATCACAGTTTCGGATTTTAAATTAAATAATATCTGCCAGTAAACTTTATCAGTTATTGACAATACGTCTGAAGGCAATAGTAAAAGTGACTTACCGTGAGCCAACAGTCGCATTCTCTTATGGATTTTCAGAGTTTTATTAATGTTGATGTTAACAAAAAAGAGCTCAAATATATCTAATCTCTGAATGTCTTTATTGAGAATTGTATTTAAAAGATACATATGTAAGTAAAATATAATAATAGAAGAATCCATATTTAGAAATAGTAGAAGATGTTGTCAGGTCATGAGGAATCGTAAGGATTCTTTTGGTAAAATGAAGAAATACTGTTGGATTATTATGATATGGTATAATTAAGATGGTGGTTGTATAAGATACTTTTTTGAATAATGTTTTTTATAAGAAAGGTGCTAAACTTATTTTGAACAGAAATAAAACGTCAACACAATCTTACAACAGTCTCATTTATTATAGAATATACTAAATATGAGACTAAGAACCGACAATGCTTTTGTCATGATTGTGATGTCTTGTTCACCGTTTCCTTGGCAAGTTTGAGTCATTTGTCCTTCAGAGTATTTTTTACACGCATGGCTTTAAGCTCCTTCTAAAATCTTCTTTAGCTCAAAAGTCCTTAAATCTATACACTCAACTTTGGCATAAATTTCATAACTTTCCTTTTGAAAATCAAGTTAAATCACATGCCTTTTTATAGGCTATAATACGACTGATAAAGAACCAAATACAACGAATAACATGTGCATGTACTAAAAAGTGCACGAATTTCTTCCTGTTTCCTCTTCTTTTCAAAATAAGTTGGTCACCTCTTGTAAACTTATATAAGAGAAATATTATTCGGTAAAATATGTATTGGGTACAGAAATGAGTCGGGGGTTTTGTGCTTTTGTGATATAATTGGTTATTTGTCAATCCCATTCAGATTAATTGATACAATGTGCGACACTGATGGGTAAATCATTTTCAATTATTTTATTTTCATCTTAATCAACGTAGGCAACATACTAATTCATTTGACGTGATTTCAATAGTAAAATAATAAACACAATAGAAGTGCGTACTACACAAAAAGAAAACGTAAAAAAAAGTTAAATGGGCTGTACACATTGAATATTTTACAAGCTTAAAATTATATAAATTGTAGGCGCCAAAATCGTTTTGCAAAAACAACCATTATGTATCGACGGGCATGACGTCGGCGTTTCGCTGTATACAGATGAACCAGAAAAACAATGTACGATACAAGTTCAAGGTCTTCCAAATATTGATAAGAATATTGATGCTTTGAGAATGTATTTTAAAAACACCAATCGGTCTGGAGGAGGAACTATCGTTGATTGTGATTGCAACATAGAGAGAAATATTGCATTCATTACTTTTGAAACGGAGGAAGGTAATTTACACTGTTATATTTAGATAATTGAAGGAGTCATTTTTGGTTAATTGACAAAAATGTAGTCAGACACTAATAATATAGAGGGATATGAAACTCTAAAAAAACACATTTTAACGTCATTACTCATTATTCCTTGCGCCTTTATTGGTCATTGAAGTTGGTGGACATTTGCATCTTGTTTTATGTAACCAAATGATATTACATTTTCATCCATTACCGATAATAATTTACATCTGCCCGCACTTTATGCTTTCTTATATTGTTGCAACTACTTTTTCGCTACTTCTTACGATTCCCGTAACAAATGCAAAATAACACGGAGGTACATATCGGAGAAAATAGTATGTCAAACACGTCAGAAAATAAAGAGATACAGAGGGATAAGGTCTTGAAAAATCTCATGAAAATATCAACTTGCGGGAAACTTATTTACTGATATAGGTTTTAAGAGAAAAACGTCATAGCTGCCTCTCCTTTTGAATAAAGCTCTATGATATATAGTACCAGTTACATAAAGATAACTATTTACAGTCAACTATCGTTATCTCGACATCGCTTTTCTCGATATTTCGTTATCTCGATTAAATTCTGAATTTATGTATATTGAAAATATTTCTTTATCTCGATATTTTTATTTCGATTTTTTCAGTATCTCGATTTGATATTTCAGCCCCAACAGTTATTTTCACACTATAATCCATTGTTTATCTCGACAAATAATTATTCGTCTGCCCCCTCCCGCAGAGGTGTGAAAAACACCAAGCGGACGGTTATCGCTCAAAGCGCGTGTCATAATAATTGATGATGATATGTTTGTAACAAGTCAGGGTGTTTTGAAATAATTGTTAATTAGCGTGTTGATTGACTTATGTCGAAAATGAGTGAATTTGATCGAAAAATCGGTAAATTAAATAAACGTGCTAACTATTAAAAAGTTTTGTGCTTTTATAAATGTGCTATTACTCTCACAAAAAGATTGCTATTAAATGTTTTCATGTAATTTATATGTGTTATTATATTGCAATGTAAAAATACAAAATAAATAAAGTTAGAGTGGTGTATTACTGAGTAAACCTCACTATGTGTCAATCACATAGCACCTAAATGCTGTATTTCCGCTGGTAAACATCCGCTAAATTATGTAACGAACTGTTAATTTTTATTATAAGGATTGACACAAGATAATGAAACATCGTACTTATTTGATTAATAAGGTATGCGCATGTCTTCTGTAAAAATTAGTTTTTGACAGGTTCAAACCCTCATACGTTTATCTCGACATTTCGTTATCTCGATATTTTTTTGACGGTCCCGAAGACTTCGAGATAACGACAGTCGACTGTATAATAATCATAATTGAATTGATCCTCTTTCAGTCGCTCATTCGGTTGTAAATCGTCCAAACCATGAGTTAAAGGGTACAATGTTAGAGGTGACGCTATGTAACCTAACAGAAGCTTTACAGACAAATCACGTCAATGAAAATGAAAGCACCAGAAAGATACTCATAAAACAATTACCCGAATCAGTTGACAAAGAATTTTTGGAATTGTTTTTTGAGGATTTCGGGGATTCTCATGACATGTTGGTTGAGAACGTTGAAATAGGCGTTAACAAATCTACAGCTATAGTTGAATTTCATGACGAAGCAGGTAAGTACGTAAATATTTCAATGCTATGATAAAAAATTGTATACTTATTTCTACATTTGCTTTTTATAAAGTTAATGCCATAGTCTGAATGATGCTACTTAATTAAACTTTGGCGCTAAGGTATTCTTTGACAGCTCATACAATACATATTTTGAACAGAAACAAATATGGACTAATATTTCAAATTATGTGAACCACGATGGAATAATGATAAGCTGACTGTCCAGACACTTCCATGCTCTTTTCTGTATGTGTTGTCGGGTTATGTACATTATGTTGTCGCTATGTAATTTTGTAATGTATTTCACCTTTTTCGCTCCCCACCTTTAACTTGTTTCCCATTTACGCTCCATAATTGCCATACAATACAGTTTTACTGACTCTTTATTTGGCTTTAACTTATCTCAGTCTTTGATGTTCGCCCGCCATTACTTCCTGATGTTTCATGATGTTACGGGGCTGCATTTCGTGAATGCTCTTCATTCAGATTTTTAGTCTCTTATTTTCAGTTTTATTTTGTAGCCGTGGACTTTGTTATGAAACAGACTCCTTTGAAGATGAAAGAAAACATTGTTATTATTGAACGCTACAGAGAAGAAGAAAAAGACCTTTCTTCAATAGAAGTTCATGGTATCACCGACATGGAACGAAACCTTGAAAAAGTGTTACTTTATTTCAAAAACAAAAGGCGTTCAAATGGCGGGAATATTGTAAGCCATCACGTTGATGCAGTGAAAAATATAGTTTCCATAACATTTGAAAGTGGAGAAGGTTTGTATATGTTATATATGTACATGTTCTTTGGTAAGAATATTTTGTCTAAATAAGTACTATGCAATGTCTGCAAATTCCAAAAAAAGTGTAAACTCTAAAGAAATTAGATTGTTAAAAATATTTTTTGCTTGTACTTCAAGATTTAAAGAATAATTTATAAATCAACCTATCTCGTTATCACTAAGATTATGAATAAAATTGTGATATAATACTAAAACTTGATATTATAGTCGCAGAAAGAGTTGTTTCTCGTGACCATAGTCAACAAGGGTATGAAGTAATACTAAAAACAGACCAAGCTAATGATGAAGAATGTCCGTTGCAAACTATCGATACTGTGAAAGTAAGAGGCGTTGACAAAACAGTATCATTAGAAACGCTTACATACTACTTCGAAAGTAAGAGACATTCTGGAGGTGGGCCTATTATTTCTATTCGCCGGAGTGACGAAGATGAAAATGTTGTATTCATTTCTTTTGAAGATCCAAAAGGTGATATATTTGAAAAAAAAGATTTTTATTCATAATCTATGAATCTATGATTATTCAACCAGTGTATTAACGACTACAATACTATCTTTCCCATAACTTATATAATGTTTATAATTCGGTGTGTTCATAATGGCCTTGTTATTGGGCTGAATACTTGCATATTAGCCTGAAAACACTTAATTATTGACACTTTTATTAATTAATACACATAATGTAAAAATGTTACTAGTAAGTACCTTGTTAATAAAAAAATAACTAATGTGAATTTCCGTTGTTGTGGGATATTGCAAAGGAGATTCTTGTTTTAAAAATGTCTCGGAAACCTACCTTGCTGCATTTCAAAATGGCGACTTTTTCAATGAAAAAAAAGCAGATTCATAATGGCCGAGCTGGAGAGCCGAACAAAATTCTCCAATCTCATAATAGCCGTTTTTTCTCATAAAGGCCGTACTTTTTGCATAATGGTCTCGTTTTATGATCATAATTCGTGGTGAATTTCATTTAAGTCTTGCATTTGAAGTTAAAACGTGCCTAATATTGAAAAGTTATTTAAAAATTCTATATACTCGTAAAATGTGTTTTTCGTAATGATTATGTTTACACTGGTTTTGTAACGCGACTTGATCTTTCAAATGTCTCCTATATATTTTTATACACCAACATACATTTAAAGTAATTAGTATTGTTATGGCGCATGATTCTGAACATTTTATAAACATGCATGTTTATTCTCAAACGCAAGGAAATATCAAGCCTATGCTTGTATGCTTTTAAAAAAGAAAACTGATGACAAAACATGTCGTACCATATTGAATGTAGAAGCAATTTTTTAATAGACTAGGTGTAATAATACACTCGAAAGACCTTTCTGTTTCATAAGGGAATAATGTTAATTATGTTAAGCGTGTCTAAATTATATATATATATATAAATCAAGTTGAGATCATTTCATAACAGTAAACATTTACGGTAAACACCTTTTATCAATAATTATCATCATACATATAAATACATTGAATTCATATAAATACATAAGCCGTTCGGCTGTTTCTTTAATATATTGTTGTGTTTTTTTTCTGCTATGATCGAAATCTTTTAATAAATATGTTGCTTCCTATCCTGAGCAGAAGGATTTTTAGATTGTAAATTAAAGTATGTGATCAACACTAAGAATCTCATTGGCCATTCTAAATATGTATAATAATATTATAGATCTTTCTAAAACCTATATACGTCCAAATTATTATCTAATCTTAAGGAGTATCGGAAATGAACTTTTTAGTTAAATATGTTAAATATTTGAGATCTGTCAACGTCTTTAATTTTCATTAGATCTCTAATAATAGCTTATTCCGTATTATAATGTATCAAGATATAAATACATTAAGTAGATTGTGTTCATTTTGATGATATATCATAAAATAATTGATGTGTTAAATTTAAATAAATTTCCAAATTTTGACATTTTTGCATAGTTATTGAACATATATCAATGTGCACTTGAATTCATAGTGTAAGGTACTAACACATTCAAGGAATGTAATTTAATAATTCGCCCTATATCGGCTCGCCCACTAAATGGAAGATTGGCCCCACTTTAGTGATGATTGCTCTACTTAATATATTGATAAAAAACATATAGTACCAAACAAAATATGAATTAAGATGCAAAGGGAAAACATTGTACTTTGTTCATAGTTAATTTTTACAAAGAAGTCATGTATGTATATATGTATGACACTAACGCTGCCTTGTCTTATATTGGAATGAATATATTTCACACTACACAGACGCGAGTTATGTTGCGGGAAAACAGCATACAGTGCAAAATTGTACGGTTCGTGTAAGTCTTTATCAACCTCCACCGTGTTACGATGACAAGATTCTTATAAAAGGGCTTAATAGTACTAAAGATGCCCTGTTCCTGTTTCTCGAAGCGGCGGCAAATGTACAACCAGTAAGAATTGATTGGCATGAAGAGGACGAGAGTACCGTGCTTGTGACATTAAAAGAAAAAACAAGTATTCCTTTATCTCATTTAAGCATGACTTTACTATGTCGATCAACCTTTGTACTGTTTTTATTAAGTTCCAAAAAACATGCTTTCTATCATAAAATTCATGGTGGCAATATGTCAAATTCTTTTTTTTTGCTATATTAATGAATCCTTCTGATGCTTTAATAAGTTAAAATAAACATTGTTTCCATTTAAAATCAGATTATTAAATTAAAAAAGAGTACTGTGTAAAACTTGATTTTGAGGGAATCATATAAACATTTTGATCACAAGATTGTATTTTGCTTTTGAAAGATTTTGAGAAACTTGAAAAAGCATGCAATGAAAGAAGGTTAGAGGGGGCATGGCTAAAAGTATCAAAGGTCCAGGTATCACAATGTATTCTCGTATCAAATCTGGCACCTACAATAACAAAGGACACATTGCAATACTACTTTGAAAACAAAAGGAAATCTGGAGGTGGAGACGTAGAAAAAATTGTTATGAATGAAGACGATGATGAACGGACTTGTATGATCTTTTTTGAAGATTATAAAGGTATGTTCTAGTGGTTATATTCACAATTATAACTTTGACGATGTTAAGTAGAAATGAAAGAGAATAGATCTATTATTGAAGACCCCTTTTACCATAAATAATTATGTTTATAGTATTTAGTATCATCTAAGAAAACAAACCACACAATTATTATGTTTGGATGTTGTTGATAAGCGTAAACCAAATGATGCGATATTACATAGTATTATATGGAAGATAATAAAAAATTGTTCAATTAAGGTAGTACAACTATCTCCACTTTGAAGAATATTCAAATAGGCTAGAATCACTGTAAAGTGTATTGAAACTGAAGGGTGTGGGTTCAAACCCTAGAAGGGGTAACTTTTCCCCTTCTTTTTTAGATTTTTATTAGTCTCTCAGATCCCTTATGGAAGAAAAAGGTGTTTAATTTTAATTATATAATTATTGTAGGTATTTATTTACTAAATAATGCCAAATTTAATAGCAAATATCATACCAGATATTTTTAAAGTTTAATGATATAAAAACTACACGGTAAAAGTATTTTATATTTTTCAAGACCAACCAATATACATTTAAGAAAATGTAGGCAAACTTTGAAAAAAGCCCCTCATTGTGAAAAATTTAAAGGATATTTTAGATAAGGCCCTTTACATAGGGGAATGGTCAAATAAGTGTTAAAAGTGGGTGGGGTAGGGTTACACTTTATACATATTAAAACATTTTGTTTAAAAACAATCATTTTGCTTTTTTATTTGTTACCTTAATGTAATTATTTGATTCTTAACATTGAGCAGAAAACATATTTCATAATGATGATATTATAGATTATTTAGAGTTTCCTCATTTCTGAAAAAAAGCTCTTCTAATGGCAAAGTTTTAGTTCAGTTTAAATTTTGTTTAAATTTTGCATACAGGTGACATTTAAGGCATATAACTGTCCTATGTTGTCAATTTTACAGTTCCTTATAGTGCCCATTAGGGGTGTTCTACCTTAAAACTCGATCAATATTTATTTTTCAAGACAAAAATCCCAACGATATATTTCTATTTTTTAACGATAACAGAAATACCTATGGAAGACTGAGTCAATTGTCGCCAATCCAAATTGAAGTATTCCATTTGTTTAAGATGACATCCTTTAGACAAAGGTCTTACCTTTGTTATCTATTTTCGTTATCAAACAGAAAAATAAAAATATAGGTTATATAATAGTCCCTTGCCTTAAATATTCATTTTAATATAAAACAACATTCATGACATCACTACATGTTTACATTTTGTCTTAATCATTTAGGAAAAAAGTAAACTATTCAAACGTTTCGTCTTTACTGCTGGTCGCATTCTGTTTCTTGGTGTTTGTTGCTGTTGTTTTTTACTCTAGTAATTGATGACATTCTTGGCATGCACCACATTCTTGGGGATCGGACTTTAAATGTCAAACGTTTCCAGCCTATATTAGGACGCCCAGAAGGGGAAACAGAAGAAAGGAAATTGCGCCTTCCGCCTTTCATAGAAATAAAGGATGCCAACATTCATAAAATTTCATTTGTCACCAGTTCAAGCAAAATGAAAGAAACCTTCCAACAAGAATTAATCAAAACGTACACACAAATAAAGTGGCCAACAGATATTGATCATAATGTACAATTACATTGTATGCTAACTCGAAATGATAAAAATTGCTTTAAAATAGCAAAAAGCTGGGGAAAACAAGCACATGCTGAATTCATGAGACTTTTGGATACGATTATCCTTCATCGCATTGCTATATTACAAGACATAAGACAAAAGGTAATGTCTTTTCTTCAAAATTTAATTGTTAAGGATTCAACCAATGTAGCGATTGTTAACAAAAAAGAGGAGCATCTTATTTTTGTTGTGGGAACTAAAACTGCAGCTGATGACCTGAAAGACGTCATAGAAAAGGGAATAAACAAGATAATAGATGCTGCGGAAAAGGAGAAGCAAACAGTCACAGAAATATTTTCAAATCTAGAGAACATTGAGACAAAGATGCTGATTTTCCAACACTTTTCAAAGGAGTTAGAAGACAAATTCGACGACTTAAATGTAGAAATCAAAACTGATAGAAACGAAATACATTTGAAAGGTCAGATAAATAATGTGAAGAGCGCACAGTTAGCTATCTATGATAGAAAGAGCAATTTCGAAGTTACAAAGATACGTGACATATCTAAACTGGCGTTAACGTTATTACAGTTAGAAAGCACACGTAACGCATTGCAATGTAAACTAGAGGCTAAATCAATTCGAGCGGTATGGGAACCTACTACAGATGGGATTGTTGTATGCTGCTACAAACCGTCTTCAATTGAAAAGGCAGTTGATATAATTCGTTCATTTATCTGTAATGAACAAATAGCAATCAAGAAAGGAACAGTTCCAGACCTAGAGACGGAAAAATGGAGAAAAAAAATTGAAGAAATTTATTCAAAACATCCTGGAAAAGTTATGATATCACTTGACGAAAACCAAGAAAAAATCCATATATGTACATTGGCTGACAAACATACATTAGTAAAAGAAGAAATTCAGCGTTTTTTAGAAGCCAACACGATTACTACTCAAATCATTTCAAATTCAAAAGAAATCAACAGGTTCTTGGAAAAGAATTGTAGAAAAGAAATCGAAGAAATTTATCTAAGGCATCAACAATATTATGTAAAGATTATACACTTGGATCAATTTAGAGGTCTCGAAGTTCAAGGTTTGCAGAAGGGCGTCCAAGATGCGATACAACAAATTAGGATTCTGATTAAAAGAATTAAGCATCATACCCACACGGTTACTAAACCCGGGATCGCAGAACATATATCGTCTCCTAAAGGAAAAGATAGCATCCATACGATTGAATACTCATTGGAATGTGTAATTGTTGTGGAAGGAGATATAGCTGATAAACAAATGACAGAAAAAGAACTTGGAACAAGATCGCATACAACTTTTCATGGGACGACTATTTATGTGTGGCAAGGAGACATGACAGAATTGGAAGTCGATGTCTTAGTCAATCCGTCAGATAAAAACTTAGCATCAACCGGTGGACTTGGAAAGGCAATCTTCACAAAAGGTACGGTAATTGGTTCATTTTAATATTATATATTTATGATCATCAAACATTTCTTAATCAGAAATTATAACATTTTGCGACCCCAACCTACACAAAAACAACATATTTTCATTTAAATTATCAAACTAAACAAAAAAATACACAGAGATTTTTGAATCAATGTAACAGGGAAAAATTGTTGTGAATAATCCTTTATTTATTTTTTAAGGTGGTCAAATGATAAGACATGACTGTAACGACTTTATCGGTAGATATGGAAGCTTGAAGGACGGTGAGGTTTTTATCAGCAGCGCAGGAGACTTAAAAGCTAAAAATGTCGTACACATCAAGAGCTCGCGCTGGGAAAATGGAACAAATATGGATAAGGAATTAGAATCAACAGTCTTTATGTGTCTTCAAAAGACAGCCAATTTACAGAACAAGTCCATTGCAATACCAGCTATTGGTTGCGGAGTGAATGGGTAAGTTTTAAAAATAAGGTTGAATCATAATTTATCTTGGAATGACAATTGAAAAAAGAAGTATGTCTTGAAAAATGTTTATTTTTAAAATTGTGTGAAATAGATATTATTTTAATTTATTTTAGTTTTCCTGTTGACATTTCAACCTCAAGCATTGTTAATGCATTAAAGCGGATATTGATGGAATATCAGGACAGTTCATTATGTGAAATATATCTATGCGATATGAACACAACAAATGTGGAGGGTTTTACTTGCGCATTACAAAAAGTATTTGGGATTACTAACGTCGTCTTGGATGATGGCGGAAAAATGGATACTAGCAGTCATGCATCCTTTCCGCAACAAATGGATGCTGGAATAAAGAGTGTATCAGGATCAATAATGCAAAGAAGTTATGGTATGGCAATGACTGGTACTCTCTTTTCTCATTGTGTTACATTTATATGTTTTATTTTTATATTGTGATTATCTTATTACTTAGATTTGTTTCCAATATGTACTCATTTCCCCATTTACGTCTAAAGAAATCATTTAATCAAACATGCAAATAAGATGTTAAGACATTCTCATACCGTTCAGAAATGGCTGTTTATTATGATGGTTATATCTATTTGCAGATGGAAATGGATTTTCAGAATCAATTTCGGGGCATCGTAAGGATGAAAGTGTTGTCATAGGCAATGTAGCTGTAACAGTAGTAAAAGGAGAAATAGCAAAACAAAAGGTATGTATATTCATGTGTATATTATTGAGTGGGCTTGAAAAATGTTGTAAATTACATTTTGAGTTTGTATTAATTGTTAAATATTTGTTTAGCTTATATCGCTCTTGAGTCTTTGAATCTTTTTACAGAATTTGTTTGTTAATAATCAAATAAGTTTATAAACTGATCCAGTCTTTATAGAAAAAAGAAACATGAATCTAATGTGAGAGTTGTGACCTTATGTTTAAGTTGTCTGCTTCTCAACCATATGATCATAGGCTACTTAAGTCTGACCATGTTTCTTCATATGACTCTAGTATTTGTTGGTTCCAGGAAGCGGACTCGAAAGTGATTAAATTTAAGTTGCAAAAACTTGTTAAGTAAAGTAGCACTCCTCCAGACTCATGCTAAATTTCATGAAAATTTTTGAAAATGTATTTAAAAGTAAAATATTATGAAGTGAACAAAGAAAGTAACTTACACATAGCAAACGGCACTTACATTCCACGTAAATTACCAAAAAGAGGTCAAATATACATAAATACCTATTACTGCGTTAGTAGCGCAGTAAAATTATAGAGATTGATACTGCAAAATCAGTCATTAATCGGATATTAATAATTTATAAAATTTTGAATCTTTTTAATGCATTTTCCTTAAGATTGATTTTTTCTTGAAATATTTTGGCTCATCTGGAGGCGTGCAGCTTTAAATCAATCATGATTTTCAAATACGTTGAATACTTTTTTTAATAACTGCGGCATTTTATAATATAAATAGATGCTTTGATTTGATACTGCGTAATAAAATATACCTGGTCGTTTTCATATCTGAAAACGTTTAAGCAATGTCGACAGTTTAACAGAAAAAAACTATTTGTATTTCAAATTTGACCCATCTATTGGTGGGTTATTGTTTTTGTTTTGTCCTCTCTATTTTTTCTGTATAACATAATGTCAAGCTGCTTGTCACAGGCAGGTAAAGAAATATGCAGCTTGATCTTGACCCTCGAAATTCCGACTTGCAGCTCTACCGACTGAACTTAACGGCTGTGTTCACAATTTCTCCCAAAAGAGTGAACAGTAATATGTGATGTAATTGAGTTAAATACTCAAACGGTTCCTAGTTGGTTGCCAAATTAAAAAGCTTCAGATATATATGCAGTCGGTCTGGGAAATGGAACACGCACCATGAGAATTTTATTTATTTTTGTTGTTTTTGAAAGGTATTTAAATATTTCGGACTTTTATATACTGGATTTAATTTATTATTTCAAACAGGCGGATGTAATTGTAAACACTACATCAAATAATTTAGATTTGAGAAACGGTGCTGTGTCTATGTCTCTATCAAAATCAGCCGGAAGGGCATTACAGGATGAAGTAACTGCTAAATTCCCAGATGGACTCGAAAATAAAACAATAGCTGTAACTGGTGGACACAAACTACATTGCAATTTTGTCTTTCACACGGCGTTGTCAAATTATAAGGACAATAATCCAAAGGAAAGTATAACAGTAAGTTGAATCAAGAACAATTTCGAATTTGTATTTGATCTTAAAAGAAAAAAAACGCCAATACATTGCATATCCTTTTAGCTGGTTTTAAAAAGCCTATCGTTTTACTACGTAAAAACTTATAAATCTGCTTTAAGCATTGTTAATTTATTTTAGAGTGGTAGACAAAACCGTTATTAGATACTTAATGAGTCTGTAGTATGTCTGATTGTGCTGACAAATTATGTCATATCGAGGGTTCTCATTTTGAAAGATCATCAAAATATGAAAGACCCAGCGTTCAGTAGGGGGTACCGGTAAATGAATATTGTTATCAGAATAAAATCGTGCTGTAAGAAATCGAATCACAATCTGAATTGATGTACGTAAACAGTTAAGAATTTCAAATCCTGCTCTCAATCAGCTTGTCAATTACCATTTTCTTTGTTCATATTCTATAACATAATATAAGAATGGCATATTATCAATAAATTTAACTAAAGAGAGCAATATTTTACAATTTTCTGTTCCAACCCTTTTAAATAATCTCCTCCTACATAATAAGTTCCAGACGTTTCATGATTTTTTACAGAGTCCGTCTTAGGTATATCTTTTAATAACGGAATTTGCAGACTCATGTCCATTTCTACACTTGTAGCGATGACCTTTCAGAACGGATGTATTTTTGTGTTTAAAAAAATAGGAAATGAGAATACGGTAGATATTTGAAAACGGTCACTCGTTTTTGTTTTGTTTTGTTTTTTTTTCTCGATAAGAAACAATTGCTTAAGCTCCTTTGTATGTAGGATTGTTGTCATCTAGAAAATAGAGGCCTTTCAAACTAATCGAAGGACGAAACATTTTCAGTAATTTACGGGCGCATTTTAATCGCTCCTTCATCTGGTCAGATGATAGGAATAGGAAATGAGTATCCATCTAGCAGTTATTCGCCTTATTTTTAAATGAATTTTTAGAATCGTATGAGTTGATACATTTTATATTCCTGCATTATGAGATATCTAGAAAGAATGAATATCTAGCATTTTTGTCAATAGGAAGCATGAATTTACCATAAATTATGTCAGTAGCTATTAGGGGGATGTCCATCAGATTTGAACGTTTCGTTTTTTTACTGTCATGTTTAATTCACTTGTGCCAATTTCTTTAAATATACATGTATCAACATCAAAACATCTGCATAAGATACTTAAGTGTTGCCATAAATGTTACAGATATGATTATAAACAAATTTGCAGATTTTTCTAGTCCTGATCGAGCTTTTATGTAAACCTGTATGTAAGCACTTTGTACCGAGATGTTACCATTCATATTTTACAGCAAGTAACTTGTGTAAAGTATGTTAAATGTTAATAAAATTCTTCATCGGTTTACTACATACACGACTTTAGAATCATTTGAAAGGAGATTCTTAGATGTATAGCATAGTGTACACATAAACAGGAATCATAAGCTTAATAAGGAAAAAATATTGAATTACATATTGATTCGTACAACAATTCTTCTATGAGAACTGTTAAAGTTAAAGTGGATTCGTGATTTTCGATACATCATTCGCAAGCATGATGTCTTGAGTCATGACACAATTTCAATAGAATTCTTAATATTGATAAATTATGACGTTTTGGGCGCCACAGACCGAGTTGTGAATGTTGTTTGCTTTTAAAACACCTGCCAGTCAAGGATGTTGGTTCTAATCCCGCCAGGGGTTTTGTAGTGAGGATGATATCCAGCCAGCTTAGTGGTTCTTATCATTTAAGTGCGACATAAAATCAAAAACTCAAAAGTGATCGTTAACTTGGAGCACAATATTATATGACAGACGAAAATGTAACAGTACGTGTGATATTTCAATTTCCAAATTTCACCGACATATGAATTGGAATTCAGTTGCCTCTTAATGAAAAACTTATTAAATTCTGCCTGTTCCTGAATTTTCAAACCTCATTAAACTAGAGACTTTTGGCTGAAATAATATCGCGATGTACAAGTACGTTTGTAAGAACAAATTTTTTTCTTTTACGCGTGTTTCCAATAACTTGTCAAACTCAATTATAATGAACCGATGTTCAAGCGAACTAATCAGACCGAAGAATTGTTATATGCTTTATCAGAGATTTCTTATATTCTAATGATCAAAAAAAGAGTATTTTTTATCCTAAAGAAATAAAAAGTAGCTAACAGGTATGAGTGAAAGAAGAAAACCTTTATTTACTTTTATCAAATGTACAAAATGTCCGTAGATCAACATTTCATTTGTAAGTCTAAGTTTGTTAAAACGCATTCTGAATATATAATTGAAAACATTTAAACAATAGAGCACAAATTCAGTCAAGCGATTTTTGTAACTTGTAGAACACCATTAGTATCCGGATTAAAACTATGTGTCATAAAAAGAATACATCTAATTAACTGTTTTAAATTTCATTCAGGGTCTCCATAAAGTCATAAGAGAATGTTTAGAGTGTGCGCAACAACACAATTGTCAAAGTATTGCCTTGCCGGCATTTGGAACGGGTAATTTGGGATATCCGCGAGATGTTGTCGCCGAAGAAATGTTCAATGCGGTAATACAATTTCAAAATGATAACTCCAACACCAGTGTACAAGACGTGCGGTTTGTTATTTATCAAAATGACACTCAAACTTTACAGGTCAGACATCTAGATACATATATTTTTGAAATCTTATTTTACTTAACACATTTGTTAATTTTTATTATTACCCCTCACTTTTCTCGTAATGTTAATTTTCCATAGGCCTCTGGGAGTTATTCTTACTGTTAAACCAAGTGTACCACGTGGCTAAGAATTTTGTACTGTTACATTGGTGACAGTACTTTTTAACATTATAAAATCTGGTCACGTGGTCTATTTTATAAAGAAAATGATATTAAATGGCCGCCATTTTTTCTCGATTAATTCTTATTTTTGGAGTTCACCAGGATAGGCACCACCTGAGTAAATATGACACCCATTAATTTTAGTTGTTTGCACCCTGGAGTGCTTTTCGCGTATACAATATCTTTTGGTTGAAAAGTCAAAAAGTAAACATCCGTTTTCAACGGAAGTAATTGCAATGTGAATAATTATGTTCCAAACTGGAACATGCAGACGATTAAAGCATGCAACGAAGGATTATTTAACAATTTTAATCAGAAAATCATAATATATATGGTGGACAGACATCGTCGTTATTTTGTAAATGCACTTTGTCAAAAACCATGCGAAGAATATTCTGGATACAGAAGGATCAGATTTCACAGATCATAACCGTATAAATGGGTTAGTGTTTTGTTATCTAAATAAATCACAGCTTATTGTATGTTTATGACTGGTAGATATCATCACTTGCTTAAAGAACAAAACTTCTACTTATCTACTTCTCAAGTAGGCCTACAGTACACTTAAAACTTAAAAGAACTCCACTGAGGTTTATAAGCCTAAAAACATAAAATTTTAATTTTTCACATAGATAAACATGAGCACTTAAAACAGAAATATAAATAAAATATAACCAAGAAATATACAAGAAATACATTGTAAAATCATAACTTCCATGCAACAATTATATTTTTTTGCCGTTTTTTTTGGGGGGGGGGGGGTGCGTTTTTTTTAAGGGATCCTGTTTTTGCTGTATTTTATTTACCAAAGCAAAGAATTGGTTAAATTTAAGAATATAAAAGATATAAGTTATTTTCTTTACTTAGGCATTTAAAGCGAACGAGGCCAGGGTGAATGATAAACTGCATTCAGCATCAATTGCAGGGAAAACAGGTAATCGGATTTATTTGATTCTTTTTAGCTAGTTACATAAAGCTATAATTTCAAATGTTTTGGTCAATATATCTTATAAGAAATTATTTCGCATAAATTTCATTATCTCTTTTTATATATCTTAAAATTTCTTCAGATGTATTGACTAGGTGATACATTTTCTGTATAATTTAAAATGAAAAGCTTATTTCAAAGTTATTAATGTATAATGTTGTATATTATTGTAGTATCTTTATCTTTAATACTAGGGCATACTGATAACACTATTGGATATGACATCCTACATGCAATTCCAAGCGGCACCAATCAACAAACAAGTGGAAACTTTACATTTGATAGCGTCAATGTCATGGTCAAACATGGAGATATAACACAAGAAAATACAGATTGTATCGTGAACAGTACTAATATAGACTTGAACTTAATGATAGGTACATCTTCATAGACAATTATTCAATGAGACACTTTTAGAATGTTCAATTCGGTTGACACTAAATATAACGTTTTTAAGAAGTTCATAATCACGTATGATAAATAATTTCAGAAATTAATATGATTTCAAAAATACTTTCCAGGTAAAGTGTCACAGAAATTGATGGACAAAGGAGGAAACGCATTACAAGAAGAAATAGAAAATCACAGTACTGTAATATTTGATTGTCTCCGCTTATAATTATACATAGTTTTTAAAACTAAGACATTCGTTTATTATGTACAATCTGTTAGATTAAACAAACGCTTTGCTTAGCTTCCGACCTTTATTATTAATGTTTAATGAAATAACTAAACAGCAATAAAAACGTTGTCAAATAATACCAAAATGTTCCATTTATAACATATACATAGCTTATGAGTAAAGAAAATATATAGTGTAAAATAATATAAATCAACACCTGTGGACAGGTGCATAATGAAATATAATCAAATTTAATAAAGTAAACCTTGATATGAGAAAAAAAACATTATATACCTACTCTAGCTCAAAGTTGTAGACAAAGTTATATATTGTACAAACCTTTTGCATTCATTCTATAATGACATCAGGTGTATAGCATATGAATCCAGTACAATTCTTAATAAAGAGTAATATAATCAGCGAAAGATAAATGTGTCATCAATTTTAAATCATTCATTCATTCAACGATTGCTTTTATTAAAATTTGTATCGACATTGGTAGAAAACAAATGATCGAAAACTTTAAATAGTGTTGAGTTGTAAGGAAGTAGTAGTGGGGTTTTTTTGCTCACGAAAGTATTGTAATGTTAACAGTTTAATTAATTGTTCTACGAAATAATGTTTATAGCTAGTCACATCTAATATATTTAAACAGCAGTATGTTGATCAAATGAAGCGGCAATTGTCTAGTGTCATTTTGAGATTTGATATCAATAATTTTCCGATCCTATGTTGTTGGGTGTTTTTTCTAAGTAACTCTTATGAGAAAAGTAGTTAATAAATGTCAAAATGTTATTCCATCATCATTCGTTACTAAGATCACTCTTGGATAAATGTTCAGTTAATTATTAGAATAACATTGCCATAGCTCAATGTTTCATCATTTAAGTATTTGGAAAGTGTTTAAAAATCAAACATGATTATTTTTTATTTTTTCACTTACAGTTATAACAAATATTGAATTTAATTGAATTTACAAAACCCTGTTTACAAATAAATTTTATTATAAATATAGAATCTGAAATGAAAAGAAGCAAAATAGTAACGACATTGGCACCAGGTTTGCCTTGCAAACATATCATTCATGTTGTGCCTGACTCAAAAGACGTTGCAGCAACTGTGAAGAAGTGCTTAAAGGAAGCTGAAAACGAAAAAATGAACAGCATTGCAATGCCTGTTTTTGGAACTGGCAAGATATATGCAGGTATAATTTTCAATGAATCGATTTAATATCTACGGCGCTTTATTTGGGTATTATTATACAATAAATAATACATACTAAAACATTGATGATCATCTCCTATGAATTATTACAGTTTAAGATTCACATAGCTTTAAGATTGCTCTCGCTGCCTCTACATTCAAGGAATTTTTATCATCAAATCTTAGTGTTAAGTGTTGTCTTGCAGCTGCAAAGAGTTGTACATTATTTCAACTCATTATAGAGGTATTTTTTCTGATAATTCCGGATTATGAATTCAAATACTGTAAGTGTTAAAGATTGAAAACCGTTTAGCCGGTGCGACATGATGTGAGGGATTTTGCACCTTTCAGTTTCTTTCATGAACAGACAAAATTTAGTCGAGTCTGCAATTTTCATATTTTAGTTCTCATCATTGCTCTTCTTTTTCTCCAGATTTATTATGTTTATAATTATTTTCTTTGCTTCCATGTCAGTGACACATTTGTATGTAAGCTAAAAATAACTTATTCTCATGAAAATTTCTCCAAACTTTTATATAAAGTGTAGTTCTATCATCCTTTTTTCTTTATAAAGGTTCGAAAACAGTTGATCCAGGCACTGTTATAGATGTAGCTAAAAATATGTTTAAAGCAATAAGAGAAATTTCTAAATCTCAACCAAGATACATAAAAGAAGTCAGATTGGTCATCTTCCAAACTGAATTGTTACCTGAATTCTTAAAAGCAGCAGAGGATGTCGCTGATTCTAATAGCTGGTATGGGAACATCTGGAAAGGAGTAAAAAGTAAAATGGATATATGTTCACGTGTATTTTAGAAAAACTAATTTTTACAACTCCTTTTTACATGTCATGAGAGAGAGAGAGAGAGAGAGAGAGAGAGAGAGAGGGAGAGAGAGAGAGAGAGAGAGAGAGAGAGAGAGAGAGAGAGCGTGCGTGCGTGCGTGTATATACTGAAATTTATGTTTCATTTTATGAGTTTTGTCATAGGAGCTCTGCTCGACGTATCATTTATCAAAATCATAATTAGTTTAATCCTCCAAATTATATGCCTTATATAACACTGTTGCAGATTTTAAGTAATGAGACAGTAAAATACAAATGTCAATTGTTTTGTCACACTAGAAAATAGTTTCACCAAATCAAAGATTGAGTCATATCCAGATAGCCGTTTTGAAATAATGTAAATTTTAATACATAATTCTATAGTTTATTACTCAAATAGAAGTAACTGAATTATTTTTAGATCACCTAAGATAATAGTTCCACACTTAGTCTAGTAAAGAAATGCAGTGTCGTGAATATTGGATTTTATAGATTGGTCTCGTGTCTATGTTTTCTATTAAATTTCTTTACTCTTATTAAGGCTATGTATGTCCTTGAAGAATTAATTGAAACTTTTCGGTCATTGTTAGGATTTGAACAATCTGTCTAAATTCTTTTTAATTTAGTTAAATTTGGCGTAAGTTTTAACGTTAAAAAATCCTTTGATAAATTCATTAAATCGCTACTAGTAAATGAACCGTGTCTGTGATAAAAATATTTAGTAGATCTTTTGCCGATTATCATTGAGTTTTTATTTAATCAACCAGGAAATATGGAACCCTTTTATATCAAAATGTTTTGGCTTTTATTTTATATGTCAAAACTCTTATGAACTTCAGTTTGTATTTTTCATGGAGATCCTTATATGCCATATTTCTATGATGATGCTATGTTGATATCATTGTTCCGCTCTGTATCTTTTGAACCGATATAAATAAATAAAAACTTTTTGGAAGAAATATTACTTGTATTAAGACGGTGTGTGTGTGTGTGTGTGTGTGTGTGTGTGTGTGTGTGTGTGTGTGTGTGTGTGTGTGTGTGTGTGTGTGTGTGTGTTACCTCCCTTTATATCACAAAATCTTTTTATTTAAACTTAATACTTTTAGATTTTTTTATAGATAAAAATAATTCAGGAATTTTAGATTTAAATGATGTAATTATTTTGAAATAAGACAATCTTATTAATTGAAACAGATGTTACTTGAAATATGTAAATTCACAAAATAATAATAAGCTGTAAATGATGCATATAAAATATCACTTGTTTAAATCATTTCATCTAAACTTCCGACATGAATGATATAGTATAGAGCGCATCGTTGGCACAACCTAATTGGCGTCTATTGTATGAAATGAATAAAAAGAAACATAATTTAATACAACGTTCGTCTTCACTAAGCTTATTCACTGTGTTACAAGGCCGAAGCAATTTCTTTCTTTCAGATGCACTCGGTATGTCAGGACCTAGTCATGAAAATAGTGACACGACATTTAAAACAAGACCCGATTACAACTCTGTTTCATTCATCATAATTGCAATGAAAGACGAAGTGATAAGAAAGGCTATCAAAAAGCTTGACAGTTCTCTAGAAAAAGAAATGCATACAAAAATCATCGATGACCATACCATTTGTCAACTTGAAGACATACAGGTATCACAAGCATAAATTCGACAACTACATGTAAAAGTCGATTCGATCAGTCAGATGTAATGAATTTAAGCGATATTAACTGTAACACGCTAAACTGAAAGAAATCAGCGTTCATTCCTTTTTTTAATTTTAGTATTGTTATATTTAAATGTGAACTCAAATCCATAGAGAAAATCATAGAAGTATTTATTTACATTTTAAAACATGTATGTTAAAAAAACTTTATTTATTACAATAATGTTATGTTAGGTCGATGAAATGCATGGAATTGCTCAACAATGTCATGTTCAAATGACCATGGATAAAAATAAAGCAACAATAAAGCTTGCAGGAATAGTAACAAATGTTATGAATGCTTCTGACAAGATTAGCACGTAAGGAATAATGATTATTTATTCAAATAATTGAAATGTTATTAAAATAAGTTTCGAGCAAAAATAAGTAAACACAGATGAAATTAGATATATATTTTCCGTCAATTACAGACATCCAAGACAACATGTTTATTAAATTAAAATTTCTAGCCAAAATTCTAAATTTGTTTGACGATATATTATTTCAAGTTTACAAAACTTACATTGTACAATAAACTTTCCGGGTAATATAATGTTTACAAATTTATGAAGATAAAATGATTCCGGTTTCTTCATGTAGTTTATCTTAAAACGTGCAGAAAATGTAAGTAAATGTTAATTATAATTGTTACAGCTCGTCCACAACGACGAATACATTACTTTATATGTCTTATGTTTGCTAATATAAATGTTAGATATTTTTTCATAAAACATGACAACAATTTTGGAAGCCAATTTGACATTGGAAATTAGATTTCTATATGTTAATTATTGTGTATAAGTACTCTCATTTTTCATATAAGGTTGCTGAGGGATGCGGAACGGATGGAGTTTTTAAAAAACATTGCACAGTGGTTTTATATTGAAGTTTCACAAACTGGTGAACAAGTTCTACCTTATGGAAAGGACATAAATATGATAATAGAAAATGCGTACAAACGTCAAAGAAGTACGGTTGAATATAGGTATGTATTTTTGGCATTTAAAAAACGTTGTAGGTTTTCCATATAGTACTCTTATTTATGTTATTATAACTCGATATATCCTTCAATGTAGAACTCTCATAGGAAAATGGTGTGTCCTGATTGAATATCTTCTATGTTATATTCTCCTGGGTATACTTTTTTTATCATCCATTTCTTATATCACCCTGGGACACATAACTTATAACATAATTCCATATTTTGAGTAAGCATTATTTTAAGTTAAATAGTCTTTGTAATAGTATGTTTTTGGGTGAAAGGGAGATAAAACCTACATACCTCTGTATTCAATGGTGTACTAGTTAATTCCCTTCGACTTATTTTTCTATTTAGTCAATATTAAGCGTTTGTTGATTATAATCGTAGCAAAAGACAATTTGACACCGTATTTGCCACCGACAGCCATGTGTAATTTATATATTAGTACATGTCAATTAAGCTCTACACACACAAATATAGTGCTTCAAATGTCAAATTTGTTTATTATCAGAAACAATCAATCACTTATAAGCTTAAAGGCCCATCAAGTCACAGAGTTTTTCCTTTCAAAAATGCTTATTATAACAGTGCACTGTTAATGTTCAAAAATTGATACTCGTTAAAAATATACATGTAAATGAATTGTTTTTGTTTACTTTTTATTTTGAGATCAAAATTTAAGTAATAACGTTTAAGTAGATCCTCTTTTTGTATTGAGGTCCAACCAAAGTTTGTTTACATTTTTGTACTTTTGTAGATATCTTATCAAAATCGCTACATACTCTCGTAATAAGCATACATGTGCTGTAGGTACATAATTTATATACTATATTGCACATATTTACTTTTTCTGGAGGGGTAAAATAAAAGTAATTTCTGATGCTTAATGTGCCGTAAACCTACCATTTTTATTTTCCTTTTTTGCATTAAAGGTGAATTTATATATACAAATGACTTTAAAGTAGGATTTGCTTAAATTTGCAAACAAAACGTGACATTATAAACTTCTAAGAAATAATTATTTTTCTTATATATGTGTTTCTTTTAAATTTATTCAGAGGTTATTTATGAACCTGTATCGGAATATTCTCCTCTCAATGATAATTTGTCTATGTAAATAAATTTAAAAATTAAACGTTCGCAAAAGTTTCTCCCAGGCTAATGCTTACTATTTATTTTTCTCATATTATGTAATCTTATTATTTCACTCAGATTCCACCAGTTTAAAAGATATGTGATATTTGCATATTGTAGTTTAAGCAAAACAGTACTGATGCTGATTTCTTTTCAATTTCTTAGCGTAGGCGATTCTGACTTTATTCTTGACTTTGCGTCAATGGAAGAATATCCTGAAAATAACATCTCAGATAAAGTGAAAGTCATCAGGAGGGATCTTGTTAAGGGTAACTTGTCCTTATTTCTTTACGCTTAGATAGGAGTTGAATATTGAAACCTGACTTGAAATCAGTTCGTGTGATAAGTTTATACAGAAAGTTTACTATGAACAATTTAAAAATGTTACACGAAAGACGCAAATGCAGAAGATGTGATCACATCCCACGTTTGATTTGAATTGATGGTCACAAGATATATGCAATTAATGGCATCATTTTCACTTTGATATAAGATCAAATGACGCGGTCGTCAGAGGTTGTAAATTAACGAACTCGAGCAATATGTGTAAACATTCGTCACACTATTCTTGATTAAAATCTAATTTCATTTCTTCGTTTTCACGAATAATAATGAAAACAATTCTAAGGCATATGGTGAAATACAATGCCTGTGCTTTCCATTAGGTATAAATCGAATCATATGCGTTTAAACTTATTTGATAGATATAACTACTTGTTTTCTTGTTTTACCTACAATTTTTAGCAAATCGATGACATTGTCAATGAATTACAAAATGTTACGTTATCATGCTAGTATCATCTACATGATTAACAGGGTTAGGGCGTCTCGGTCTAGATGCTTCAAACCACATGCCTCTGACTGCCGTGGTATCGAAGGGACTTTCGATTCCTTCAGGAATCCACCAAGTTAGCTTATGGGACGTCGGTGGTTCTACTCAGATGGCAGTTTGTGCCTTAAATATTGTACGGACTGGAAACTTAAAATCGTTCTGAAAAAGCTGAAAATACCATTACAGTTTTAGTGCGAGGAAAAGCCAACCCAAAGGATTTTTCAAATTAGTATAACTTCCAGACTTTATTTATTCCAAATTGTTATTATTGTAAATAAGTTCAGTTGCATACTATCATTTTGGTCGCATACTATCATTTGGGGAAAATTATCCTTTGAAATAATGTTGTTGTTTGCTAAAATCGAAAATAAAACTTTGGAGTGTCTATTAAATCTTCTAGGTGGATCATTTGAACTCCCTGCAACCTGGGATGATATGAAGGGGGGGAATTTACGAGTTGTGAATTTGACTTCGGGCAGTACTGAGTATACAGCAATCGAAAAACAATTCAAAGATTCTGCTGGCCAGTACAAAGACACAAGTGGTCAATGCCAGGACTGGGTGGTGGAAAAGGTAAAATTATATTGCAACGATTTGTCGAAGTTTGTTTCTTTCTTGCGAGACATGTCAATATTAAGTGTTGCTAACATGTCATGTGTTAGCTAAATAAGCTATCAAATATTCATTTTTTGCACCTTGTGAAAGTTAGCAGATCTGTTTCAGAAAATATTGAAGTTGAATTATAAATATAATTTTCCTTTGAATTTTGTACTTATTTTTAAGATTGAACGTGTGCAAAACAAAGTTCTTTGGGAACAGTACCAATCTAAGAAAAAACAACTTGAAAAGCAAAACCCGTCTGGTACCATTAATGAAAGGGAGCTTTGGCATGGAACCAGCGCTGAGCCTGTCGACAGCATCAATGCACATGGTTTTAACAGGAGCTTTTGTGGCAAAAATGGTAAGAAAGAAGTGTTTTCTCTACGCGTATTAAATTGAAAGAATGTTTTGATCAGAATATACCAGTTTAATAAGTTACATATCAGTTGTCTAGACTGTTTGGTATGATGTATGCTCAAATTCTTCCTAATGTAATATAAAATATTTCCATTTTTTGTGAAATATATCATATGTTTAAGCTACATTGTATGCCCCTGTACTGGTATTGGTATGATGCTGTCCGTTTTGCATTAGATTATAGGAAAAGTCAGGTTTAATCTCAGATTGTATAGGCTATGGTGGAAGTAATCATTTACTTCAGTGACTGGGGTTATATTATTTCAAGCTGAGCAAATAAAGTATATTGTATTGTCTATATCGATTTTTTAGTTTCACTGATACTGTTACATCAGGGATTGAAACATCTCCCGTCTATTTTATTAAACTTTTTAAATTATAACTTAATATTATTTTGTAGCAACCGTATTCGGTGACGGTGTTTACTTTGCAATAGATGCAAAGTACTCATGCCAAGACACATACTCGAAGCCAGACACTAGCAGAATAAAAAGAATGTACCTATGCAAAGTGTTGACTGGAGTATATGCAAAAGGTGAACGGGGAATGAGAGTCCCACCTTCGAATCCCAATGGAGGACCACATGCACTTTACGACTCCGTTACTAACGACACGAACAAACCACATATGTTCATCATATTTCACGATACTCAAGCTTGTCCCGAGTATCTCATTTACTTTAAATAATAATTATATATTATTAGTTTAAGAATTCATATATGATTATAATTAAAATTAAGTTTAAAATATAATTATAACTGGTATATGGGAATAATGACGGAAGAAATACATTTGTCCTAGAAATCGAAATGAGGTATGATGTGGAATAAGTTATTAATTGACGTTATTTGTGTAATATTAAATATCCAATGTGTTTACTTTAAATGTTTTTCTTTTAGTTATTTACATTCGAATTTTTGCTGGAAAGTTCTATCTTACGTAAGTTTTGCAACTGTAATAAGAAATAGTTCAATGACTGTATCTAACAAAATATACTGCAACTGCAATCAGGAATAGTTCAATGAACATATATCATATCGGAAAACAGAATACAACCTGCTGTTACAATACAGTTTTAAACACATGTTATTTTTTCCCTTATTCAACTTGCAATTAATGTGTACATTTAGCAGAACTGAACAATCATTTTCTTTCAATGTTTATTATGAAATATTTTACTGATTACAAACGGTTTGATATAGCTTAACAATATTTAAGAATGTCGTTTTTGTCTTTTATAATCTTTTATCATGATTTATTTGATTTGATTATTGATTTTATGTTGAGTGTTTTTTTTTTGTTGTTGTTTTTTTTTGTTGTTTTTTTTTTGTTAATGATTTTGATATGATATCACGTAGGGCACTCTATGATACCGCATCATTATTTTTATTATTAATTGATTATTTATTTTATTAAAATGTGTACTATTCAAATATGTCTGGAAAAGGTAAACATGGAAATTTTAAATATCACGTTGTAAAAGATAAGTTCAAAGTTTTATGAAAACGTTTATAATATGAAAATTGAAAGTTTGTTTAACATATTAATAAGTTACCTAAATAATGTAATTCAATATTGGTTGTAAATAAGAGATATGATCAATACGTGATATTTATATAACAAGTTGATTATTGTTTTGTAATCGATATACAAACAATTTGAGTATAAGTATCTACGATTGGCATGCATATGTTTTGAGGAGATGTTTTGTTAGAAAGCTCGCATATGTATTATACGCGGCATCTTCATAAAAATGTTTTTTTAAATAATATGCTGATGCTATTGTTCTTTATAATATTATTTACTCACTTGTTAATTGTTTTACCTATCGACTGATATGAATATATTTGTTTTGTTTTTAGTTTGATGTTCTTGTAATATTTTGGCTTATCAAAGGGTGTACAGCTTTAAAAAAAGTGTAAAAGGTTGTCTCATTCTTTACGTAGTAAGTTGTAAATTATTGATGCTTTTCTGATAAAATAGGTGCTGCTTTGTTTCTCTTGTGTTTCAGATATCTTTGCGATTTGAAAAACAACAACAATAAACAATTACATATAATCTTCCGCAAGGATTCTAAACCTTTTAATGCATATATTCATATTTATTTTAATAATTTGACTAGTACTAACTACAATGTACCATTTTCTACTACATTTAAACATAAGTTTTATATTTAATAAGATTCACTGACCTTTTGTTATGTTTATTGATTGGCGATAAATGATTATTCTTACTCAGTATAAAATATAAACATTTAATTTAAATGAGTGCTAATTTATTTTTTGTTTGTATGTTAACGGAAATGTAACTATAAAATTGTGCGATTAAAAATGCTTTTCAATAAACAAAGTGACATCTTCCAAGTTAAGAACATAAAATTTTTAGAAAACAAAATGTTAAAATCAATTTGCTTTTTATATATTGTTAAAACTGTGTGCTTATATTATTATGATATCACAGTGCAATAGCTGGTAGAAAAATTTTTAGAAATAAGTAATACTCTACAGAAAATATAAAATTGTTTACAATCAGATTGATCTTGTTTTGTAAGCGTTACAATTCATTTCACTATTTTTAAGACATTATCAGATAATTATAATCAGATTATTATATAAATTATACATATCTTTAATTGTTATTTTTACTTGCCGTTATCTCAATAATTTTATAATAAAGGAATTATGATCCGTACAATACGGTGAAATCAAGTAAATCCAACAATTACTTTATTAACATTTATTCATATAAGATTAAAAAAAGCAACCTAGAAATTGTATTTGATACAATATTTTGTGTATTGTATTTCTGAAAACATGTATGTAAACTATTGATCACTGATTATAAAAAAGTACATAGTCAAACTTCAAACAATTTCTTCTTGTATTTTGTATGAAAGTTTCAATGTGACTTTTTGAAGTGTAATTTTTGTTATTGAAATGAAAAATCAAACGCATTAATGCTAAGGTGATCTAAGAATAAACATCGCCAAGGTGGATAAATATTAGGTATATGTAGCTATATCGTATTAATCAGATAATAAATCTTTTGAAAAACATTTGTGTTTGCGTATTTGATGAGGTGTATTAGAGTTATCATGGATAATTACGATTAGACATTTTTTTACAAAGCTACTTATATAAGACCATAATTCAAAGAAAAAGTACAAACGAATTTCGTCAGGCACACTTACAAGATCTAACTCAGTCGAAATAAACTCATTCTGCGAAAACGAATATCCTATATAATATCTTAAATATTATCAATATTTCATCAGTATAATCTTTAAAAAAAAACATTGGATACAATGTGAAGTTGATGTTGTTAATTGCTCAAAAACGTCTGGCAGAATGACCTGTAAACGTTATAAACCGTTTATTGCAACTTATTGAGAAAAACAGTGACAAATGTTGTCTAGAATCTGATATCAAAAGACATTATTTTACACTATACGTAAAAATTGCGAGCATATTCCTTACTAGAATAACTACAAACACAATTGTAGCAAGACACATATATAACTATCATAAGAACGTGCTGGATTATAAATTAAAAATATTATAAGCCTAACTGTTTCGTGTCCGCTTAATTTCTGTCTGTGTAAAGGAGTGGCAACATAGCCGTCTAACTCTTCTAACGAACGACTGAGCATGAAGTTAGGATGCAAGAAATGGTCGGTGTTTTCGGATGTGTAAAGCAAAATAAATGTCATGGAATGTTATTTCATTATAATGCAAATTCCGTATTTCATCAAAGCGGAGAAACATTGAAAATCTTAAAAGAATTATACGCAAATTTCTAAAGATTCATACATCAGGTACTCTCTCTATCTGCAACACATTTCAATTAAAAGATCCTTAGTTACTGCTTGTTTTTATTCGCATGTCTAGGAAAAGTATGTTTAGTTGTTTCAGCTAAGTTTTTACAAAATGATTTTCTCTGTGATCTTGAATAATGCTTTAAGAATGCGCCACTTATATTTGAGGATATCACGTTGTTAGAACGACCATAAGTATGCCAAGCCAAGTAGATAAAATAACACTACCACCTTTAGACGTAATGAATGTTTTCCATTTCATATCTATGAAAAATATTTATTTACAGTAGTGTCACTTCGAGTGTTATACCATGCATTTGGGAGAAATGCAAGGTTTATCGAAATTGGGTCATCGATCCCGGTCATCATGAGCTTTTGTGAGCTCTGTTTGTAACATTTCTGTATGATCCGCCCGAACACAAAATGCAGGTTGCGCTGTCGAGTACATGTCCATAAAGAACTTATTGTGAAGCACAAGAAATGATTATTAACATTCTTCAATCTTCGAAGAGATTTTGCCAAAAGGATGAACTTTGAGCCGGAAATAGGTCACTGTACATCGGATAATGAGCACTCTAAACGTACAGTAACCTTCGACTTTATGAAAAAAAATTTAACCCTAATAAAGATTGCTATACCTGGAAAGGGCGTCGCCATTCAGACTGTAAGTCCATACATAAACCCGACTTGTCAATTTTCAAAATATGAAAACCAGTTTTCTTAAGTTTTCTTAAAAAAACTTCTTCAAATCAAACGCTAGAAAGCTGAAATCTATAGCCGAGTGTGTCATTAACATACGGTTAAGTGTGCAAACAGTTCACGTCCTGTCCCTTGCAGTACATAATGCTTATATATACAACTTCTATTACTAATGAAAGTTCATATAAGTTTGCAATAAAGTCAAGTCAGTGTTTGCTAGGATATAAGCCGGCCAAAACAAAAAATGAAAAATCATCCCCATTGCCTGTGAAAAATAATGGTGCGAATTATTGGTTGTTTCGGTTGAGGGAGACCTAGAGTGTTATTTTCTCTTGCATTATTTCAGACACAAATGGGCATCTTAGTAGAACTACCGACCTTCTGTTGGCTTGCAGAGTATTCCTCAAATGCAAATTTCAAAGACCATGTCAGGGGTGCGACTCCACATCAATCATAGGTCATCATATCGGAGTAAGCAAAGCATATGCACACCGTCGCTTCGTAGTGAAGCCTTAAGGTGGTTAAATACATGTTAGTGGTGGCTAAAAATAGTCCTGAAAACATTACAGTGGAAAAGGCTTTACATGGACATAACTTTGAGGAAGTCTCTGAACCGAAACATGCTAGTGATATAAGTAGTGAAACCTCCTATGAAGCTAGTTTTGGCTGAGAAATACTTTGGACAAAGTTATAGCTAAAAAAGTATAAATGATACATATGTCCGAAACAGAATTATAGTTGAAAAACCATTTTAGGGCAAAACCTTGTAAATATATCATTGAATTAGAACACGCAGCAAAACTTCTATAAGTATTTAAAGAACATGCGTGTGAAGTTTCTGAAAAATTTCAGACAGTGCGTGCTGAATGATATAAGGGAAAACTGAAAAGGCATTGAAGAGGCATACCTATGGGAACAATCATTGATCTTTATGTGGCATTTTCACAGGTAAACTAGCGTAAAATTACCACTTGAAAATGTTGTCCTTACCGAAAGATAAAGCCACGGCTACTCTTAATATTTCAAAACATTGTAGTACATGTATGAATCAAAGGATTTTTGTAGCGTTCTTTAAAATTTTCTGTACAATTGTAAATGAATAAATGAATACAAATAGAATTTGTTGGCATAGTATTTGTATCCTTACGCAGGTGATATGAAATTCATTTACTCTTTTCTAAATGTTTCTGGGAAAAACAAAATCAGTTCGGAATGTATGAATGAAGTTTGAGTTTTACTGTTTTACGGATGAATCGTTATGGAATATCAGTTGAAATTTCTGCGGAGGAAAAAAATCGAAAATTTACCTTTCCATTAAGATAAAAAATAGTTTTCCATGACATTTGAAATAACTTAGAAAGTATTAATAACATGACGATCAGCGTGAAAATGTTTCTTTTCTGTTTTTGCCCTAAAAAGATAAATAGAATACTTATCTGTTTTGATCAAATATATCAAAATGGACTTTAATTAAAATGTAATTTTCATATGGTATTTTTATAATAAAACAGTAAGTTATATAGATAAAAAGACGCGCATTTGTATCAAACGGTGACATGCCCCGTTTACAATTTGGATAATAAAATATATATGATAATGATTTAGTTCATTTTATTGTTTTATTTTGTTATACATTCGAAGACTTTTTAAATATCCGTGCCAAGTGAATACAGACACATAGCTTGTTATATCTTAATATTTTCTTATTTAAATTAAAATTAAAATAAGAAAGTAACGAAAACTACCTTGAGTTGGAAATGGCCTCATGTGACACTTAAATGATTCATAAAGCATTTTTTATTTATTTATTTTTAAATTGAGAATATGTTTTTAAACATACAGATGGAGATTTTATTAACACATAAATAATTATTTTAAACACTTACAGTTGAAACACAAATCAACATAACATTAAATTAATTTCTATTTGCCTTACAGAGTAAAGATCGCTGGTGTTAACTCGGTGCTCGCCTGTCTGAGATATAACATTAAGGGGCACCAACCGATAATACTAGAAATATGGCTTTTAATCTTAGGAGTGTCGTTATGGCTGACACTCGAACCAAAATTTTGGTCGCATTACACCGAAAACAAAATATGAATTAAGTTCATAACGATCTTGTTTGTTTAGGTGTCACGCAAAAACAATCAACGTTCATTTTCTATCAAGCACATTATTATATTCAGTGATAACTTGAACACATGTACAAATAATTAAATAAGATGTGACAAAAATAATCAAACACAAATGTTTACGAAAGAATTTTATTGCCTGATTAATACGATATAGCTAGATGTACAAAATATTTATCCATATCAGCGATATGTGTCTTGAAACTTTTTCTTAACATACATACATTTTCTTTAAGATATAGTATGCTCATTCTTGAGTAAAGTATTCTTGAAATTTAAAAAAATCTTATGAATATGCCTTATATGAATAAAATTATGAAAATGGAAACTGCACTCCATATAACAGGTGAATCAAAGTTGGTATTTTCTTTAATATATTCATATTGTGACCACCCATAGTGTTTTTAGTTTGAAATATTACCTATTATCTACTTCGTTTGAAGTCAAAACTTGTCCATTTTAGATTTACAAAGCAATCATCAATATTTTCTAATATCAAATTTGAGCATAGTATAACTTAATTTTTTTATGCAAAAGAAGTAAAAAATATTGATTGCCTATTTTTTCTCAATCTAAAACTTTATAATTTTGATACAAGTAAAGAAGACCTTGAAGTTTGACTCAGTGATTTCATTTTAATTTTATGCAAAGATGGTTCGATTCACGATTTTCCATATTCCATATTTTACAAACATGTTTTCATAATCCTCGTTACTGACAACGTATTTAACACGATAATACTACCAACTTATACGGGAAACGGTTGAATAAATGTCTAAAACCTTCTAAGGATATTTTTTTAATCTTTTGATTTCATTGTATATAAGGATCATAATTATTCTGTTGTAAAAAAATGAGAATGTATCAAATAAAAAGTATACACAAAAGATATTAAAATCAATGAAAGAATGACTGGTAAGATGTTTCTTTCCTTTAAAACAGTTCCTCATTATTTTAGTAAAGCTATGCCATGGAATCATTATTATATAAATAATAATTATGTAGTTATGTAAAACAAACTATGCTTATTATTCATGTAGGGAAATGTGATGTCGAAAATTTGTCATAGATATATTTTTATTTATATGTTAAGCGCATAGCACTATTTTTTTCATAGGTTTATAAGACTGATAATCATAGATAATCAGAAACATCAGAAATTTATAAGAAATAGAAAAAAAGAAAGAAATACAAAAAGCAAAAAAAAAAAAAAACAAACAAACAAATGCGCACCAACAGTCGGTATAATGTTTATGATTAATACATGGCATTGTTGTAGCTAAATATAATTAATTATGTCCTTTGTAAAATATTATGTAACGAAAATAAAGCGATATTATAATAAAGATCACTAAAACGTATTTTTTTGTTCTTGAACATCTATGATTTCTAGAAAAAAATGCCGAATTATTATGATCGCTGCGGGGACGTCGTCACCGTCGTTGTCGTCTTGCTAAAACCATAATGTAGCCCCTCTCTCAAACAATTTTAAAGGTATCAATAATAACCTTTGAATGCTTGCTTATCATGACAAGGCACAGTAGTTTGACCTAGGGCTTCATTTTAAAAACTATATTTTTGTCCCGTTTTTAACGCTTTTTAACTTAGAATTTCTAACAAAAAAAGCGTTTACATCGCATGCGGTGTTCTTGTTCAATTTCTGACTTTCATTAGAAATGTGTCCATAAATACAGGCATTCATGCTTAAAAATTATCAAATCACCAAATGATTACTTTTTAATAAAACTATCAAACAGCAATAACACGGAAATAGAATTTCGTGCATGCGCATCCTGCGTAGGACAAAAAAGCAATAACGAAATAATACATTTTGTCAGTGTTCAACAACTACTTTAAAGACAAGTTGATGTAATATAAATGATAAACTATTAATCTAGGATCATAGTTTAATTTGATAAATAACCGATGCAAAGGTGAATTTAAGTAACTTACTTGAACATTTCCGTACCTAAATGATGTATTCGATTCTGACATAAGAACCTGCGTATAAATTTTAAGTTAATCATATTTTTGTTAAAGGGTGCTGAAGTGCGTTGCTTAGATATATTTTTCTTTAAAAACTCTCGGTTAAGGTGCATGGAGGTTTTGTAAGTGTCATTATTAAATTGAATAATTTTATTTAATTAGAAGTCATGAATACATAATCTATAGGGCATATTCTCTAACTATAATCATGCTTAAAGGCTTTGATAAACGTGATTTAAAGTTATGTCAGCCGAACCAGTATGTTTGGCTTAACTGTTAGAGGTAAGTACGTAAAACGTGATTTGATTTTATGTGGAAATTATTTATAACGTATATCAGAAAATATGCGAGACTTTCAAATTAATGATCCAAAAGGTCCTAGAAAGGTCCTCTGTTTAAAGTATAACCAACTTTTTCATCAGTAACTTAGAATTGAATCAGCAAGGTGTTTAAGATAAATCTGTAATGTCCATGTATAACTTAATATCACACAATTGGTACTGTCAATATCTTTGAGGCAAAGTGTCAAATAGATGGATACGTGACCGATTGGGAAATATTTTGAACTAATTAAGATTCTGTTTACTTGTTAAACATATCTAGATCCTCTACGTTAATTTCAATTTTTCTTGGCATCACAGTCAAATCGGAAAAAGGATTAAATCCGGTAGCAGAAAACTAAAAACATGAACATGCCCTATCATATGTTCTGACCTGATGACAAGATTATGTTGTGTTTTTTTTTTGTAATCTAAATCACAAAGCTATTAAGAAATCATTTGCTTTTGTTAAATGCTATTTGATGAAATTATGTATTTTTTGCCTTCAGTACTCCCAGGTTTTTTTATATAGGGCGATGATATTATACTCTACGCAGACTGGGCATGTGCGAGGAAATACTACATCTGGTCGAGTTTTCATAGCAACGGACCGAGTCGTAAAAAAGTATTTTACTTTGACATAACAATGTCATTGTTGAGCTGATTTACATTTAGTAGATCATTCAGGATCATTGGAAAGTTATTTAGTATCACTGTGCCATGAAAATATACAAAAAATAATATATACGTAAAAAGCACTATAAAGCATACATATAGTCGAGTTATGCTAAATACACACTAAGAAAGCAGATTCCATTTTTTAAAGATACTATTAAGTGTTTTCTTCTTATGCTTGAAAAACATAAATACAACAAATTCATTTCAAAACGAAAAGTTGTCTAGATACATATAAATATATCTTTATACTAATTATGTGAAAAAATCAATATCCATTATATATACTATACACATAAAAAATACCCACACCAATATTATTAACAAAAAAATATATAATTCATTAGTAAATGAAAAGAATGGAAAAACAGACCGGAACATGATGAATGTTTATAACTAACACTGATTTAATGTCCTTTGTTAGTTTAAATAAAATATGACAACAAAAAATGTATTATATATTTCAAATTTCTGTATAATTGAGCCGCGTCATGACAAAACCAACATAGTGGGTTTGCGACCAGCATGGATCCAGACCAGCCTGCGCATCCGCGCAGTCTTATCAGGATCCATGCTGTTCGCTATCAGTTTCTCTACTTGTTATACGGTTTGTAAGCGAACAGCATGGATCCTTATCACATAATGTTGGTTTTGTCATGACGTGGCTCAATTATATTAGTGATGCGATGTATTTCTTTGGCCCTCAAAATGTCAAATTGAAATTGAATAATTAATTGTTCTGGCGGTATAAGGCATGATTTGATATACGATTGTCTATGTGTGAAAACCAGGCACAATTTACATGACTTAGAAAAACAAAGCTGTAAAACATTTGATTAAGTGCATAAAACTGATTCAGATATTGTTATATTTACTATCTAATATACCGCTTTTTCAGGTTGATAATGTGCAATTGCGACAAAAAAAAAACAATAGTATTGCAAGAAAAATAAGCAAGCAATAAACTAAATAATCAATGTTCTGTTTATATACAATATTCATCTTTTAGATATCGTTATAAACTGATCATTTCATGCATTATATCACCTTTTTAAAATTAAAAATGCGCTGTGATAATACTGTATCAAAAATTATAACATCAGTTAAAATTTCCGGAATCAAGTATGACATAAGTTCAATTATGATCTTTTTATTGTCATTGTATTAATATTATATAAAATCTAGTTAAATGACATAAAGGGTGTAAAGCTTTATTTGGTTGTTTACTTGATAAAAATTCCATAACAATGTTTATTTCTGATAATTTAAAAAAGCGGGTTGCGCAAAAAAGTTGCAAGTTAAATATTTTGTACGGATTTCTTTTATAACACCTCACAAACCAAACCAAAACACACATCTTAAATAGAACAATACGAATATAAAAACATCTGTATTTTGTAAAGTGATTTAACAATTGTCATAGTACATATAAATTGTTAAAGTATTACATCGTTGAAGCTTTACTAAAATAAATAAAGGTAAATAAAAATTTACAAGAAATCGCAAAAGTACTCATTTCATAAGGTACAAAATACTTTACTAAATCACGTTTTCCACACAAAGCATTATTTTCTTGAAAGTATGCCTTTCCGTTCTATTTACAGATATTGTTTTTTTCCAAAGTTCTACAGATATTGAAACATATCTGCCATTTATTAAGATATTACCGACCTTTTACTCTTTGAAGTATATAAGATACTCGGGGCAAGCTTGAGTATCGTGAAATATGATGAACATGTGAGGACTGGTTAAGCTGTTAGAAACAGAATCGTAAAGAGCATGCGGTCCTCCGTTTGGATTGGCAGGTGGAACTCTCATTCCTTGTTTCCCTTTTGCAAATACTCCAGTCAACACTTTGCATAAGTACATTCTTTTTATTCCACTAGCGTCCGGCTTTGAGTATGTGTTTCTACATGAATACTTTGCATGTAATGCGAAATAAACGCCGTCACCAAAATGAGTAGCTACAAAAAATATGCAAGTTAATTTCAAAAGGATTCAAACTCTGACGTTAATGCTGTCAGTGAAAGTTTAAGTAAAATAATAAAATTTTATCTCTTCAGCAAATGCGAAGACTAAATCGAATAAATATATGTTTAAGTAAAACAAAGTACAGAACGAATACTAGAGTTTATTGCATATTTTGGGAATCGTTGAATATTAATCTTTGCGACCGTAGTAATGAATACATTTTTGCTAGTCATAGACATATTCAAAACCCAAACATTACACTTAAACAACTTCAAAAGAGTTAATGAATTACAATTATTTATAGACAAAACGTAAAAATAATCAAGACAATGTTACACAGATGGATAAACAACAGATGACATTAACTTAAAAACAGTAGCTAATATTAACTTAAAGAAAACTGGTGAAAGGGTATTGAAAACAAATTAATTGTTGGACGCACTGCACAAAAGTAAGTAACACATCATCATTTATTAAAACGCAATTTTCGGAGCGATAAAGGAAATCGATATTCTCATCTCTATATTGCTAAATGCAAACGAATGTTAGAATCATAAGGTTGTAAATGTATTTCATAATGAATTCGAAGTGTCAAGGCGGATCTTTTTTTGAAACTCGCACCGAAATATTTTCAATTTGAAACTCGCACCGAAATCTTTTCAATTTAGTTTAAACTGAAATAGTTGTATTGTTAATTATTTGTCAGCGCATGTAGGAAGAAGAATTAAACCTTTGGTACGAGGTTTTCAGCATCAATTGGGGATTTCAGAACCTCCTGCAAAGTCATAGATATATGATTAACTCTGAATTAAACATTCCTTAGAAGTGTTTTAAGGTTAATGAAAAAAATAAAAAAGCTTGAGTAAATGCTTCAATATATTTTTTCTTCTCACCATTTTTGCCACAAAAACTCCTATTAAAACCATGTGCATTGATGCTGTCGACGGGATCGGCGCTGGTTCCATGCCAAAGCTGCCTTTCATTAATAGTACTTGGCGGGTTTTGGTCTTCAAGATGCTTTTTCTTGGACTGGTACTGTTCCCAGAGAACTTTGTTTTGCACGCGTTCAATCTTTGAGAATGAATAAAGGTTACAATACCGAAAGTAAATATTTAAAAAGGCTTGATTAATCTTATAAATTTTTAAGTGAGCTTGTGTAGCTAATGTATACAATGTCAGTAACATAATATATTGAATGATTTTGAATAGAATAAACCAACCATAAAAATTGTAGGTCCCACTCCCAATTAGTAAAAACGCTTTGATAAATATTAACCTTGACAACAGTATAATCATGCAATTGCTTATTTGCGTCTGTGTACTGTCCAGCAGAATCTTTGAATTGTTTTTCAATCGCAGTATACTCTTGGCTGTCAGCAAGCAAAGATACAACTCGTAAATTTCCGCCCTTCATATCGTCCCAGTGTGCAGGGAGTTCATAAGTTCCACCTGAAATATTTTGAACTAGGCTTTCAAACTTGTTTTATTATAGTGTATTTTTTTAAACATTCTGCTTTTTATTTCTTATCCATAGATGATGTATTTTTCTCATTCTCTGTCGTTCAACATATTACAATAAAAACAAGAAAAGCATTGATGCAAAGCATCAAAGGGCGTCCAAACAGCAGGTGCAGATGAACTAGTAGATATATGATGACAAGATATTCTTATAAACTGTTCAATGGTTCATTGGGTTTTACCAGAATTGTATATTACTTTTGAATGAACGGACGAAAGATTATTTATAAATTTGATCGGCATGCTAGAAATTAGAATATTACTTGTTATTTCTTTATGTTCGTGGTTATTAATAGCAACGGATATACATGTATACAATCATTTATAATCCATATGTGTAACGCATGATCAACACCATACTTGTGTAAATGTCCCTTATTATGTTATCGCTATTAGCGAGGACCCCCTCTTAATGAATCTGTTCACACTAAGTAACAATATGACACTTGTTATATTACCATGTTGATCATAATTGTTTATTATACAATAAATGTAATTTCTATTTTGATAAAAAAAATACAGATTTTATGAATATTGTTTTCTTTTCTTTTTTTGTGTGTGTTTTATGCGCAATTTTAATACTGAGTTTTTACGTTTACTACTATTTTAAGAATTCAATTGTCATAATGATCGACGATTATATTTAAGTCAAAACTTAACTGGAAAAAGTCAGTAAATCATGGTTAATCTTTCAATATATAATATTGTTTATTCTTAAACCATATACATGTACATTTGTATTTTTCTTTATCATTTTTTAAATTATCAATCAATTGAATAATTCATAAAATCTGATTTGTAACTTTGAATAATTCCTCGGAATCTTTACTAAACACGAATAACAAATTAAATAAAATGTTTTAAAGTTGATAGTGTCATATTAATGCCATAAAAATGTACATTTTTTCTCAATTATTGTACATATTTATTGTTTTTATCTCATATAGATAAAATATAACATGCGATTTGTGTTGTTGGTTTTTTTTATGTATAATAATAATCAATCAATTCGAGAGTTGATCTGTGTTTATTAATTATTGTAACCAAACTAAGTGACAAACATTCATTTTGACAAAAAGCTTATTTATCTGTAAAATATTTGTTCTGTTCTGTAACGATATCAAACATCTACTCCAAAACCGGGAGAGACCGGACAATAAACGTGTGGTACTATTCGCCAGTCATTAGTAAATCCCGGGAGAGACCGGGAATAACCGATAGGAGTACATCCCTCTATAAATAGATTTTCGGAATATTTAGGTCATCAACTCATCATTCTATTAACAGCTTTCAAATCAAATCAAATCAAAATTTATTTATTGTCGGTATACATATATAACATTTTCGGAATAACATACCATAATAACCCACTGTGTACTACAAAATGATAAGCAAAAATACCCCGAAGAGCGCGATTTAATTTATTGACGGAAAAGGTTATTTCATTTGAAAATGTTTGCATTGCGAAATTCTCCAGTTCGCCATTCATTGTATATATCGCGACTAATTAATAATCAAGCACCCTCATACCGATCGGAATGATCGGCTTTTATTATTGGCAACTATAAAAGGCTCGAGAAGTTGCTGTCGCCCTTTCACAAAATCTCATTTCATTCCAATAGGCGCCGCGCTTCGGCGCGGACGCCAACAACATTTTTGTAAATGACAATGAAATTAAATAAGTTATCCTGACTTGACAAAGTATGTATATATTGTACAAGTAGACGATATACAATGCTATCACATACCAATGCCGCGTTTGCGACTACGTTAAAATAGTATTGCACGATAGTGCATATATTTTGGTATGACGTCACTTACGATAAACAAATAAGTTTAAAGTGCCGCTTAATGTTAGGATTACGCTATAGGGGCATGAATTAAAATGAATCTTTTTTTTACTTAAAACAGTTTTTATTTTGGGTATGAGATATATAGAATGTTCTATTCGTTAATCACTTAATTTACTGAACTAGTAAAAATACAGTATATTTTGCGAGTTCAATATTATTCGATGTCCTCTTTATTATACGAGTATAATCATTTTAAAAATTGTTTGGATTGAAATATATTTTAAATTATTAAAAGTATTGCTTTCCACGTATTTATGTCTATTTTCAAGTAGAAGTTATATGTAGGTTCACGTTCTACGTTACATTCTATCATCTTTATTGATACAGGTTTCCCTGTACTTGTCCAAATCTTGAATAATAATGTAAATACAGTAAGAAAATTGGTAAAAATATTAAAAAGACTTAGAGCGTTCATTTATTACAATGAGTTTTGATATAATGTTAGTGTGATGATTGACGTCATAACGCACGCATGTTTTAAGAGTAGAACAAAAGTGGCGACGTCACCAGAACCAGCTAATCATTTGCAATGAAAACGTCTTGGCCGTGAAATTGACACCAGGTTAAATTGTTTGAGTATTCAGAAAAGCATTGTTTAACCTCAAAGATTCTGTATATATAATACAATATTTTACGGGATGCACGAACAGTCAACGAGGATATATATCTTTGCCAGCGCCGAGAATCTGTAGTGAAGCCGTTAAACAGCCCTTGCCTTTTAAGTGGTTTATTGACACATTTATGCTGGTAGTGACCTGTCACAGTAAGTGTATTCAAAACCAGTGACGATTTGTACGTGTTGTAGTAACTTCGTCAGCAACACAAAATGCGATTCTATAGAAATTCATATGAAAATTTAATTTTTAAATGTAAACTAATCTTTTATCTTATTTAGTGTAGACGATGTATTATCAAATGCCAGAACCATTATTTAACAAAACGTTTGGTGTTTTGCAAATAATCCATCAATATATTTGCTTTTGGACAACAGTAGTACATAAAAGAAATTAAATTAATGGATGTACAGTTAGAGATGAAATAATTGCTAAGAGCTAAAACTTAAGCCTTACATTCAAATATTTTAGGAACCTAATACCTCCAGCAGTTAGCTCTAAGAATTTTTCGAAGAAAAACAAGTCAACCAAGTAAACCCAGTAAAAAAAATGTTTTCAGGAAACGCATTGATTCAACTCCAAATAACGACACTGATTAGTAAGGGCATCGTCTTTTTTACTCGTTTATGTTTATAATGATAGGTTATCCTTTTTTCAACGTTTTCAATGAATTAAAAGAACAAATAAGGTTAAAACATCAACAGTGTTCACGAATGAGTTTAATATGGAATGCTAGCCTCCCTTGTTGATCTTTGTTTTTACATTTTACACTCCTATGAAAGATGGGATTTTGTACCGTTCTTATCACAAATGTTAATTTGTAAAAATGTTACCCTATCTGATAATCAGATTTCAGTTTCAAATTTTTATTTACAAATTTAAACATACAATGTATCAAAGTAATTAACAAAACCTTTTACTACTTCCTTCCTGATGACTTTGACTTTATCTGAAGGACTACTTTCAGGATACTCTTCCATTAACGCAAAGTCAATAATATAGTCATTCCCGTCTATGCTAACAAAATAGAAAAAAGATGTTAAAGCATTACGATGTTACATGGAAAACACAAAACAAAACGTTTCAGAAGGTAAAAGCAGAATCAACACTTAATATACTGATGTATTCGAACAAACATTAGAATTTAAGTATCATATTTTTCTGTTTGAAAAATACGATTTGAAGTAATTGGAACAAACACATTATCCTTCAAGTTAAAACAAAGCTGGCAAAAATAAGTTAAGATTCTAAGGTTTCATGTCAAAACAAATTTGTTTCAAAAACAGCCGTTCTTAATGACTTTTAAGAAGAAGTGCAAAGCACTAAGGACCTCATAGCATAAAGTTGACCGACAAGTCAGTCAAAACCATTTATTTTTATACACGGATACGACTGAAAAAAACGCAACGAAGAGAAATACTCTTCCACTTTATATTTCAACGAATCTTAATATTCCGAAATAATGAGATCAAAGAAGTTTATTAAATTATGAATTATTTTTAAAATTATGAATTTCTTTTTAAAATATTCCAATTAAATTTCACGATATTCATATTTCAGATTTGTATCATTATCATTTGTATCATTGAGAACTTAATATATCCATCAAGATAAATTGATTGCAAATTGTGAAGATATTTTTACATTTACTTGACATTCATCTTTAAAATACATACACGTATTCAACCGTATCTTTTTGTTGTTTATAAGCATTTTCTATTTCCATATTTATGTCCTTTTCATATTGTAAAACCTTTTCACCAGTTTGTGAAACTTCAATAAAGCACCATTGTGCGATGTTCTTTAAATATTCCATTCGCTCCGCATCCCTCAGCAGCCTTGTAGTAGTTTATGAAACGTAATTGTAAAAATATATTTGATATATTAAGTACAATACAAATGCAATATCCCATTTGGCAATGCAAAATCATGTTCATATCATCTTATAACTGTAAAATTAATATTTATATTATCTATCAATATTTAAGTGACATTATGCTCATTTTTGGCTTTCAAACTCAGCTTAATTTGTAATAAATTACAAAAGATTTACTTTTATAGTGTATTTTGAAATAATAAATGTTTAAAAACTACTTTAGTTATAAAAAGACTGCCACAATCGTTTCGCAATTGAATAGTACAGGTATATTCCTAATTAATGCACCCATATTTAAATGGTATTTACATATGTTCTCACCATTGGTTGGTCATTTTAATCCAATGACACAATGTAACCAACGATGGAAGCGAGCAATCACAAAAGGTACGGTTACGGTTTTAAACAATTTTATTATTATATGAATAACGTTAAGAGGAAAATACTTAAACGAAATATCTATGAATTTTGTTAAGAATGTAATTACTGGGATAGTTTATCGTACAATTGAAATTTATAATTTGACGTCTTATGTCAATTAATGCAACATTCTATACTTGAAGAAAATTATAAAAATGTATGTACTTAGTTGGCAAGAATAAATTTGATTTGCAGAGAATAGAAAATACGTGAGCTGATCATTAAGTTCGTGGACAACGTAGCTTTAGGAAAAGAGAGTAGTTCTTCTTTCCTGGAGTTTTTTCTATACTTTTGGAGATAAACACAAAATTCTATTACAGCTCTCTGCTCAAGAATAATGTCTGACGTCGCATGAGATGTAATGTAATGACGTTAACGTCATTTCCGTATAACGGAGATTGGCTCTAATTTGAGTTTAAAATAGAAGTTTAAGTTGCAGAATAATTTCACATTATTCAACTGCGGTGATTTCGAAACCGATGGTTACCGATTTAACGTATATATGACGGGTTTTTTAAGAACTGAATTTACATGGTGATTTCTTAAAATGTATTGTAATGGTAAAACAAATAAATCAGAATACAATTTATTTATTTTGAGTGTTTTATTAAATCTATCAAAGAATTTAATAATCAGCCCCCGTATGTTAATTCTATCATTAAATCGTTTCTTTTTTACAGTTCAAACATAACAGATCAGGTCGCTTAGCATTTATTTATTAAAATAATTATTATTTTTATACCTTTGAGTTTTAAATATATTGCACTCTGAATTATTTTCATAAAGAATAGTATTAATAATGACCTTGCCAAAACATTTACTTACTTATTTATCTTATCTGAAGCATGCATTACGTTTGTTACTATTCCTGCAAGCTTTATAGTTGCTTTACTTTTATCCATACTCATTTGAACATGGCATTGGTGGGCTATTCCTTGTATTTCATCAACCTTAAAGTACATTATGTTATATATAGTGTGTGTGTCATCATAATATTTTATCAATGAATGAATCCTGAACCGGTTTCAGTGTGTGCTTGAATGAATGTACTACTGGACGGTACCACAATAACAGATTATATAGGCTGAATCTATGTAATTTGACAGGGATAATATATAAAAGAAAATATTGTTTAAATACGCGACATTTGATCAAGTGAGAAATATTTTAAGACTGTTAATATAATTTCTGACACCTGAACGTCTTCAAGCTGACGGATTGTGTGATCATCGATAATTTTTGTGTGCATTTCTTTTTCAAGAGAGTTCTCAAGCTTTTTAATAGCCTTGCGTATGATGTCCTCACTAAGAGCAATGATGATGAACGAAACAGAGTTGTAATCTTGTGCAGACTTTAATTTCATATTACCATTTCCTTCACTAGATCCTGCTATGCCAAAAACATCTGAAAACAAAATTATAATTATTTTATACTTAAATTGTGTAAGGATATTTGGGGCTTAAATTAACAGCTTTTTAGGACAAAATTTCTTTAGGGATTCCCTTTTCTCTTTTGCATTTAAGTATGTCACTTTTCAAAAATAATTCTTTTATAATTGTCATAATGAAAATAAGTTTTTAAATAAGACTTTACTTAAATACATGTAAATAATTAGTGTGTACTTTTTACTCCTTTCCATATATTTCCCATCCAGCCTTTAGAGTCACCAGCATCCTCTGCAGCTTTTATAAATTCAGGTAACAATTCATGTTGGAAGATGACAAGTCTTATCTCTTTTATGAATTTTGGCTGCGATTTTGAAACTTCCTTAACTGCTTTAATCATGCTTTTAGCTACTTCAGAAGCAGTCATTATATCAGATGCTGTCGAACCTTTATAAGGTAGTAAACATAATCGTATTTATGATATCATAAATACATATAAGTTTACATGAAAACTTACAACAACTATTCCAATGATATATTTTATATATAAACAACATTGAAACAAATATCAAGAAATTTGGCTGTCTTTTAAAATTGAAAAAGAATTACATAAACACAGTAGTTGTTGGTATACAATTTAAGTATCGAACAAACCTAAATTTATGCTGCCAGTTCCAAAAGCAGGTAATGCAATACTGTTCATTCTCTCGTTATCAGCTTCTTTTAAACACTTTTTTACAGTTGTTGACACATCATTCGGGTCTGCTTCGACATGAATGATATATTTACAAGACAACCCTGGTGCTAATGTCGTTACTATTTTGTTTCTCATCATTTCGGTTTCTATATTTAACGAAATAATTTTTTTTTACCAAATAACACCATTTTTTAAGTCGCTGTTACATTATATGCCAATTTAAAAGTAAAAGATTGGTGTATTCGTTTCAACAATGCATATTTGTTAAGTATTTAGAAAGAATAAAAGTCTGAAATATTGCTAATATTACAGCAACAGGAATGTAGGAAAACAAAATTAACATTTTTTTTTATTTCTTTAAACATTTATCTTTTAACTTCTTTGTTCTTTTAAACTATATAGAATAATAAACAACGACAATAAGATATTACTGTGATTTTCTATTTCTTCTTTTAATTCTGCTCCTCCTTTTTTCATCAATGTCTGTGACACTTTACCTAGATAACAAAAACGATTTTAAATCATTATTTAATTTTTACAATGATTGAACAATTTATGAATTGCTTGTAATGCTTATTGAGATGACAATTGAAATTTCAAAATGAGTCTGAAAAATGTCTTTACGAATAGTAATTTCAGTGCATGTCTGAAAAATACCTATTGTAAGGTTCAAGTTTGCATTAGTACTGTTCACGATGCAGTCAGTATTTTCATGTGTAATATCTCCTTGTTTGATCATGACATTGACGCTATCGAAAGTGTAGTTTCCACTTGTCTGTTGGTTGGTGTTGCTGGAACCCTTAGGTACGACTTCATATCCAAGTGTCTGTGCCTTTTGCCCTGATCAAGTACATGTACATAAATGTATCACAGTTATGTGTGCAAACGTGTACGGCTTCGTATATTGTGACAAATCATTTCATTTTTATTTTTCATATATACAGGAAAACTGCACTGACTAGCCATTAACAATTGGAAAGTAAAATATAAATAAGCAGACTTATAATATCCAAATGGTAAAAATAATTATCAAAGCGCTTGTTTATATAATAGCTTAAAGCTTATTATGCAATGACATTGGAAAGATATCTAACAACCTGATTTCCCTACAAGAGTTGTTGAATATTGTTCACCATGCAACTTGATCTCTTCTTCTTTGAAAGCCTTAAATTTAAAGTACGATGTAATGTTTAACTGTAAGTACAGTAGACAACGTTTATTGCCTGATACACACGTCAGTAATAACAAATATACATTTGTCCAGTAAAGCGTAAATAAAAGTGCATTTAATAGTTCATACCTGTAAGGTGTGACTGTCCATTTGGTAAATAACGAATCGAACGTCTTGTACACTTGTTTTTGAGAAATCTTTTTGAAATTTTTTAACCACCTTGAACATCTCTTTAGCCACAACCTCTCGCGGAAATCCTAAATTGCCTGTTCCAATTGCTGGGAAAGCAATACTCTGACACTCTTTGTGATGCGCTTCCTCTAAACATTTTCTCATCACCTTTTGGAGATTCTAGATAGAAAAAAAACACATTTTTGTTAGAAATATTTCTTTTCATGACAACTAAGCAACAAATTGCGTGATTAATTAATATTTCTTGGTCAAGATGATAAATGTATACGAAGCGCATCAATACCGTCAAATGAAATATATTTGATGATATACATGGACATGTTATAGTATATTCATATAGCTCACAACCCTAAGCATTTGCGTAGGTGGGGTGAAAAAGTTCGTTATTCTCAATAAAAGTTGTACATCTTTAAAAACGATTTTTTATATAATATATGTCGTTGAGATGGGAAATGAAATTTAACAACTTCATGTGCTATGTGTTGCAAACTAAATACTGTGTTATCATTTCCTTAGGCATGCTCGTCGTTTTCATAGCTCTCAAGCATATTTTTGTATTCAGCATTTCAATAAAACAAGCAATTATCAAAGTATTGCAAGCAATCCATAAGTCCCCTACCGGTTAGAGCCCCAGCAACATTTTGAAAGGCCATTGTCCATTCACTAATATTTCTATTCTAAGTAAACTTGTTGGAAAATTTCTTTAAAAGTGATCACAGGAAACAGTTTTTATGAACACACAGACAGACGGACTGAAGGACACTCTAAAGTTTATTTTTTAAACGTCCCTGTTACCAATATATAACATTTGTCAAAGAAAATGAGATAACTCTTGAAACGTCATACATGATGTAAGTGTAACAAAGAACAATAAGTAACGGAGGTGTTGATAATGCATGTTTATTTTGAATTTGAAATAAAAAGAAAATGAATGAGTAAGAAAAATTTAAAGTTTATGAAGGAGATAATTCTGGAAATATGGATGCTATATTTATAAACCTTGTCATATCATTATGATGTGGGAGTTTGAAGTAAATCATATATGTAATGAAGAAGTTGGAGTAAAATATACAATTTCCCGAACAAAAATCTAAGTTCAAGGGGGACATAATTATGGGAATAGTCTTGCTAGAGTATTGAACTTTCTCACAAATGATTTAAGTGATAATAAGAAAAATATATATGAAATTTGAAGAAGATACATTAAGAAAAAAAGAAGTTATTAAAAAAAACTTTTTTATGAACATTCTAAGTTCAGGGGAGTCAATTCTGATCATTTTTGTGCTGGAGTTGTTAACCTTGTCACAATGATGTGGTTGATGACTAGAAACTTATAGTTGAAATTTAAAATAAATACCTTTAGAAATAAAGAACTTATAGTGAAAAAAGCCTAAAAACTAGAATCAGAAATCTTCAGGTTGCCCACGTTTACTAAGTAATACTCCATATAGTTAAGATTAAAATGATGTGTATAATTAAAATACTGCCATCTTCATAAGTTTCATAAAAATTTCAGCTCCTTTTGACTAATCACAAATATTGTTATATTTGCCATGTTTTAAGCCTATTTGTTGCCATGGCAACCACTTTTTTCAACAAAGGAAGAAAAGAAAAAAAAACATGCATAATCTCAAGAATGCCATCTACCATCTGCCATTTCAATTTTTCATAAAAAAAACATTTTTATTACTTTTTGCATTATCACTAGATCCAGTTTATGTGTTAAATTTGCCATATTTTTAGTCTATTTGTTGCCATAGCAACCAGAGTTTTCAACAAAGGAAGAAAAGAAAATACGTGCATAATTTCTATACTGTCTTCTATCCATATAGCAAGTTTCATAAAAATATTTTCAGTACTTTTTGTCCTGTTTTGTGGACGGACGTACCAATTTTTCAGGTTTATGAGCTTTTTCTATTGTTCTTTTCTTTTGTTTCCTTGTGGGCTAACTATTGTTTCCTTATGAGCTAACTATTATTTACGGAATGAAGTCTTTTGTTCTCTTTTGTTCCAGTGTACCGTTAGTTAGCTCATATACATAAAATGTTTGTGCTGACTGACGGACTGACAGGCGGACGTTCTAACGGGACAGGAATAATGTGGATACTCTATTGTTCTCTCTATTGTTCTTTGTAGTCACACAAAAGAAAATAGCTTCATAAAAATATTACAGAATGAATGACATCAAAGAAAAAAAAACAGTTTCCTATTGTCCCTCTAGCTGCATTATCACTGTCCCGTAACAGCGGACGGGCAGACGGACGGACGTACCAACATCTGATATTCAGGAAGCAAATAAGCTAATTAACTACAAATGGACATAAGTCCATAAGCTCATAAAAACAAAAACAATAGCTCACAATATGAATTTTATGAGTTTTTGTTCTTTATTTAACTACAGAATGAAGCTCATTACTCTCATATGTTGGCTCGGACTGACGGACGGACTGACGGACAGAAAGACGAAGGGAGGGTAAACCTTAAGTCCCCTCCGCTAAACCGTTAATTGACTAAAAACGTCAAATGGACTATATTGTAAGTTGTTTTTTAAATGAAATGTTAAGGTGGTAAAATGTTAGGCTCACTTATCAAGATATTGAAATTTTAATTTGAATATGTGCAATGACTCGAGAAATTTTAATAATACTCGGCCCACTTATTGGTACAATATTGATATTTTTTCAAAATTCCAGAAAGATGGGGTCTATCATTTCAGATGATGACTTAATATTTTTTTGCACATTCATTTTACGTAAAACTTGACCTAATTATTTCATCATTTTCTCAACATTGTATGCACGAACGTACAGGTAATGCATTTCTAACTGTTGAAATAATTAACATTAGTCATGGCTACTGAATCGTACTGAGAAGTACTATTTATGCCAGTGTCATTGAAAGCCATTTTGTCGTTAAAACAATATGCGTCCTATACTATAAGAATCTGCAAATGAAAAACATTCATATCCTTAGAAATGTTCAGTAACTCAATACAATTCAAATACTTTTCTTATTTTGACTTACTTTGACACTCTCATTCGGGTTGTTTTCTTTGAAATTCGATAATGCTGTGTGAATGACAAACTGACAATTTAGCTTATGTCCACCAGTTACAGCTATTGTTCTTTTGTCGAGTCCATTTGGAAATTTTGCAGTGACTTCCTCTTGTAGTTCCTTTCCGGCTGCTTTTGATAGCGAAATAGACACAGCACCATTTCGCAAATCTAAATTATGTGATGTTGTGTTTACAATAACATCCACCTGGTTGTAAAACCAAAAATTTGATTAATATATTATAGGGGCCTTTTTATTGATGCAATTATGATATACAACAAGAGAGCCATGATGACCCTAATATCGGTCATCTGATTATCAAGGCTCTTAAGCTTTTAATGAAATTAGATGAAAAGTTATAATCTTAAACTGATATCAGAACGCTCGTATCTGGTATCTGCACCTAAAATGGTGTACATGTGAAAAATGTTTTCCATATTTGGACTGTGTTACAAAGGTTCTGGCCCTTGAACAGCTTGACATAGAAATCATTTAAACAACTATGCTGACAAATTTTCGGAATATTTGGTCTAGATATATTTTTGTTAGTGCTATCATTTTTGTCTCCATACTTGGGCTCTATGGGCTAGTTTTCGACCCAAGATAACCAATATTCATATTTGAGTTAAACATCAACAACCTTTCTGACAAGTATTCAGGATAATTAGGCTGACAATGTTTTCTTTAGAGTATTTAAAATGATTTCTTTGTCAGATTGTGGCTGTATGAACTTGTTTTTGACCCCAGCTGACCCACTCTCTACAAAGAGCAGAAATCCTCAAAACTCAATTTACAAGGTTTTTAAGCTAACAATGTAACTTTCTCAGAAAGGTTGTCCATATATGGCTTTTTGACTGAGTTAGTGACCCCAGGTAACCCATATTCATAACTTTGACCCAAGGTAACCCATATTCATAACCAAATCTTAAAAGCATCGCATTAATTCTTCTGGCATATTTCGTAGACATTTTGGCTCAATATTGTTCACAAGGTTTGTTTGATATATTTAGGCTTTGTGATCTTGTTTTTGATCCAGTATGACCCATATTACCACTTAAGTTAAAAATTATCTAAATATATTTTGTAACAAATTATCAGGTTTTAAGGCTAAAATGTTATCAGTAGAGCGTTAACAAGTTTTTACATGTTTGGGCTGTATGACCTCGAGCTGAAAACCTTTCCTGGATGTTCTAATTAAAACTATAGTCACTAGAGTGAAAATAAGAATTTATATTTTAGGCTCCTGTGACCTAGTTTTATATCAAAGATGACAAATGTTTAAACTAGTCCGATCAATTACTGAAAGAAACATCCTGTCCAAGTTTGATGACAACAGATTAAAATATGTGACCACTAGAATGTTAACGATCTAAATGAGGTCGAACGATAGATGACAGACGACAAAACATTCAATATTCCTAAAAGTATACCCACAGCTTGCTCAGCTAAATTCCAGGTCCAAAATTTATTAATACTTAACAAAGTCAAATATTTAACTTGAGACCCAATAATCCAAGGAGTAAAGTTCATTATTTGATTGAACTGCGTTCAAAATGCGACGTTGAACAATCGGCGCTGGAATACAAAGACTTTTTTCTTTCGAACTTTATTTTATTATAGACCTGATAAAATTTACCAGACATTATTAAATTTTAGTACCTATTCTTATACTATAATGTATAATTATATTGAACAAAAGGATAGAACTTGATAAAAAATTATGATCATTGATTATCATGTTTAATTAGCTGCATCCTATTTAGTATTTTAATAAGCTTATAGTGATCTATAGTTCGTTTTTTCCTACTTTTTGTCTTGCAATTTCTCCCTTTATTACAGATACAGCTACATTGCCTATGACACCACTATCATGTTTCAGAATGCCCTGCATTGAATGAGAAAATCCTTGTCCATCTGAAAATAAATATTATCGTAAAGAAAATAACATTCCTTTTAATTGTGTTACAATCGTATTTGCATGTTTGATAAATATATTTTATTAAACTACTTTTGATCAGAAGTGATTCTGCTAATTGCCGTATTTTTATAAAGATGTATTTACATTTTAATGCAATATGTTAAAAGAAGTAACAATTATGATATAACCAGGATTTCTAAACGTTCTTGATCCTGACACACTCTTTGGTCTAGCACCCATTTGTGCCGGATTTCCGCTATCCTGCAAGACGACGTTAGCCATTCCGAATATATTACGTAATGCGCTTGTAAATCCTTCCACATTTGTTGTGTTCATATCGCAGAGATATATTTCACGGATTGAACTGTCCTGATACTCCATCAATGTTCGCTTTAACGCATTTACAATGCTTGTTGTTGAAATATCAACCGGAAACCTTAAATAAATGAAATAATAATTAGATTACTAAAATAATCAAAAATTAAATTCACCAAATACTATGATGCTTATATAACAAGATTACTTTAATTATAATGTTACAGCATTAAATTAACCGAATACTATGATGCTTATATAACAAAATTACTTTAATTTTAATGTAACAACATACCTATTCACTCCGCAACCTATAGCTGGTATTGCAATGGACCTTTTCTGTAAATTGCCTGTTTTTTGCAGACACTTAAAGACTGTTGATTCTAAAATCTTATCCATATTTTTTCCATTTTCCCATTGTTGACTCTTTATGTGTGCAATATTTTCAGCTTGTAAATCTCCTGCACTGCTGATAAAAACATCTCCGTCGTTTAAAATTCCATTTTTATTTATATAGTCTTCACATTCATATTTTATTAGTCGTCCACCTACAATAAAAATGTCTGACATTGAATGATATTTTATAGCTTTCAAATTTACAATTATTGTATTGATAATACGAACTTTCAGAAATACATAAATCATTGTGAAAAAGATAAAAAGTAGACAATTGTGTACCTTTAGCGAAGATTTTTTTTCCAAGTCCACCTGATGATCCTAACTTTTTATCAGACGGGTTGACTAAAATATCGACATCGAGTTCTGTCATATCTCCTTGCCAAACATAGATATTTGTTCTATTATAGGTTGTATATGATCTAATTCCAAGTTCTTTTTCTGTCATGTGTTTATCAGCCTCTTCTCCTTCAACAGCGATTACACATGACAATGAATGTTCAATAGTGTGAATGCTATCTTTACCTTTAGGAGACATTATATGTTCTGCAATCCCAGGTTTAGTGACCGTATGTTTTTGTTGCTGAACCCTTTTTAATAAAATCTTAATTTGTTCTGTTGCGTCTTGAATACCCTTCTGCAAACCTTGTATTTCAAGACCTCTGAAATGATCCATGTGTCTGATCTTTACATAGTATTTTTGATACTTTTGAGCAATTTCTTCAATTTCTTTTCTACAATTCCTTTCCAAGAACCGGTTGAGTTCTTTTGAGTTTGAAACAGTTTGAGAGGAAATAGTGTTGGTCTTTAAGAAACTTTGAATTTCTTCTTTCACTGATGTGTATATGTCGGTCAAAGCACCAATTTGAATATTTGTTTGGTCATCGTTAAGTGATATTACAACTTTTCCAGGATGCTTTGCATATATTTCTTCAGTTTTTCTTTTCCATTTTTCCGTTTCTAAATCTGGGACCTCTCCAATGTTTGTTGCTATACGTTCACAATAGATGAATGAACGGATAATATCTGCGACTTTGCTACTTGACGATGGTTTGCAACAACATACAACAACCCCGTCTGTGGTTGGTTCCCATAAAGCTTGAATATAATTCGCCTTCAGTTTGCTGTTCAGTGCAATAATTGTGCCATCTAATTGCAGTAACTTAAGCGCGAGTTTAGAAATGTCATCAATCTTTTGCACTTGAAAACTGCTCTTCCTATCATAGATAGCGATCTGTGCGTTCCTGACACTACTTATCAACCCTTTTATGTGTATTTCGTTTTTGAAAGCCTTGATTTCAACCTTTAAGTCATCAAATTTATCTTCTAGTTCTTTTGGCAGGTTTTGAAAAACCATCATTTTTGTCTCTATGGGCTCTAGATTTGAAAATATTTCTGTAACGTGTTGCTTCTCTTTTTCGGCAGCATCCAGTACTTTCTTTATTCCTTCTTCTATGTCGTTTTTAAGAACTTCAGCTGCAGCTTTCGTTCCGACAATAAAAATATGATTTTCATTTCTTTTGTTGACAATCGCAACATTGGTTGCATCTTTAACATGAATTTTCTGTAGAAACTCCATCACTTTTGATCTAATATCTTGCAATATATCAATGCGAAGAAGGACAATCGTATCGATCAGTTTCATAAATGCAACCTGTGCTTGCTTTCTCCATCCTTTTGCTATTTTGAAGCAGTGTTTTACATCTTTAGTAAGCGTACAATGTAATTGTACACTCTGGTTGATATCAGATGGCCACACTACCTTCGTGTACGTTGTTATTAATTCATCTTGAACGGTTTTGCTCATTTCGCTTGAACTGGAGGCAAATGAAATCTTATGAATATCTACATCCTTTATTTCTATGAAACGTGGCAGGCGCCATTCCCTTTCTTCTGTTTCTCCTTCTGGGCGTCCTAATACAGGCTGAAAACGTTTAACTTCTAATTTCTGATCTCCAAGAGTGTGATTCATACCAAGAATATCATCAATTACTACAAAATCAATACAAAACATGATGCAAAACTAGCACAGATACAAAATATGAAAGACAAGGTCAACAAGGAAGGACAGCGTTAATGAACGCAACCCTTACACGGTCCAGCAACGCAAGACCACAAAGAGCCCAGCAGTACAACAAACAAAAACAGGACAGGGCACAAGGCAATTCACGGACCGGGTGATTACACCAATAAATTTCAAGAGATCACAACTTACACTAAAACTACCTGTGATTTACATTGAGCAAACATTGGCATATGTTGTATTTAATAATAGATTTCAAATATGTCCTGTAAGGCATTAAATCTGAATCTTAAATTAATTTCTTAATGTTGCTGTTATTTGATCACAAAAAGGCAAGCATGTAAAAAATATTTTAATTTCTTGTTATTTTAACAAACGAAACGTTTAAACTTTACTTAATATTTTAATGTTTCTCATTGCCGACACATTATAGCTACAAACTTTGTGAAAATGATAAAGGTACTTATTAATTGAAAAGATAGTGTATAAATCATATTAAACACACCTTTATAATCATCAAAAAAGACCATACAAGTACGCTCATAATCGTCTTCATTCAACACAATTCTTTCTACGTCTCCGCCCCCAGACTTCCTTTTGTTTTCAAAATAGTATTGCAATGTGTCTTTTGTTACTTTCGGTGCAATATTTGTCACGACAATACAATGTGATACCTGAACCTTTGATACTTTAAGCCATGCTCCCTCTAACTGCCTTTCATTACATGCCTTTTCAAGCTTCTCAAACTCTTTTTAAAAGAAATTAGGAATTTTGGATGAACATTGTTTATTGAAATTGCAGGAAACCTTATGAAATTTGATAGTATAATAAATTGAAAATATAAATCACTTTATCTAAGAATATATACATTTATATGAACAAAATATTTAATCCAACTTAAGCATACTCGATAAAATGTAATGTTGTTAGTATTTTTTTATCAATTGTAATAGTGAATTATTTTAAATTTAAAAAGTGCATTTTACACACATGTAAATCAATGATATTGTATAATCTTTATATGATTAGTAACAAAGTACTTGGTTTTTCCTGTAATGTCACCAGCACAATACTTTCATCTTCTTCATGGTGATCCAATCTAATTGGTTGTACATTTGCTGTGGCTTCAAGGAATAGGAACAGGGCATCTTTGGTACTTTTCAACCCTTTGATAAGAACTTTGTCATCGTAATAAGGTGGTGGTTTGTAAAGACTTACACGCACTGTACAGTTTTGTACAGTATGCGGTTTCCCAGCAACATTGTTTGCATCTGTTATTATAAGGTTTATTAATTTCAACAGTAGACAGAGTCGAAGATTTGTTTTTAAATATATATATAAGTGATTGTTTCCCTTTTAATAGAATATATTCATCGTTTGTTCAATTTTTTTACTTAAGACTCCTTTCGTTTTACATTTTAAAGACTTTGACATCGAAAAATTCTTTTTCGTAGGATTACCAAATTTGATTTTTTGCAATGCAAGTTTTACAACATGATGAAATAGTGAAACGAAATTATCCAAGAAATAATAAAGTTAGTAGAAGTTAAAGACAACCAATGAATTAAAAAAAACTTTTGTATTGAACAACACACATGTAACCGAATGAAAGCATGTCCGTGCATTCCATTGATAATAAATGTAATAAATGACTGAAAAAATATTTAAAAAATAGCAGGAATCAAAATGATAAAATCAGAATAAGGTAACACGTGCAATGCTTTCAGAGATGTGTTGATTCATAAATGATGTATTTGACAATTCTAATAGTATTTTCAGTCAAGAAAATATATAAAATTATATTTAATCTTGTTAAGATAATGGTGAAACATATAGAAAAAATATTTCGTGACCTTCGGGTGATTCAAATGTAATGAATACGACATTTTCATCTTCTTCACTGCAACGTATGTCCACAATGGGTCCACCTCCAGATCGTTTTTTACTTTCAAAGTAGTATGTGAGTGTTTCGATTGAAACAGTTTTGTCTACACCTTTTACTTTCACAGTATCGATAGTTTGTGTCGGACGTTCCTCATCACTGACTGGCTTTGTTTTTAGCATAACTTCATATCCTTGCTTACTATGGTCATGAGAAACAACTCTCTCTGCGACTACAATTTCAAGTGTTATTAATATTCGATACACATAATCGATAATCACATTTTTTTTTCTCAATTTAAATTAGTATGAATAATTAAAACTTATAATTAATTCTTTAAAAACGATTCGTAACCAAACAAGAAATTTATCTATTCGATAGCCTTATATCATTAGATTTCACACTAACTTTGTTTAATCTATGCATATATTTTTTATTTATTTAGACCTAGTTTACAGATTACATAACGAACATACCTTCCGTATTTTCAAATGTTAGGTAAATTATATTATTCTCAACATCAACATTATGGCTAACAATTTCACCACCGCTTGAACGTCTTTTATTTTTGAAATACATTAAAACCTTTTCAAGATTACGTTCTATGTCGGATACACCATGAATTTCTATTGTGCAAAGATCAATCTGTTCTTCTCTGTAGCGTTCAATAGATACAATGTGTTCTTTCATTTTCAAAGGAGTCTGTTTCATAATAAATTCTACGGCTACAAGATAAAAAAATCATAGAGACAAAGTTGAATGAATTACTCTCAATCATGTAGCTTATCATAAAAAAGATATGTTTAGATAGAGTTATATAATTTTAGCATTAATATTTCAGCATACATTTGTTATTGTCGTAATCTGCTTGCATCTTTTAATATCTTCCTTCTTTGTATTGTTGACGTTCTGGTGAAAACCCCTAGCATTAAAATGGAAATTGTTAACGCCATTCAAGCAAAGACTTAAAAGTCTAGAAGTCATATTTATGTAATGAATGTAAAAGTCAATCTTCTTCTACTTTGAACAAAAATACTTCATTCTTTCAATTACCTGTTTGGTCATGAAATTCTACAACAGCTGTAGATTTGTCAGTGTCTAGTTCAACATGTTCTACCACCATTTCATTTTCTCCAAAGTCCTCAAAATATAATTCTAAATACTCTTTGTCAATTGCCACAGGTAATTCTTTGATGAGTATCTTTCTGGTGGTTTCAAAAACCCTTGACTTATAACCTTCATTTGGCTTATTATATAACATTACTTCCAACACTGTACCCTTCAACTCATGTTTAGGTCGATTTACAACCGAACGAGCGACTGAAAACAAATAAATTCAATACGACACAAACATAATTCCACAATAATTAATGTTTTATATCAAGTTCTTAAAAGGAATATTCTATCATGCATTTTGTCATTATGTTTTGAGAATGATTACTTGTTTACTTAATATATTCAATTATAGTGTAACTTACCTTCCTCAGTTTCAAATGTAATGAGCGCAATATTTCTGTCTTTCTTAGCCTCACATTGAACGATTTGTCCTCCTCCAGACCGATTGGTGTTTTTGAAGTACATTCGTAATGCATCTATATGGTTTTCTATATTTGGAAGACCTTGAACTTGTATCGTACATTGTTTTTCTGGTTCATATGTATATAGCGAAACGCCGACGTAGTGTCCATCGATACATATTGGTTGTCTTTGCAAAATGCTTTGGGCGTCTACAATTTATATATTCTTACTGGTAATATAAGTATAGATATTTTCTAACTTTCTTTTGTAATTAGGTGTAATTCGTTAATTCAAATAGTAAGCATGTCCAATTGATTGAAATTTAATATGATTTTTCAATAAATATTTGTAAAATAATAATTAATATAACTTGTTCTTGAACATTTAATGCAGACATTTTTAGAAAACTGTTTTGAATTATTTGCATAATTTGCAAAATGGCATATTAGTTATGAACATTTATATGCTTTATGCTTTAAACAAAATCAAGTTTAATTATTGCAATACATTTATTTCCAAACACATTATTTTAAAATATTTTCACTGTCTTACTTATTCACTATCTTAATACCATTTGAGTCTTGAAGCTCCAATACGATCGTTGAATCGTCATCACCAGGAATTTCAGCTTTAACGTGTAGGTTTTCAAACATATCCTCCAGGTAAAGGACAAGGACATCTTTAATTTCTTCATCAACGCCAGAGAAAAGCAACTTATTCGGTTTTTCGGAAAATGAAGTGTAAGATTTGTGTTTCATTAATTTCACATCAATACGTGACGATTTGAACTGGTGATTTGTCCTTTCTGCTACACGTTTAGCAACTAAAAACAAAATATAATCATAGTATCTGTCAACATTATTTGAGCCGTGTCACGACAAAACCAACATAATGGGTTTGCGACCAGCATTGATCCAGACCAGCCAGCCATGCTGGTCGCAGACCCATTATGTTGGTTTTGTCGTGGCGCAGCTCATTTTATGTTAGGTTGGACCAAATTTTCACGAAAACCTGAAGCAATTAAGTTGTTGACAGAATAAAAAAAAACGTGGTCGACTACCATGACAAGGATTGCCTAAATGATCTGTATCACGATTGATATTTTTATTATAATTTCTCATAATTATTATACATATTAATGTTGTTGTTGTTGTTGCTACGGCCGTTGTTGTTGTTGTTATTGTTTCTGTTATGATTAGTAGTAGTAGGATTGGTAGTGGAGGTGGTGGTGGTGTTATTTTTGTAAATGTTGTGATAGGTTAAACACTTTCATTTTTACCACTTTAGAAAGATTGATTCATTCTTCACGGTATATAAGAATAAGAAACAGCAATAACATGTAACATGTTATTCATTACGATATTTCAAACAGTATCAGTACTATTAATAGCAAATATTTTTCATTTAAAGAAGTATATGTGGCAAATAAATAAATATCTTTCCCTTTTACCCAATCTCAACTCATTTATGTAATGAAATGATTTAACGGACCAGTGTTTCTACTCAGGTACCCATTCGTGCCTGAAATAAAGCACGGAAGGGCAACTGAGGTCTTCCTTCGCATGTAAAGCTGGTACGTCGCCATATGACCTATACTATGTCGGTGTGACGTAAAACCCAATCAACCACAGAAACATATGAAATTCTTCACAAAGAACGATATCAAATACCAAGCTTATTTTTTAACACATCAATACAAAGCAAAGTGGGTTTTGATATACATGCATGTATTTATACTATACTTGAAAAAAACACGCTCAAGCTTCATGAATGAATTATGTAAAATAATAATAATTTCTAAATCTTTTAACTAAGTTTTCCAGTTGTTTTTTTTATTTACCCATGCTAGATGAAAATGTAACTTGGGCCAAGCCAGGATTTTGAAAGCTGCAATCAATAACATCTTGCCCTCCCGATCGTTTCTTGTTATTGAAATACATTTTAAGTGATTTGATATTATCCTCTGTAAGTATATCAACTGGTCCTGTTACCACAACAACGCACGGTTCTTCTTGGTTGTCTTCTTTAATAGCTTCAATATACACTGTCTGACCCTCAACATCGACTTGCTTCTTCTGGAGAATGCTTTCTACGTCTTAAAAGGTAAATGAAATAAAACATAAATTACAAGGATTTTTTAAATATTAATCGTTTTTTTTTCTTCATTATCTAAATAGTACAGACTATTACATTCATATACTGCTTTAAAAGTAACATCATGAACGCTTAAGATTCTTTCGTCCGTAAGTCAGATAAAATTTCCAAAAATTATCAAATTGTATAACCGTTACGAAACTAATTTAAGCAAAATATTTAATATTGAATGTAAGACTATGAACTGTTTATATATTTGAAAAATGTTGTACATGTTAACAATATTCAAAAAGTCACCCTTTAATCATTGATATAGACATTACACGTATTGTCTCAAACAAAAGAAAGTTGTCGATTATCTGTCCCATTTGTGCCTTTCTAAGGCTAATGCGTGAGTGGATATTTTCAGGTTCTGCGTTCTATTAATGTTGCCCCTTAGTGTTTGTCATTCATATCGTATTTTAGATGTTACTAAGCATTTGCATGTTAAACATATGATTCAGATAAAGCATACTTTTTGACAGAGGTCATTCTAAAGCATATTTTTTAAGCTTTTTGAAAGGATAAAGTTCCTGTGAATGAAAAAAGAAATGAATGAGTATCTCTTTTTTTGCAGCCGTGTTTCTGAAATTAGCTTTCTGTCAAGATTTCTTACGTCAGCAAGTAAACAGAGTATCATGAATTGGTCGCATTGCTATGGAACATGTTGTTTTAACGCTATTGATTATTACTAGTTGCATTTGAATACAAATAAATATAATAAAAGCGATAATGGTGATGAATTTGATGTTGATAATTATGATGATAATGAAATTGTTATGACGTCGATGAGGATGATGATGTTGTTTATGATTGTTGTTGTTGTTTGTTCTGGTGGTGGTGATGATGATGATTTCGATAACAAAAAATAACCATTGGCTTCTGCAAATTTTATGACAGCACTGCAAGTTTTTGGGTCTAGTTTAACATCTTCAACACTGATATTTTCTCCAAATGTGTCAGCATCCTCAAAAACTACTTCTAGAGTATCTCTGTCAATTTCCTGAGGTAAATTCGTGATCCGTACTGTTTTTGGTTTCGTGTCTTCAGATGCTCTTTTCAAAAGAAGTTCTTTATCAAGCAGAACAACATTCAGTGTTGCGTCTTTGTATAAGTGATCTTTTCGCTCACATACAGCTTTTGCAACTGAAAACAAATATTTTCGTCATGAAATACAAGAAAATAGTCTGAACATTTATAACAGTATATTGGTCCATTAAACATAAAATACATACATGTGATTCAACACGATTGTACTATTCCTAAATGCAATATACCTTCTTCAGATTCAAAAGTTATCAGAATGGTTTCTGTAGCTGCCGTAAATTTGAAGTCCATTATTTTTCCTCCATCAGAACGTTTATTGTTGCCAAAATACATGCGAATAGTCCCTGCAGACTTTTCTGATATTACTCCTTTATTTGAGGTTACCTCAATGGTTTTAGGACCATCTTGAAGTAATGGTTGTACTTCTATAAGCTCTACAAAAACCTTATGACCTTCCATGTCTAAAGGCTGTTTCTCCATTAACACATCATACACTGAAAAATATATTTTGTGTATATAACTTTCCATATTTGTAATTAAGGAAAATAAAGCGCCATAAATTATCATAAGTAAAAAAGTAACTTTTCTGTGCTTGCTTATTCAATCTTTCACATAAATATATAAGTAAAATTGTATGCGAAAATAAAAGGAAAGATAATTACTCATTTCAGGATTGATATTGTACGGATATAATATGTATTTATTACATACCGTCTTTATTTTGAAATTCTATTATTGCTTCAGTGCCGTTTCCACATAACTCTATTGATTCGAATGCAACATCATTTCCTAATTTTTCTTCCAAATATAGCTCTAAAAAATCCCTATCACTATCCTCTGGTAAATTTGATAATTTAGCCTTTGCAATTTGTTTCTGGTATTGTTTATCTTTCTCCAGGAGAGTACCTCAAAAATTGAAATCAATCTAGTAATTTAGTGTTACTGTATTTGAACATTATTTCATGTGACAATACAACTCAACATATATGCCGTACAGTTAACATTTTTCATGAAGTAGTCTAAATATGATTTCCTTACTTGTAAGCTTATACAAAGTACAGACAGCAATTAAATTATATTTAAGAAAGAAAACAGTCGGTAATTACTTTGAATTACAATTTTGTATCTGTCAATTATAAAAAGATAAATTATAGAACAATTGTCGTCATGGTAATCATTTATTCTTGGTTAGGAGGAAAAGATATTACAGTTCCGTTGTCGCATGCTTGTGGCATAGCTTTTATGTTGTTTTTCTTCACTGCTATGTAACTACAAGATCATCATACCTTGTTGATAATGGTCCACAAATTCTCTGTTACTGTTAGCAACCTTCTAGTAAATACAAAATTAAATGTTAATTCCAATTTTAAAAGGCAAGTATTATTTTTCGAGAATTTTGTACATTCTGGTACGCGTTAGTTGAACTTAATATGACATTATGATGTATGACTTATAAGTGAGCTGGCAATAAATGCTTAAAAGCTAAAGTTGCTCGGGAAATGAATTGCATATTCTGTTCTTTTCTGTTAGGAAAACTGTATATGAATACTGAATTACCTCACTGTTGAACCATGCTTCTGGTATATTAGACGCGTTGCATGTGTAGAATGAAACTGTATAAGTTTCATCATCTGTATGAACCTGATCCATTTGTATTTCATCGCAAAGGTAGGTAACACCTACAATTACGATATAAACGTTTAAATTTATAGATACACTATTTACAAAAAAAATGTTTATATAAAGATCATTAAGTCCTTCACAAACGTAACAACAATAAAAACAAATAAAAAACTAAAAACAAACAAAAAACTAACAAACAACAGGGCATTGATGGCCTTATACTCGCATACTTGGCTCTTTATGACAAAAAGGAACCATTAATAATGTATGAAAAGCAGTTGAAAGTAAATCTTATTAAACTGATATCTGATAACGTTCATGTCTGCATCTAAAATAGTGCTTATGTAAAAATGTTACTGCTTGTTCGTGTTAAGGAAATAAGAATATACTTTAAAAGTCACTGGTTGCTGCACGAAAATGTTGCTGTTGAAGGTAATGGTTGCCATAAAAGTTAATGAATGATTATTTTGTTACTATGGAAAGTCAATTTAAGCTATTATAGTAACTGGTTGCTATGTAAAAAGTCAGTGCCTGCTATGGATCCACTAGTTGCTATGGAAATGCACTGTGTACTACGGAAAGTTAATGGTTGCTATGGGGACTTTATAAATGCAATGGTATACAATTGTTGCTATGGAACATCCTTAGTTGCTATGGAAATTTGATAAATGCTGTGAAATACAATTGTCGCTATAGATAGTCAATGGTAGCTATGAAAGCCTCTTGTTGCTAATTGAAATTGATGGTTGTTACGTATTCCATTGGTTTCTTAATACATAATTCAGTACTTGCTGTGGAAATCAATGATTGCTTTCTTAGTCAATGGTACTAATGGAAGTCACCGGTTGCAATGGCAGTTAATGGTTGCTATTTAAAGTCACTGGTTGCTGATGAAAGTTAATGGCTTATATGGGAATCAAAGCAAATCGTTACTATGGAAGTCACTGGTTGTTATTGAAAGTCATTTGTTGCTATGGAAATTCAAAAAAAAAGGAATTATTGCTTTTTGATACCTAATTGTTTCTATGAAATTAACTGGTTGCTTTAGAAAATCAGTGGTTACTATGAAAAGTCATTGGTTGCTTTAGATGTCATTGGTTGCCATAGAAGTAACTGGTTGCTACCAAAAGTAAATAATTGCTTTGAAATAAAAGTGTTGCTTAGGAAAGTCAATGGTTGCTATAATAATTGAAGATTGCTTTAAAAATCAGTGGTTGCTATTGATCCCACTAGTTTCTAATAATGGTAATGCTTGGTTGCTATGAAAAGTCGCTGGTAGCTATAGATGTCACTTGTTGCTATATAAGTCACTTGTTACAAATTAAAATCAATATCTGCATTAGAAGTTACCAGATGCTATGGAAAGTCAATAATTGGTATGAAATTGTTGTTATGGAAAGTCAGTGGTTGTTACGTAAGTTAAAAGTTGCTATGGAATGTCTATGGAAGTTAAAGATTGCTATACAAGTCAAAGTTTCTAAGGAAAAACATTTGTTGTTCTGGAAAGTCAACGGTTGCTACGGAAGTAAATTGTTGCTTGGGAGTCACAGGTTTCTATGGAATGTGGAGCAAATTTAAACCTCAAGGCTATAGTTTCAACAAACTTTGTTTGAGATAAACAAAATTATATTTCATGACATATATCCTAATCTAGCTTTTTTTTTAAATTTTACAATATTATACATGAAAGGGAAATTCATACCACTCTCGGGCGGGGCTACTATTGAACCCATGGTTATGAAATTAAGAAAAATCCTTGAGAAAGCCACCAATACAGTGTTTCTTGCCAAATATATCTGATTTATCTTTTTATTGTTTTAGAGAGGAAGGTTTTACTATAAACATTAGGTACATAGCGCTATAACTTGACTAAATTTGATAGATATATTTAAGCTTTAGTCTTCATGGTGTTAAAAATTCTAACACCCCTGGGCGTAACCAATTTTGACCACAAGGTTTAAATTTGAACAAATTCTTTGATGATTTTTTCTTAAATAGCTTTCATGTCAAATCATTCTTGCTTTGTTCTTAAACTATTCTCCTATTGGTTTAGGAGGAGATTTTATTGTAAGAAAAATTTTGACGCTATTAACGATTTACAACGAACGCATGTTGTTTTTTTTCTGTAGATGTCGTTATAACAATAGTTCATTTTATATGTCAACTAATAGTTTGTGTGGGTGAATCAGTTGAATCTAAGGGCACATGTAAAAGTAGTCTTTCTGCTGTAACACTTTTTGCAGCATGTGATTTCGAGGTTACATTGTCCGTTCTCTCTATTTTACATGTCTGCATATTTTATAATATAAACAGACTTTTTAGTTTTGTAAACCTTTAGTGTAAGGATAGCCAGTACTCTCTTTATCCCCGTTGTTCGTTTCTGTTTTCCAGCAAACATGCAGTACTGCTTTCATGCACAAGATATTTTCTTTCGATTTAATACTGAAACATTTGGTGTCAAACTTGCAAAACTTGCAAAGAGATAGTCTACTTGATTATCAGAAGATAAGCCTACTACTCGTACAAAGACTTCCCGGAGGAATTGACACAATTGATCTCGCAATTTTTTCGTACAGATACAATATGAACACAATTAATGCGAAGGCATTTTATGTTAGAATATAAAACCACGTAACATTCGTGAGTGTAATGCGAACTTACCAACGAGTGACCAACAAAGCTTGACAGGGAGGTAAAGTGTGTATATGTGTTTGGGTGCGCATGCGCGCGCGTGTGCATGCGTGCGTATTGGAGTGTGTGTGTGTGTGTGGGTGTGTGCATGTGCGTGTGTGTGTGTGTGTAACAGGGGCAACAGTAAGGCAAAGAACATGACGCGACATTACATGAAACAAATAGTACAGGTAAGCGATTTTATTTTGCGTTTACACTTAAGGCAACAAAGATCAAGAAATGTTCGCTGAGGCGAATATTGGAAGGACAAGAAAAGAGTTTTATTTTGTACAATAAAATTATCAAACTTGCCCTTTTTTATTTCCTTTTATTTTAACACAGACAACAAAATATAATACATGTATCTTAGAATTACAGAGTCGGGTTTGGTCGAATCTTTTCATAGTTACAGCTAGCCATGAATGCTCATTTAGTCGAGAAATACACAAATCACTCCAGTAACATTACCCGTAAACCTTTTTAGGCTGCTAAGATCTGGGAAAAAAACTTTCACACGACTGTATCTCTAACTGCCTTGAACTACTAGTATTACAAATTTTGTCCATTATAAACCGTGCATCAAATATAGAAAAAAAGAGTAAATAAGAATACGGGTGTTAAATGTCCGGCAATAAACTTGGCAACTATTTTACGTCAACTTTAAGTTTTTCATTAATTTAGGCAAAAAAAATATGTATTTAGTTGTGATTCAGTGTTTAATTTTTGCTCCTATCATAAAAATCAAAATGTCTTGATGTTCAAGCTTAATCATAAACACTTAACATCGTTGATAGCTAACATCGCATTTATTATCGCATAACACGTATATAATAGCATACAAGTTTAAATGTTTAATATTTTTTCAATCGTCGTTTGATACAGTATTGTGTAACTAGTTAAACGAATTTGAACATGACATGTCTAACCTACAACACACAAGTCACCTTCAAATGTTGCTTATCTTGCAAAAAAGATGTACAGGCAACACCGGTATGCTTAGTTGACACAATTCAAATGAGTCGGTAACCAGGGGAGAAAATATTGTATAACATACATGAAGATACCTCAACGATAGATAACGGAATATCCCTCGAGAGAAACGAAATCAATATTAAAGAAAATCGTACATTTGGTGGTTACATTGCATTGGTTTCTGCTTCTTATAACATAATAATCACCATAAAATCTAAAGCCTCCTACTCTATCAATGTAATATCATGTAAATAAACAATTATTGATCACAATTTATTTGGTTACAGGTCAAATCAATCATGATTTTCTTTTGTTCCAAGATAAAGATTTTCAGGAGGTTTGTAAAAAAGGAATAAATGATTGCAAGACGCTATTGAATAAGCAACATAAGTTGACAGCTAAAATATAATGATAATTAAGCCAAATATGTTAACTATTTACAAATTGGATTTTTTTACAAATGTTTATGCGTTCATCTGCCTTTTAAAGGTAGTAGTATTATAAAAATGATGGAATTCAACGAAATAACGAGTAAAGTAAAACCAATGCACTTTACCTTAACATTCGAGGTCTATAATGTTTCAAAATGACTGACACATTCCATGAAACATGAAGTCAAACTACTTTATTCCGATGACATTTTCATTTTACATAACAACTAGGTTTTGACGGAAATTGATTGTAAACCTTCCTGACTGCGAAACGTATAAATTTGGATCAAGGACACACACTTAAACTTCTATATTAAGGCGACGTGTAAATGTGTGAAACATTTGATACATTAAATGAAAGTACAAACATTTAAACAGATCACTAAAATGTGAAAGAGCCAGCGTCAAGAAGGGTTGAGGTCGGTTAGTGAGGCAAACTTATGAATGCACATTGTCCCTACTTGCTTTGACGCAAATTCACGTATGATTGAAATACACCCATTTAGCACCCATTCACACCGTAAGACAATACTTTGAGGTGGGATTCTTTAGGAAAATGCTTGAAAATTGTTATTTCTGCTAAAAAAAACATTACTCTGCTGAAACAAATACAAATGTAACATAACAGAAAAATTCTATTTTGTACGTGCTGTTAAATTACATATCGCAGCAGGAATATAAATCACAAAGATAAAAGATTGTAAAATACCAGTACCTCTATCTCTCCTAAATATGTTGCAACACATAGCGATATTATCAAAAGAAGTATTATAAATTTAATGTAAATACACTTTTCGACCTTTATAAAGAGCAGAGGTGAATATTTTGAATACCCCAATTCACACATAAATGCCGCTTCTACTACGATCAAAGCGGGGTCGAAACCAAGGCTGATCGTGACAAATCGCAGGAGAAACGTAGTGGAGTCTTCATAAGCGCAATATGATCGCGATAAGGTATTTATGATCTGGAAGCTTTACGTCCTCGCCAGGGTTATTTTGAACATGCTCAAAACAAGCGTAGCAGGATTATGGCCAAAACAAATTGCAGTAAAGTCGTAAAAAATTGCACCGTGTTTTCATAGCGCTGATATTTGACCAAAGGGCGGCACTATTGAAGAAACACCAGAAGGAATTGGTGTCTTTCGTTAGGTGTTCTCGCAGCAGTGTGTCATAGTGTACACAACTGGAGACTCCTATCTGCAAATAGCCATGACCGTATCTTCTGGGCCTTCTTCTGCACCTCCGCCTGTTAACGATCTGTGTAATTTCAATTTCATCTTGTTGAAGTAACGCCAGATGAATCAGATCAGCATATTTACGTCCGGTCATATTTGAAGTTAGGAACGAAGTGAAAAATAATATTTCAAACCTAAGAAATATATATAGGTCACTGTCTTCCCCCACCCTGCTTTTTCACCAGACCTAGCCCCCTGTGACTCTTTCTTTTCCCCAAACAAAATTAAAATTTCACTTGTCTGGAAAAATATACAACTCAAGAAATGCACTTGGCTCTGCCATTTACCTGTTTCTTATGAATATACCCATTGAAGAGTACAAAAACTGTTTCAAAAAGTGGATGATCGGCAACGTGCAATAGGATAATAGGATAGAAGGGGAGTAGTTTTAGGCGCAGGGCAAGTTAAAATGATAATAACGACTTATATCAAAGAGAAAACACAAAAGTAACATTAATTTTGGATCATCCTTCGTATGCATTTTTGTATGGTTGTATGTACTTATTTATTGCACACTTAATGGGTCTGAAAATGAATCATATTTATTCGAATAATTTGAATCATGGGATATTACAACAATTTAACACACAATATTTCATTAGCCAACTCAAATCAAAATTGCTGCATCATTATTTTTACGTTTACATGGTACGCATATAGCCTAAATATAAAGACTTAGATAAAATATTGCCCTTACTGAATTATGTCCTTTATATTTTGTATCAGTAATCATTTAAATCTTGATATTTTGATGTGCATTACATGTTATGTTTAGAATAGTTACAAAAACATGTATTATTTCAAAAGGCAGGGCTTGTTTGTTTAAAGGCACCTAGGTATTTTTACCATTCCGTTTGAAAATCGCATTACGATTTTACACTGACTTTAAACCTCACCAAAATGATAAAATAGTTTTCATTTTTCCATAGTTATGGAAAACTAATTTTATGTAACGTTGTAATTTAAATTATACTTTATAAACGTCCATTAGTATGAGAGTGACAAAAATAATAGAATAAGATTAAATGCAAACACTTACAAAAATGATGGTTAAAACAGCAGTCAATCGTTTTAGCTGATCTTTTAGTTGAATTATAATTTGTTATAAGCAAATAAGATCGATATGGCATATTCCGTTGCGTAAAATTAATTTGAAAAGTAAAACTGATTGTTTCAAAAAGGATTATTTTAACACAATATTATGGGTATTTCAAATTGTCTTTCCTTATCATTTTCTACTGTGATATTAATTGTCAACAGTGATGACGATCAATGGAGAGGATAAGCACAATAAACAATTTATACATATCTTTCTCTCTGGAAATAAATTAAAGTTCTAATAAAATCTTAAGTTCATAAAATAGTAAAATTACAATAACTTACTTTTTGACGAGTTAAGCCAAAGAACCCACTGATTCAATTGTTTATTTTCCTGAAAATGGTGTTTCAGAATGTTTGCTGTTGAGTAATGCCTTTGAACTATTCCCGTCAGCTGACTTTTAGTTAACGATTTAGGTGCTCCATCGACAATTATGCAATGTTCCACCAATGATTGTGTTGAAGACATGTTGGATAATCATTAACTAGTCATCTCACTAAACTCTCCTTTTAAAATTGTTTTTGGACTGAGGGACAGGTAATCGAGACGTGCTAGAAATCTATTGGTTTGATGGTTTATCACGTGTTTAATATTGGTAGGTCAGATAGATTTACGCCTTCTTAAATTGTGACATATTTGTTTTATGCTATTAGAAGCGGTTATCTTTGTTCTTGTTTTACGTTAAAAAGAATTTTACTTTTTCAATTCCAATCCAATTGGTAAATGCATGGACGATTTAAAAATTCGATTTTATTAAGAAACTGTTCTAGTACATTAACGAGTTTAGTATTCAAACTCAATCAAATACTATGTAAAACGTTTTTCAGTTCATTTAAAATACCTACTTTAATTCGTTCTTTATTTTTTCCTTTGTAACAAGATCTGCGTGCAATAACTTCTGCATATAAGCACAATCAGATTAATTTATTTATAAATATGGTAAGAGAACGAAAGCAACTTGCAGTTTGATAAATTTATCAATACTGACTTTAAACAATAACAAAAGACCCTCAAACATAAATAGTTCCGTATCGTGATTTATCATTTATATGAAACATGACTTTATTTAAACAATATTGAATGCCTGCAGCTGCAGATGTTAAAAAAATCACCGCTAAATTTACTATCTAAGATTTGCTTTGTTTGTTTAACCTTTTAAAATGGACCTTTTCAATCATTCTTATCAGACATTTTAGGTCAGATAATATACATATATATTTTTAGTTATATCTAAGTAAAAACAGTAGTTAGATGTAGTATTGAAAACAACCGTTTTTACACGACCATGTAAAATGTAAAATATAATAAACAAGATCAACAAGAAAAGGCGGCGTTTAATAAACGCAACCCCAACACGATCCAGCAATAAGAGCCAGTGGCAAGGAGCCAAGGAGGAAGACAAGTTTATAAAGAATTTACAATACAGCATTATTTCTATGTAAAGGAACAATCCGTGTATATACAATGTTACTTATAAAAACGTCTCGTTTATCCATTGTAAAGTGGGTGTTAAAAGCATACATAAGAAGTTTTTGTCTATCATATCGATAATTCTATCAAGAAAACATTTAGTAAGAATATGTATGAAAATCTAAGTAAAAAACTGGGTAAATATTGATTTTCTATTAATTACGTACACACACAAAAAATGCACGTTTGCTCTAACATCATTGTTTTCATCATGAACTTTATGTAAATAACTAAGACAGTATTACTGATTCATTTTAAACTATATCTGCGTGAACGATTCTTGATACACTATAAAGAAATGCAGATTGTTGATGTTCTAATAAACATAATTTAACAATTTTTAAAAGACAATGTTAACATTAACGTAGGTGAAGACCTAGAAGGGACTTATAAGCACACTTCACCAGAAAAAAAACTCGGGCAAAAGTATTATCCGTGACAAGTATTTTTTACAACAAAATTACATAAAAACTGAGATTGAGTCTGTGCATGAGAGTTAATGAAAAGATGCAACATCCCTTACGCTCTCTAACACAGGTTTTAGCGGTTTTCAATTTAATGTTCAACCTTTAAAGTGCTAGAACCAATGGTCCCGTAGGACCAGAAAAATATTGCAATAATGAAGTTCTCATTAAAACACGCAAAAGTAAAAACAAATCTTAGCTCTAAAAGCTGAATAAATGAAAACAAGGATTTAAGTATCATTTTAACCTAAATTTCAGTATGTTGACATTTACTGATTACAATACGTTATTATAATGCTTAATCTGTAATACATGTGCAGAGGTTGACACAATTATTTGACAAATTAAGATATCTTACTGAGCATCTGAAATCGTTTACCTGTTAAATTTCTTAAACGGATTTGCTCAGCTCCCATTGTTGGACCTGATAATTATCATTTCTCTGGTACTTAAAGATGACAATACTGATGGCGACGGGTAAGGGTTAAGAGATCTCTGGAGTATAAAATAATTCAGAATGGCAGACCCGACATTTATTATCATGTACTTCAGATTATCTTACAATGGCCATGTCGTATCTGTCTCCCTTATAACGGCAGCTATTTGATTAAATACAGTGTTTTATGTAGTGCTCTTTGTAGTATCATGTGTTTTTTTAATATATGCATACACATGGCATTTCAGAAACACCAAAAATCAAAAAGTGTTACAAAACAAACTCAACACAATCTTTAAAAAAAATCAGTAATAGTGTCAGTGATTATATTTTGAGTGTACTTGAAGTGTTGCAAATTATGTATTTACTTTATATGATAGGTAATACATCAAAAATGTTAAAGAAAATAGACTTCATGGTATAGCAGTATCCGATTGTTGCAAAACAAGCATATTCTTTAAAAACGGATATTTCCCTTTTCAGCTTTATTCTATTCGAGGGCTCTACAAAGGAAGTGTCGAGGTTTTTTTTAAAAAAGATCACCAAAATGTGAGTCACCGTTGAATGTGGATAGAGAAACTTATTAATCATGGCTTGTAAAGTCAGTTGAACATGTTAAAAGTGTTGAAATATGGGCTTACACAAAAGCACGAGGAAAATCTGCCAAAATGTTTATAATGATATCTTTTCAAGTATGAACTGAGCAAGATGCGTGTAAGTCTATTCGAAAAGCTACATAGGTGGGTTTGTATGGTATGTTTTTTTAATATGCCATGCATTAAATGTCTGTTTGATTAACTAAAACATTTCAGATGTGAATATATGAGTAGAAATAAACAACTGGTCAAGTCTCAAAATATGTACAGGGCCAGTTTATATCGTCAACAACTAAAATAACTTCAAACTTGGCATATTAACAACATCATTGCATATAACCAAAAAACTTTCTTCGGTTTTTAATGTGACAAGAACTGAATGTCTTCCCTAATCATACAAAATGTTCATGACAGTTCCGACGTTATTGAAATGACTCTTTACCAGTTCGATATTTTCTTCACAAACAATTTCTGATGATCCCCGTACTTCTACTGTACGTGCTAATTCTGGTTGATAAAAAACAACTGCAGCATTTCAATGTTGTGTCTACTAAGTAGCAGTGCACATGTTGTATGTGTAATTATTAAAAAAGTTAAGAAACATAAATTACTTTCAAATACTATGTGTTTTTTCCTAGTCAAGTTGATATTCAATATTATGGCAAAATATTTGCAATCAAAGCAATTCGTATTGAATGCGAAATATTTGTCAATCAATAAATATTGCATTTCAACACGTTACATTAAATGAGTTAAATGGACATGATGGTATTTCTTAAAAAACAAACATATTCTTTCGGATGTTACAGTAAAATAATAAGTCTCGTGCTATTGTGATTTACACCTTGTGCGTTTTAAACCAATTTATGCCTGTAATTGTGTATTCGATTTCTGTGTCAGTTGCTCTAGAGGCTAAAAAATATAACTACTAACTGTCATCCGGATAGGTTTCGGGACTATCAATAAGCGTACACGTATTATTAATTATATGTATATTATAAGGTATATTTTCGGTAACTTTTGTTTCGTCTCCACTCGGAGGATTAGATTTTGACAATCTTCTTTATCTACAGCATTTTTTACATGTCCAGAAAATCATCAAAAGTATAGAAAAAATAAAAATCCCTAAAGAAAGTCAAAACAACAAATTGATAATGTTGCAGGCTCGGTTTGATTGAGCCTGTTCATGGATGGTACAGTCAAGTACAAACTACCTACTTTCTAGCTTTAGAAAATCGCCATATGACTATACTGTGTTGGTGCGACGTAAAACCCAAGAACAACATAAACCAGATATATTTTGTATTAACGTATAGATATGCACGTCAGACATGTATCTATAATACCCGAAATATAAAGAAATCAAATGTTAAAGAGCCGTGAAAGAATGAAAGTTTCCTGTGTTTTCAGCAATCATTTTCCGCAGCATCTGTTTAACATCTTCAATTAAAAAAAGAACAAAATAGAAGAAAATTTATTGTTAGTCTAGTACTAAATAGAAACACTTATCGACATAATAGCATAACTAAATGTTCATGGCAATATAACAGGTTTTCATATAACCGTATAATCAGGCATAAAATATAGGAATACTGCTGACTGTATGTCAACTTCATATCATCCATGTTTGACAAAATTTACTGTGTTATATAGTAATTAATAGAATGACTTTTTGTGTGCAACAACAACTAGCTTAATACACAAATCAAAAAAAATATATCAAGGTACGATAAAAACGTACATTGAAACATACTGATAACTCTTTTACAACATGTGCAACAGAAAGCATGTGAGATACAAATATGACAAGCTATTGGATCTTTGTACTCTTATAACAATAACTATTCAATCACAGACACTGTCATGTAGATGTAAAAAGTTACGTTCATAGAATACGTGGAGCTATTTTAAGAATTACCTCTTATTTCAACTGCTAGAGAATCAACCATTAACTGTAGTTGAAACATCTTCAAACATTCCGGTGAGTTTGTCCAGTTCCGTTTGAATCTTGTCATTATATTAACGAAACTCTTTTAATGGTTCTGTAGCTACCTGTATATCATTAGGATCTTCTGCAAATAAATATCTTTAAAGTTATAAAGTTTTTGATATTTATCGTGAAATGACTGTCTTAACCATTACTCACATTTTTAAGAACAGCAGCAAGTTCTTTTCTGCCATCATCATGCATTTTTATTATCAGTCAGTAAGTTTTCTATAGGTTTGCTGGTTTTATTTGCTTCCCTTACAAGCATTTCTCTCAGCACAAGTTTCCCTCATTCACCAAGAAGAAGAATTTAGCAAACATGTCCCTTGTTTCTAATTGTATACATGTTAAGCATTTTTTTAAAAAATACAATAGCTGGGAGTAAGTCTAAAGGTCTTGACAAATAGCAAGAGAGATGTTTGATGTTCAGAAATTTGTATAAAACGTTTGCAGTCATGATCTCTAACAAGAGAGATGTTTGCTTTGTATTGACATTTATGAAATGAGTTGAGCTCAATATAAGACATTTTGATTCACACCATGTATATAATGATGATTTTAAATCGTATTTTCTTTTCAGAAATAGTTGATGCTTAATAAGTAGACTCAACCTTTATCAAGTAAGTATACTTCTACTTGTATTTTATTCAAATTTATTACTGTGACCTTTGTATCTGGCCATCAGACACATCTGCACATTGTCTTTTATTTCACATAGTGAAATATGACTGACCCCCAAATTCACCAGAAACTACTGCATTATGGAAAATTTCAGTTGTCCTTCCGTTCCTACTATTTAGTGTTGTAGTAATGCGGTGGCATAGCATTTTTTCACATTATCCTATGCTAACTAATGCTTGAATCAAGCGAATAATTGACCGATTTGGCCGTGGTGTATCAATATCTTGTAACCCAATAGTGTTTTTCAATATTAAGTTTATCTCATCCCTTTTATCGTTCGACAATGCTCATATTATTATTTTTGATGTAATCATGTAGAATCAAATAGCTTGCGGTACCTTGTCGGCTTTAGATGTAACGGCTGCGTTCAGTTTCCCTTTTGTAATGCTTCATTTCATGTGTTACACATGCGAGCTTAAAATGTTTCTTATTCCATCATCTTTATCTGATATAAACAAAACGAAAGTGAAACATTGATTAAGCACTGGTTATAGTTCAAAATATGTTCAAACAGCTTTAATGAGCAAAATGTAATGTAATATAAACAAGTACGCTAGACAATGAATAAAGTTGAGATTAACTTAACATGTAAAAGATGAAAAGATTACTCAGCGTGACACCCTAATTTATAAATGGACAATATAGAAACAGCTTATAATAGGTTATAGAAAAGACACATACAAACTATTAATTTCTCGTAAAATGCAGAAAATATATAAGGCCTTGCTCACTTTGAAAATTTTTCCCTTGAAAGAACGTGTATACTCAACGGGCAGATAACTCGAAACCGAACCTATTATCCAATTGTTTTCGCTTAAGTTGTTTCTAATATCATATTCTTCTTTTCTTTCTTTTAATTTTACAGTTTCCATTCTGCCAAAATATCTTTTTGTTACTAAGAATAACCACTACAATTGAAAATTATTTGGTTGTTTGTCATGGAATGTCCTACAGCGTCCGTTCCTATTGTAGATGGTTGAAATGATGCTAATATGTCTGTCATTTTGTGACTACAATTCGAAGCTGTACTTAGTTTTGTTAAATATGCACGCTGGAAGATGTTTAGTGTTCGATATAGTTTTGTTTGGAAGTTTGACTATGATAAAAAGAATTTGTCAACTATATCAGAGCCAAATGTTAAATTGTTAATGTCGTAAACCTATCTTTCTTGTCGCTGTTGATGATCTATACATCCGAAGATGATTTTTTTATCAGCCGTAACCAAACATGTATGTAATATTACTGAGATAGAATGAAATAATGTGTGTTTCTGTCTATAACACAGAAATTTCAATAATATTAAGATGAACGCATCACTGTAGAATTATTAAGCATTTGGAAAAATTTTATTCGTCTGGATTATTGTTATGTTAAAGCCAGTTTTGTTTGCGTTAAGAAGTATCATTTTATAATCACGATATTTGTATGTAATGCGACATTGAAAAAAACAAATGAATCAAAAAGTGTTATACACTGCTTTACATTTCAGTTAATGGATATTTTAGCTCATCTCAATGCATCTTAATCTTACTTTTGTAAACAATTGTTTGTTTTATTGCGTAACGGATTTGAAGAAAATTAAAGTATCCATGCTAAATGATTAATGAAACATTACCCGGTGTAACTTTATCTTTTTTAAATGACATCACACGAAAGCAACCAAATCTGATTTCTTAAGTTGTTTTGAATGGTCTCTTGTAATATTTAAATGATTTAACAATAAAGCATTTCATGAAATTTCTAAAATTGCAAATTCTTTTTTCAAAATCTTTTTATCAAAAAGATTCATGTTGCGGGGAAATTGGTAGTTTTGTTTAACAACCATAAAATCACAAAATTAATTGTTATTTTAGAATATAAGAAACATACAAAAACGAGGAACGTGTATGCATGATGTTTTCAACATATGAAAATACAAATCAACATAACTTTGAATTATTTTCTACCTTACAGAGGAAAAGTCGGTGGTTTTACCTTTTACCCCATCACCTTTTACCCCATGAGCATATTGTGAATGAGCATAACGTGAAAAATGGCCGTTTTCATTGAAAAGCCTCCTGTTACAAGTTCAAACTGATATGAAACTATGAAAAATACTTTAATAATGATGAAACTTGGCACAAATGTTGACTGGACCATAGCCTCTGTAACAGCATGCTCAATCGTAAATTCCCTGTTACCACGACAACAGGGAACGTCTCAAAATTGCAAAAAAAAACTATTTTGCATTGTTCTTTTTTCCATCAAAACTGATTTCAAAGTGCTGCAACTTCTCAATGAATTGAGATAGAGTAAAAGGCTTTTCAGAGTCGGTTTCTAGTTTCTCTGAGATCGACCTGAGGACATTTTTACCCTGTCACATTTCCAAAATTTTCTTGGCGATGAGGGGGATTACTGCCCCCTTATAAAACCCCAAACAGAAGGGGGCACATCCCCCTGATGTACCATTTTCATGGAGGGGCGCCGAGAAAAGTGGTCACTTTGTAACAACAGTGTTTGGGTCCTAGATAGGGCATTTTTTTCACTGTTTGAGGCCTCAAAAAATGGGGGGGGGGGCAGAAAGCCGCCAAATTACGTCTATATGAGGTAAAAGGTTAAAGGGTGCATGCTCGAGCCTGAAACATTGCATTAAGGGGCACCAACCAATGCCACGAGCAATGCCGCTGTTGATTTAACAGTTTTTCATGGCTTAAACTACAACCAATATAATGATCAAATAACACAGAGAATAACGAAAAGGTAAGTTTATAATGATCTAGTTTGTTAAGGTATTAAGTAATAATTTTCATATATCTACCGTGTACCTTCAATGATTATTTGAATACATATGAGAAAAAAAGGCAGTGATAAAATAAGCAAACACAAATGTTCTACGAAAGAATTTTATTAGCAGATTAATACATAATATTCAAATGTACAAAATGTGTATTTTTCCATATCGACGATAAGAATCTTGAAGCATGTACATCTCTTTAAAACATACATTTATGTTGATTTTTTTTTTTTATTTTGATACAAACTACTCGAAACATTTTATTCATTACTACATTTTTCTTTATCCAGAACATCATAATTTTGATAGAAGTAAAAAGTCCTGGTAGTCTGATTCAATTTTTTCTTAAATTAACTGTATTAATGAAGTTTCTATTGAGGTAAAACTATAAAAAACAGCATTCCAAATTTTACAACGTGTTTGCATAAACCTCGGTATGTGACACCCTAATTTACAAACATGTTTGCATCAATTGCGACAGTCACACAATATTATACAACCTCGGTAGTGACAACATGTCACATACATGTTTACACAAACCTCGGTAAGGACAACATAATTTACATATATGTTTGCATCAACATCTGTAGTAACAATATATTTTACATACATATTTTCATAAACCTCGGTAGTGACAATATATTTTACAAACATGTTTTCATAAACCTCTGGAGTGACAACATATTTTACATACATGTTTGCATCAACCTCGGTAGTGTCAACATTTTAAACATATAAGTTTTCTTAAACCTCAATAGTGACAACACATTTTACAGGATGATTTTATCAAAACTAATATAAGTCACGTAATTGGCTGTATGAAACTTATCAATTGTTAAACTTACTTGATTCATCGTATGAAAAGATCACAATACTTAAATATTTAGATAATTAAAAATACATCAAGTAAAAGTAACTACTAAAATATTAAAGTCAAAGACAAGATGACATGTTAGATATTTTAAAACACAATATCAAGATAAATGAATCGTTGCAATTTATGTTTTTTCTTCCTTTCAAACATTTCTTATTTCATAATTTCTAAAATATCACTTTATTGTGTTTCCGAGTATGTACAAGCTTATGGTTTTCAAATTTCGTCTTCGCCACCATATCTCCGTATAATTTCCATTACCTTTTAAATACAAACAATCACAAATTTGAATATATATGTATCAAACAGATAATCTGTGTGCACTGCAAAACTACTGAGAAATAAATGTCTGTATATGTAGTACATTTAAGCAAAGTATAACTTTTGTACATAAAAGATACAAAAAATAACCATTAATAGCCACGCATATGATAAAAACACATGTGGCAAACGAATTCCAAACCTTATTACTTTTTTATAAACAATAAACTATGAGTTTCTAAGCGTAAGATTAAATAAATGAATCACATAAAACTTTTTCTATTCAATTATCACATTCTGATTTTCTGGAAAAAAGTCTCGATGTATACTTATTGGTTAACTTCATTTAGAGTGAAAAAATGAGTTTCCTAAAATTTGACTGAGAAACTAAAGTATTTGCATTTAAATATTGACCTACAAATAGTTGTAATAGAACGGCCATCATTCTATAAATCATAGCAGGAGATGGTTTTCAGTAAAAGCTAAAATTATCTTCTGTAGCCTTATGATTTTTTTTTGGGTTCCAATCGAATGAATAATTCTCAAAATGCCTTGGACGAAAATTTTTTCTTTACTTATTGTAAATGTATAATTATAGACTTGCTACTTTAATGCCTGCTTCAAAAATAGAAGAAATGACATATAACTGTATTCTAAATAATACAAAAAAACATTGTTAATACGCGCAATTTTTAAATGATAAGGTTCAGAATGCTTGCAAAATATTATTTGGTAACACTGTTTTCATTTCAAACTGAAATGTTGTCTAGACATATATACCAGTTACATGTACATGAAACACCCATTAAAAATACGCATTAAGAATTGTTCATATAATACAACATACTATGACAATATCCCAGCAAATATTAATTATAAGAAAATATTCTATAATGGTTTAATGTTTTGTAAAAAGATAAACATTTTATTTTCTCGGCAGTCTCTTTATAATCCGATCTTTATTTGGTTGGTTGGTAATATGCATAATATATGACGTCCCCATTAATGCGGGATCACAAATCAATAGAAACAAGAAGTTAATTTCTTTTATCACACACCCGTGCCGAATTTGCGACTCCGTAAATATGGTATTGCACGGCCGTGCATATATTTTGACGTGACGTCATTAGCGTTATACAAACTTAGTGTAAAGACGCGCTAAATGTTAGCGTTAAACTATAGGCGCGTCAATGAAAAATGACTCTCATTTCACGTGAAACGGTCTTTATTTGGGTATGTGATAAATAGAATATTAAATTCGTGTAAGTTCAATACTGAATTTATTGCACTCGTTGAATAAACTAATATTATGCTCGCCAGAGGCTCGCATAATATATTTTTATTCAACTCGTGCAATAAATTCAGTATTGAACTTACACTCATTCAATATCCTCTATATTGCATTACCCTTAAAGGTATATGCAATGGCAACGTGAATTCACATGATGAATAAAGAAATGCTCAGACTGACTTATTATGCCATATTCTTGCAAAGAAACTGCGCACGCATGTATACATAAACGGGGAAGAAAACATGTCTTAACGGATATTTCCGTACAATATAAAAACAGCTTAATAAAGCAATTCAATGATAAGTTGATTATAAAGACATAACTGTCAAATAAATTAGCACAAGCAATGATTTCTTTATACCAAATATATATCCCAAAATGCGAATCACACTTGTTACCTTTATGCAAGAAAGGCGCTAATGTACCGTGCACTAACATCTGCAGGAATCCTCTATAATTATATTGTTTTGAGTGTGACTAGCTTTTTATTGCAAGTTTGATTAAAATTAATATGCTATTTTACTATCTTACAAATTCGTCTCAAAAAAGGTAGATAAACCCTGATATTATTTTTATCATTTTGCTTCAGATTTATTTTGTCGGCTAGCTTGCAATGATGTTAGTACATGCTTATAATACATTAAGAAAAGTTAATGAAATTTATTAATATAACCCCTATTTGTACGACTGATATCTTAGCTATTGCGACAAAATTAATTGAGAACATACCAGTTAAAATCAACACTATATTAAGATTTTCAGCAATCGAATAAATGGTGTAGAGGAAAATCAGTGACGCCCTGCGTACTAAATTTTTTTTTAATTTTAAAATCTCATTTTACAAATACTGAATTAGCTTATAGGCATTCTATTTATATGTCAAACTTGTAAATAGACAGCTACAATTTTAAATAAATCTAAATATTGCTCCCTGGTGTGTACCTATTTGATTCAAACGTAGCAAGCTTGTAGTTATGATAGCGTTTTTAATTGATCGTATCAAGAAGTATAATGATCTTGTATCTCAACAAAAACATAAATCAATAATAACAACAAAATCATAAATCTATAAGAACAACAAGATCATAGAACAAAAATAACAACAACTACATAATTCAATTATAAAGTCAAAATTATCATCAACAATATAGTAAAAAAATAACATCTGCATATATATTTTAAAGCTGTCTGTTAACGGTTTAAAAATATTTTAACTTATATAAAAATTGGATTACTTGAAAAATGTTTGTAAAATCGATAAATGTTGTGCTACAACAAAAAAAGTTATTGAAAGTTACATATTAAGTACGGGAATCACATTATCTGTTTTTTATACATGCTTTTTGTGCATTTAATTACAGAACTCTTTTTAAACTGCTCAAATAGGAAAACAAAACAATATAAAAACAACTGCAGTGTGTACAATTTTATAAAATGTAACTGCAAAAGTAATAACGTAAGTTATAGTGTAACTCCATCGAAGCGTTATTGAATAAATAGAAACTAAGTAAAAACAAAATAAAGTTAGCTTCAATATTGTTTCTTAAAGATAAAATATTGTTTCTTTATAGGAAACCAATAGCGTCAATAGATTATATCACATTATACATGTACATCTTTTGTCTGTTAAGTGTTTCTTTTGCTACCATTGATAGATCATCATGTTTTAAGGTTATCTTTTATAAAAAAAATATCAGAAAATTCTATAGTTTTCATGATTTTTTACATTTTAAAGTAAATGAGATACTCGGGACAAGCTTGAGTATCGTGAAATATGATGAACATGGTTGGGTCTTTCATGTCGTTAGTCACGGAGTCGTAAAGTGCATGTGGTCCTCCATTGGGATTCGAAGGTGGGACTCTCATTCCACGTTCTCCTTTTGCATATACACCAGTCAACACTTTGCATAGGTACATTCTTTTTATTCCACTTGAATCCGCTGTTGAGTATGTGTTTTGACATGAATACTTTGCTTTTAAAGCAAAATAAACACCGTCACCATATACAGTAGCTAAAAAATACAAATGATAGAAACAGTAAACAGTACCACAGAGTTGCAAACTTTTAAAAAAGAACCGACACATAATCTATAGGGAATTTAAAACGGAAGACGTTGGTCGCGTTGCAAATGTTTTTGAGGTACCTCCAATGTCATGACAGAATTAAGGAACACAATATTCCTAAATGCATAAGACTTCAGCTACATCTGCTCAAGTTTCTTACATGTCCTACTTTGATAAGCTAAATAAATGGCCTTTCCAACATACGAGGTATGTTCAAAAAGTTCCAGGATTTTTGCTGTCATTTTTTACTTGGTTCACACCCTTAGTGAATATGAATCGAAAGAGTGCCTTTATTTTCAAAAGTAAAATTTACTTTTATTGTTAACTTTTATTTCCTTTACGAGTTATGTGCACTTTAATAACCATGGCAACGCAACATCGGCGCACGCCGAAATTTTCATATAATGCTTAAATATAAACAAATGATGAAACAAATTAAATGATTGTTTTATGAAGTTAAATACAAGTAGTCATCTATTAATATTTAAATGACATAAATCTGACTTTTGGCGTCGTTTGGACGTCGAATAGCTTAACAAACAAGTTTTGAGCAGCAGTAGACAGACGGGTAAGTTGGGAAGTATAAACCCCGTTTAAAAACTAGAAATTCGCTCTTTCGGAAATTTTTACCAATAAATGTGGTATACTCCTTTTTATTTTTATAAGGTGATTAAATTAACGAAAAACAATGAGTTGTCGAGCAAGTCTCTTGGTTTCAGGTCGCGCAAGCGATTCAAATACGGCAAATACATACTCACAGACAGAAAGGGCGACGAATAATTTTAGCGGGAAATTGTTGGGACGTTTGTAACGTCAATTGCAAAAGATCTACAGAAATTCAGGCATTATGACAGTTTTGCAAGACGTCCGACATGTTTAATTTCTGCATCGGGTCTATGCATTCAATTCTGACAAAACAATTTAATTTAATCAAAATAATATTTTATTTCATTCATCAGGATATATGCGTATTTACAATAAATACTTGTAGTTATTATTTGTATTTCCTGTATTTACCCTGGTCCGTTTGATAATTAATGCTAGCCGGTGTTCAGTAGATTTACCGCTAAGAATAAGTGTCAGTTGATAAAATATTTTCTTTATCATCGATAATCATAGTGTTTAAAAATCGGACGAGGGCGGTTTCAAATTGATACTATCAATCAACATTTAAATTAACTTCATAACACTGTCCGTTTAGTGTCTAAATTACTCAAAAATCCCGATAAAGAGCGGAAAGTATGCGGCACTCGGACCTTTATACAGAGAATGGAGCGAATAGATGACCACTTTATATCTCGGGTCATCATCGCAAACAGAAAAATGGTTTTGGTATATGATCCGCAGATATTGAACACTATAAAGAGTACTTTCAGAAACAATGACGCTGGTGAATTGTTTCATTTATATTGCGACGTCACGAACGTCATTTTGTTTCATCATCAGCGTGCGCCGGATTGTGCATCCGTTGTGATTTGTAACTGTCACAGAATTTTTATTTGTAAACATATTGTATTGATTTTTTCACTGTTTATTAAGGACATATTTTCATATATGTTTCTTGTAAAATCATATACGCAAATTAAAAGATGTGAACAGTAGAGCCGCAATCCACGAACTTTTTGAACAGCCCTCGTATAATCAGGCACTTTTTTTTATTACAATGTCTTATTAAGATTTCCAAGAATTGCTAAGACTATCATGTTTCTATAAATTGTGTGAATAAACAAGAGGAAAATGGTGCAATTATCTAAAAAGAGTAGAGTTAATGAAATGTGTACATTTTTTAAACAATTGGAAAATGTGAGATAAAATATGTTTGAGCTTATTAATTGATACATATTTTTTACTTGATGAAAGTTATTCACTAACATAATAAGATCATTTAAAATCCCTGTTGATTCTACTTTGGAAAAACAGATCATTTCGTCTGTGTATCAATGTATCGATTTGTTCCTTTGACCAAGACATTGTAAACATTTACTGAAAATTCACAGGTCATGTACACTTAATCTACAAAAAGTCAAACAATAGTTAAAATTACAATACTATCACACCTTCAGGGCATATGGTTTGTGTCAAACATGTGTTATCAGAGTTTTGACAGCCAATACTTTGCAGAAAAAATAGTATGTGTTCTTATCTGCTCGCAAGGAATTATTATCTTCATGGATTCACATATTTTTTCATTAAAAATGATTCAAGTAAGGTGTCTACATTACGCAAGGAAACAGAAAATGATACTTGCATTCAAGACTCTATTGTGTGTAGACGCGTATTAAGAAAGATAAATAAATGCTTTAATGAAGTTCAAAGTAACTAAATTGATTATTTGTGCTACACTTTCTTTCTCACCATTTTTGCCACAAAAACTCCTATTAAAACCATGTGCATTGATGCTGTCAACGGGATCTGCACTGGTTCCATGCCAAAGCTCTCTTTCATTAATGGTACCAGACGGGTTTTGGTCTTCAAGTTGTTTTTTCTTGGACTGGTACTGTTCCCAAAGTACTTTGTTTTGCACGCGTTCGATCTTCGAGTTATGAAAAAAAGATACAAAATCTTAGGAATGAGAATTTTATATACATGTACATACTGAGACTGAATGAAATGCAATCACCCTTAAAGTGTAAGAAAATAGAATTTTAGTAGGTTAAATTATATATAATATACTCTAGATATTATATAAAATGTCAGCGGCACAATAAATGAATGAATACTTATACAACAAAACATAAAGGAATATATCAAACAAAAGGGAAAGGTGTATTTTTATGGTTACTAATAACAGGTTGTATAGAATAAACGAATTTTAACCAACCTTGTCAACAGTATAGTCCATAAGTTGACCATTTTTGTTATACTGTCCTGCAGAATCTTTAAATTGTTTTTCAATTGCTGTATACTCGGGACTTCCAGTAGGCAAACTAACTACTCGTAAATTTCCGCCCTTCATATCGTCCCAGTGTGCAGGGAGTTCAAATGTTCCACCTGAAATATTTTTTAATTACGCACTGTAATATTATTTTTCTTCTTTAATTTCCCTCTTATATGTATTATTAAAGTGATTTTAGTGTCCGTGCTCTGTCTTGTGCCCTGTCATGTTTCTATTTGGGATCCTCCTGGGCTCCTTGCCGCTGGTCCTTGTTACTGGGTCGTTTGTGGGCTGCGTTTATTGAACGCCGCCTTTCCTTGTTGATTTTGTTTATCAAATTTGAAATGTAATTTACTCACAATTGTTTAAATTCTCTAAAAATAGAGAAAAACGGAATCGCTTAAGGCGTCTAAAAACGACAAATTGAAAATATTGCAGGCTCGGGTTGATTCAGCCTATTCATGGACGGCAATGAAAAGTACAAGTGAACATGTACGCCCCCTAGCATCGCCTTTAGCAGAACTCAAAATTTGAACATGAAAATTATTAAATTTTGAATTCAGAAACATTAAGAATATTACAATCATATTAATAATTAAACCATGTAGCTTATCATACAGACTGATTTTCTTAACAGTTTCGACGTTTATACCTCTTTAATTAAATGAAACATTACCCTTTACGAGGTCCCTTCTGATGACCTTAGCTTTATCTGAGGGATTACTTTCAGGATACTCTTCCATTAATCCAAAGTCAAGAATATAGTCAGTCCCGTTAGCGCTAAAGAAATAGAAAAAGATGCTTTAGTATTTTTTTAATCCTGAGCATCTGTTACAATTTTCAAATGTTTCTTGCAAGTAATCTATTTTTAAAATATTTATAAGTGTACAACCGTCTATGCAAATTATGATGATTTTCCTATTTGACATTAATCTTAAAAAAAACATACACGTATTCAACTGTATCTTTTTGGCGTTTGTACGCATTTTCTATTTCCATATTGATATCTTTATCATACGCTGTAACCTTTTCTCCGGTTTGTGTTACTTCTATATGTTTTTCAATGTTTTTCAAATATTCCATTCTTTCTGCATCTCTCAGCAGCCTGTTATAATTGTATAGAACACATATGATTTATACCATTAAAAAGTTATATTTCAAAATTGGTTTCATTTCAAAATCTTATGCATGCACAACTTACTTCTATAATTATACCAAACAAAATTAAGACAATATATATTGCATAAAAGGTGAATTTTACAAAAATTACGTAAAATAGAGAAAAAAAATCCCTTAAGAAAGCGGCAAAAATTGTAAATTTTGCAGAGTCGGTTTAATTGAGCCTGTTTTTGGACAGTTGTGGTAATTGCAAGCTATCGTAATCATCCCCTAGCACCGGCTTTAGCAATATTTAATATTTAACATGAACTGGTAAATGTTGAATCTTGAAACATCCGCAGATGTGTTTATGTGACGGTCATTATAGAAACTTTAACGTGACACGTTAGTCCAATTCCATATGGATTCCATTAAGACATTTTAAGCAATATCTCATATACTATTCAATAAATCAAAGTTGTCAAAAATGTAATTAATTGAAGAATTGTTTGTTCAATATAAGTTTCGTTTTCTTTAAGATATGTCTTATGTTAGAAAAATTGCAAAACACTGTTGGACTATAGTCTAGTATTAGGTATGTCATTAATTGACGAAGAATAGATAATGTATTATTGGTAGTGTCCATACGGAAGTATGCTTATTACCTAAGAACTGATGTCTTTGTAGGGAATTCCGAGTATTCAAATGTACAAAGAAATAATTAGTATCATTTAGAGCTTTGATTTCACAATACCCGGAATTCTTTGAACAGGGAGACAATTTCATGGCTTATCCTTATGCTCTATCAAAAATAGCATTGCCAAAATTGTTTCATCAACATACTTATTAATCTTGTCTGAAGCATTCATTACGTTTGTTACTATTCCTGCAAGCTTTATAGTTGCTTTTCCTTTATCCATATTCATTTCAACATGACATTGATATGCTATTCCTTGTATTTCGTCAACCTTAAATTACATTTTCTTATTTATAGAGTGTATGAACATAGATGCACAATATTTTTAGCAACAAAAGAATTCTTATATACATCAATGTATTCTTATGTATTTAATAGAAGGTACAAAGATGTTGACAAATTAATGTTTATTGACAGGAGTAATATGCAACAGGAAAGAATGGTTAAATTAACTACATTTGATTTATAGCTTATGATCTAATTTCTGCTATACCTGAATGTCCTCCAGTTCACGAATGGTATGATCATCGATAATTTTTGTATGAATTTCCTTTTCGAGAGAATTTTCAAGTTTCTTAATAGCCTTACGTATGATGTCATCACTCATAGCAATAATGATGAATGAAACAGAGTTGTAGTCGGGTCCATAATTTGATTTCATACTATCATTTCCATCGCTAGATCCTCTCATGCCGATAACATCTGAAAATATAAAAATTAAAATATTACTGGTTTTTAAAGATTGACTTTTCAAAAACGATATAGTCTTAAGTCATGTTACATTAAAAATGTCCGATAAGAGAGATTTACTGCTTTGTCTCCCATGCACGTCCATACCAGAGGATGTTTTTATATTACAGCGTCTGACAGAAGAAAAGAAAGCTCAGTAAAGTTTTTATCTGATATCTTTTTGGTTTCTTGTACACATAGCTCAGATTATGTTCAAAGCTTTGTAACAAGTTAAAACTGGTTTTACTAAAAACGTAGAACCAGCGACCGGTCTCCAAAGATTGCACCGTATATCACGACAGTGAAGTTTTCACAGAAGTGGGCTGATTTCTCAGATATTTCAGATACCCATTAAAATTATTTGCTTTACCTAATAATTTCCCTATATCTTTGTTTGTTTTGTTCTCATAAGAATTACAGACATTGAAATGACCCTTGCAATGCATATCTTTCTGTCAGTACGGACAGAATAGATTACAAGAGCATTCAATTGTGTTAGTCAATTAGAGAAAGTAATTTAAAACCTCATTCTGTCCTTATGTGTTTATGTCACTTGCAAACATTATTTAGATAAACGCCCATCGTAAAATAGAAAATAAAAGCTTTTCATCTTTGACATCTCTTATAACTTTAACCTATAAAAGAAGCTTTTTGTTCTGTTAGTGTCAATCGGTAAACCACGGTTATAACAATATTTTCAAAGTCATACATACCACTCATATTCAGTAAGCGCATTTTTAAATACATGTAGTATCAATAAACTACTTCTACAGAACAACTGCGCAAAGATGTTTACCTTGAAACTTTATCATGTGTAATGAAAAATTTTACTTAAAGGACTGACTAAAAGATAATTGATATACTTTGTACAAGCTTAAAAATATTTTTAATCAAATTTAATTCAATACACGTCTATGATAAAACATTTTTTTACTTTTTACTCCTTGCCAAACATTTTCAAACCAGCTTTTTGAATCACCCGCATCTTCTGCAGCTTTTAAAAATTCCGGTAACAAATCAGTTTGGTAGATAACAACTCTGATCTCTTTCGTGTATCTTGGCTGAGATTTAGAAAATTCCCGTACCGCTTTAATCATGGTTTTTGCAACTTCAGAAACAATTTCTGAGTCAAATGTTTTGGAACCTTTAATAGAATGAAAATAATTCATCGAGATTCATCGATACATTTCTAAAAAAATACAGTCTATTTTAAGACTACTTACAAATGAAACTATTACTTAAATACAATGATATACACTCAGACACATACGAGGGTTGTGTATTGTACCACAGCGCAGCGCAATAACGCACACGGATGTTGATAGCCTGATTGTTCTATGTAACACATTTCCAACGGTAACAACACGTGCCTTTAGCTGAGTACAGTTTAAAACTAATAGAAATTTTGATAAAATCAAACATTGACCACTATTGTAAACTGATTAAGAATATTGAAGAAATAAGACCTTATTTAAAAGTTTGCATAAAGCTTGGTCTTTCAGTTCGGTAAAGCAGATTTTTTTTACTGAATTCCGGGGAGTTTGTTGGTCTGGAAGAAATTCCTACCTGAGCTAAAAATGTTTATTCGTAAATTATGGATTCACTATTTTGAACCAGTCAGAAATAATGGAAACAAAATATAAAATCCACGAGCATAAAGGTCGTCCATACAAATCCCGACAGACCAACGGCTAAGCCATCAGGCTGTGCCTCAAAGGTCAAAATCAATTAGAATACTGAAAGCCATTTCAAAAATAGATCCACAGACAAAAATTATGTGTTTCAAACTACGGCAAAATTTAAAGGAAAATAGTGTTCATTTGACTATGTAGATACACATTACCCTCGTGTAAAACTACGTAATGTATTATTGATATTTCAAGCAGTAAGAAGATGTTGCAGTATTGAAATTGTATTATATAGCATCAGACATCAAGTGACTGTAGATATTAAGTTCAAACTGTTTACCTGAAAACATGTTGCTAGTTCCAAAGGCAGGCAACGCAATGCTGCCAATCCTCTCGTTTTCAGCTTCTTTTAAGCACTTTTTTACAGTTGCTGCTACATCTTTCGAGTCTGCCTCAATATGAATGATATGTTTACAAGGCAATCCTGGTGCTAATGTAGTTACTATTTTGTTTCTCATCATTTCTGTTTCTATTTTAAAACAATTAAAAATCATAGCAAATAACGTCTTAGTTCGATTTTATTTACTTAAGAGTAAAATAATTTTACTGATGTATTCTTTTCAAGAACTTGTAATTTCTTTAGGATTTGATTGATGAAATATTTGAAGAACCTTATTTCAAAGTTTTTATAATAACAGCAATATATATATAAATATCGTAAATTATAATTCAAAAGGAGTAGCCAGACGTGGTGAAATTTCAAAATTGAAAAAGGTGCAAACGTACTATCAGTTACCATACTGATAAACTTACATGACCGATTTTCAAAATTAATGTAGTGGTATGTACAAATAGCTTTTTGTCTTAACTCACTTTAATAGCAAACAAAGACAATTAAAAATTACTGTGATTTTCTATTTCTTCTTGTAATTCAACTCCTCCTACGTCCATCAATCTCTGTGACACTTTGCCTGGATAAATATATAAATTAATCAAACTTTTATTTGAAAATTGGAAAAAAATATAGTAGATTCTATTATGTATAAAGTTATTTAAATTTTAATGGTGGTAACAAATGAATATTCTTAAAAGCATAAACTTAATTTAAAACTACCTATTTTGAAGTTCAATTTAGCATTAGTACTGTTAACGATACAATCTGTATTTTCCTGTGTAATATCCCCTTGCTTGATTATGACCGTGATGCCATCGAATGAGTAATTTCCACCAGTTTGTTGGTCAGTGCTGCTGTTAACTGTAGGCACAACTTCGAATCCAAGAGATTTTGCAGTTTGTCCTGATTTAATAGATTCAAATTAGTTGCGATATTATGCGCGTACGATAAAAAGTTCGTTCTTTCCATAACAGGAAAATGTACCAGCTATTGTATTCAATGATTATTAAAATATTATTATATCATAACTACAAATGTATTATGTTTAAAGATAAATTAAAAGAATAAAATAAAACACTAAAAAGTATTACTGGATATGTTATAATATTTACCTTTATACATTAAAGCTAGAAAAAGCAAGCTAAATGAAAATGCAAGATTGAAAAGATGTCAACAAAAACCTGTTTTCCCTGCACAAGATGCTGAATGTACCCCCTCAAGTAACTTGGTCTCCTCTGCCTTAAAAGCCTAAACAAATAATAAAATGTCATTTTTGTTACTACATGTATATGCTTTAAAATAACAGTAAGACAGAATGTATTTAATAAAGTAAACTTATCAATAAAGTAAATATTTACAGACGATATAAAGCAATCAAGATTAGATGAAAATATATCGCAAAACGTTTTACCTGAAACGTTTGACTGTCCATTTGATAAACAATAAACCTCACGTCTTTGACACTCGTCTTTGAGCAATCTTTCTGAAATTTTTCTACCGCTTTGAACATTTCCTTGGCGACAACATTTCGTGGAAATCCTAAATTACCCGTTCCAAATGCTGGGAAAGCAATACTTTGACAATTATTTCGTTGAGCTTCTTCTAAACATTTCTTCATCACTTTATGGAGACCCTTAATAGAACAAAATACTATCTATAAGGTTGTTATTCTTAATAAATACAAAATTTTGTTCTTTTAAACGTATTTGTTTGGCACAATTAAATTATATTTAAACCCAAAAAAAGGTGTAAATTGTCTATAATTGTCAACCAATATATGTTTCAACATTGTAGCACGGGTTTCATATCAATGAAATCAAAATATTACAAACACGTTAGTGTTTTTGTAGTGTCGGTCTTGTTTTTAAAATATATATTTTTTCTCTTATATCATCATTTTTGCATTTCATGATATTCCCGTATCCAAAAATGTTATTAAAAGCAGCACAATGTCACTTTTAAAAGTGAGATTTTTATACACCGTGTTTTACACGGCGACAATTTGCAACATTTGTTGACAAATTTGAATATTTTAGCCAGGTATAAAAAAATTTAATATGATACATTTTTTAATATTCGTAATGTCTCATAATATTTGATATAAGACAGTTAAAAAAAAGTTATAAAACATCTTCACAGCTGAAGTATTTGTGATTTTATACTTAATCTTAAACATGATTTGATGGATATATATTTGACACACTTATTGAGAACATTTATCATTCTAGTTTTCTACTGCATTGTAAAACTGCAGTTGATCTTTTCATCCTTTTAAAATATTTATTTCACAATAAACATGCTTTGATACCGCATGCTTGCTACTGCGGTAACTTTTAAAAAATTACAATAGTAAAAATTGATCCTTACTTTGATACTCTCCTTCGGATTATTGTCTTTGTAATTTGACAACGCTGTGTGAATGACAAACTTGCAATTTAGTTTATATCCACCAGTTACAGCTATTATTCGTTTTTCGAGGCCATTTGGATATTTTGCATTAACTTCATCCTGTAGTTCCTGCCCCGCTGTTTTTGACAGGGATGTTGACACAGCACCATTTCTTAAATCCAAATTCTGCGCTGTTGTGTTTACAATTACATCCACCTGTTTAAAATAATTATAAAGTGTGTTACTTTGTCTGTTTGAGTTAATAATTTATCTAGTATATAAAATATGTTACTACCTAAAGAAGTTAAATTTAATACTTGACAAGAAACTCAATATCCTGAAGATTTCGTGTCCGCTCTGTATCTTTTAAATTGATGGATAGAACTTAAAACTATTTCGGAGGAATGCTGCCATATTAAAATAATCACATGTATGACCTTACTCGGGTCAATGTCAATGTCACATTAATTTTAAAATTGTGTGCCGGCTCTGTATCTTATAACAAATATAATGAAATTAAAAACTTATTTGGCACAAATGTTACGTTAATAGCAAATGATGAGCAGGATCCTGGTTTGGGCTTCATTTTATCTAAATTTGCACGTCCCAGGCGCCAAATATTTTTAAAAGACTTATGATAATGAAGAACGCATTTAAGACTTAGCATAAATATTTATCATGCAGCTTTGTCTGTCTTGACACAACTTATAATATCCATGACCCTTTAAGGAACATTAGGCCCGCCCCAGGGATATTTCTATTTATATAGTCATATATAGAAAATAACATTTTTGTTTTATTGTGCGAGACTACAATGTTCAGATCACAGATTTAAGTCATGTTATATTGCCCTGTAGTTCTTAACAAAACTGATACTTATTTTGCACTTTTCGGTAAATATTTGCACTGCCCATGGGTCACTTGATTTTTACAGACTTAAATAAGATCAAACGTGTCAGACTATATTAACTAGAGCAGAGATATTTCGCAAGTAGCATGGACTTTAAAACCTCTACTTAATCGATAATAATCATACCCCTAAAGTCAATATCGGTACTGCTAAGTATATCACTTAATTTACATTGTCTTAAACAGGAAAAACATCCAAGTCTTATTGTGTAAAACTACAATGTATATAGCAAAGAAATTCGACATGCATAATTGCCTTGTAGACCTGATGTTTATATACCACTATAAATGTAAAATTAATAATGAACCTTTGTAAATTGGTCCCGACCTGGAGACAACTTTGTTTATGTAGACTTATTTTATAAACATTTATCTTAAACAAATCTACTCGTAAATTACGAAGCACAGGGCTTAGTTTTCTCTAATTTATTTTGGTTTGATTATGTTAAATGCTTTAAGCATATTAAAACACTCTCAAATCTCTTCCTGGAACCACAAATTACTATTTAATGAGTGTAAGGTTCTTGCTAATGGCTTGTCCCTTATAGGGTTGCCATTGAAAGCACTGGTTGCTACGGAAAGCTAATGGTGCCTATGTTAATCACTAGTTGTAAACGGAAGACAATGATTTCTAAGGAAGTCACTAATTGCTAAATCAATTTTTATAACAGGGTTATTTTGAATAAAGTTGGTATTCACGCACAAGACATTGTTTTGCAACAATATCTAAGCTTAGGATGTGTGGCTTTTTTAGTAAAGACGATTTAAAGTTCCTTACATTAAAGGCACCGGGGGCCGATTCTAACCTTTTCCCTGCTGCTTTTGTATGTTCAGGGGAGAAAATATAAAGTTTTATTCCACAACATAAAACAGTAAAGCAATGTCCCAGGGATCGGAACAAATCGACCCAAAGGTAAAATTCGAAAAAAAAACGGCAGAACTCTACTAAACAATGTTTCGTGCCAAAAATTAAAGCTTAAGCTTGTGAAGTTTTAGAGGGGACTTTTTTACTAAACTCATATAAGGAAAACCCTTGACCCTGTGGTCAATTGTAATCTCTACCCTGCAATTTGAACACAAATTTGGATACTCACTAGACAATTTTTTATGCTCATGAAATGCGCTTCCGGAGAAAGGGAGTTTCAAATAACACATTCTAAAATTCTAGGACACGATATTTCCTGCAATGAGCATTTCTGTCAAGTTTAATCAAAATTAATATGAACCAGGGCTGTCATCCAAGTGACGAATGCCACCGAAAAGGTTTCTTAAGCATGTAGGTATTACGAACAAAAAGAGAATGAAAGTAACTAATTGCTTAATATCATTCTTTGTATTATTGTACTGTAATCTCTTATTGAGATAACGTGAACCTTCAAAATATAAGTGTGACCTTGACCTTTGAAAAAAGGACGTGGTGCCTGGACGAAACAGAATGTTGTTATGGGTACGTACACGAAGGAAGTGGGGACGCACAGATGGATATACGGACGGACGGACAGACAGCCTCCCTTCGGGGGTATAAAACAAGATCAGCAAGGAATGGCGGTGTTTGAAGACCGTAAACTTTTGGTTTCAGAGAGGAGATAAAAAGCAATTGCTTAGGACAGACTGGCCAAAGACATCGGGCAACCATTGCATCAAAGCTCATCATTAGAGAATTATATGCTTGATATCGTTAAACCAACTATAGTGACTAAGTATGCATAATTGATTATGCGCAGCTGTTTATATAAAGAACATTTTCAGTTTAATTAAAAAAAAGCATTTGAATTATGTAAAAGTTATGATAACTATTAATTATATTCTTCATCCTATCTTTTACTTGCAACAGTGGCGCAAAATATGCCCATCGCAAAAGCTTTTGTCAGAGATATGGGTATTAAAGATCATCATAAAGGAGTTACGCTCTGGACAATATCAGGACAATATCTTCATAGGTCATTATCTCTAGTAAGCTTGACCTTGCAAATATCTACCTAAATTACACGTGTCACACTTATAGTCATGATAGTTATCATTTGTGTTACAATCCATCAATAAATGATTACACAAAATTTGACCACTCTATGTGACCTTGACTTTAGTAGCAGGGGCCTGGATTATGTGTACAACACTGGCTTCACAATGATTGTGATGATAATGACCATTTGTGTTTCAGTCCCTTAATAAATGAATGACTAAATGGTCCAATACACATTTTCAAAGTTTTATCTGAACTTTGACCCCTCTGTGTGACCTTGACCTTGACCACAGGCACTTGAAATTTTCTAGTGACACTCAGCCTTACAATGATGAACATTTATTGAAATCCCTCTATGCATGTTGAAGTTTGGCTCCGAACAAGCGTTTTTCAATGACCTCTAAGTGTGACCTTGACCTTTCGCCTAGAGACATGGTTCATACGCATAACACTGCACCACATAATGGTAAATATTTCCATGAAGTTTCATTAGACTCTCTCCATATGTGTAAGAGATATGCTCTGGACAAAATCTCTGTATTTTATCATCTTTTGTGATCTTGACCTTTCATATTTTAACCTTAATTTCATTTTTCTCATCCTTAGTCATAATAATGACCATTTATGTTTCAATCACTCAATAAATGATGACAAAATGGTCCGAATACACATTTTCATATTTTATCTGAATTTTGACCCCTATGTGTGATCTTGAGCTTGACCGCAAGGACCTTGATTTTGCACGCGACATTCCATCTAACAATGGTGAACATTAGTGCCAAGTTATTTGAAATCCCTTTATGCATGTAGAAGTTTTCCTCCGGACAAGCGTTATACATTGACCTCTATGTGTGACCTGGACCTTTGACCTAGAGACCTGGTTAATGTGCGCCTAAAAGTTCTCAGAGTGAAACACATTTCTATTAAGATATGCTCCGGGGGGAACTATAATACGACCCGTTTTTTAAACAGGCGTATAAAAACTTTTTGTATAAATTTGTAAAATGAAAATGCTTATTCTTACCTTTTGTCTCGCAATTTCTCCTTTAACTACAGTTACATCTATGTTTCCAATGACAACACGGTCATGTTTAGGAAGCCCAGACAGTGATTGTGAAAATCCATTCCCATCTGTAGATAGATATATCCGAAATATAAAAATTACCTTGCTAAGATCATTTAAATGTGGTATGTTTAATTATAAACAAAATGAAACGACTTAATTTTTTCCCAAAAAATAAATTAGTTACAGATATTGTTTCCATATTTAAATGTAAAAGATGGACATAAAAGAAAAATAGTTATGACATTACAAGACGCATTTAACACTGTTGATCCTGATGTGCTCTTTGGTCGAGCACCCATTTGTGCCAAATCTGGACCATGGCTTCTGGAATTCCCTTTTCCGCCATCGTGCATGACCACATTAGGAATCCCGAATATTTTACATAGTGCGCTAGTGAACCCCTCAACATTTGTCGAGTTCATATCACAAAGATAAATGTCACGCATTGAACTGTCCTGATACTCCATCAATGCTCGCTTTAATGCATTCACAATACTTGAGGTTGAAATATCAACTGGAAACCTTAAATAAGGTAGAATAATTATTAACTAACAGAACTATACATAATTATACGAAAATACTTGTTTGCTCAAACATTTATTTTCATTTTAAGTTCAAAGTCCTTAAAACTATTCAATCATTACACAAGCAATTTTTATACAAAGTTCAAGGCACTGAGACTATTCAGTGTTAACCTTTTGTAAATGGCATATTTAATATTTTTGACCAAAATAATGACTACATACATTTCCAGAAAAGTATGAGTGCTGAAACTAATAATTCAAAATTTTTCCCACATTCAAGAGAGATAACTTTGTCCAGAATCATTGAACCATGACCAAACTAAAGTTTGAACTGCTTTTTCCTAAGATGTATCTATATGTCAAATTTGATTTGAATGTGTACAACCATTGGGGAGATAATGAACGGAAACTAAAAATGTCTGATCTTTTTCAAAGATAAACAGGGATAACTCTGTCAGCTATCATCAAACCATGACCAAATTCGAATTTGAACATTGTATTCTTATGACATATCTATCTGTTAAATTTGAGTTGAATATGTACAATTGTTGGGGAGATAATGAACGGAAACTGACAATTTCCTTTTTTTCAAACTTAAAAGGGCATAACTCTGTCAAAAATAATTGAACAATAACCAAATACAAACTTGACCTGCCCATTTTTTCGACAAATCCATATGCCAAATTTGAGTTGAATGTGCAATACCGTTGGGGAGATAATGAACGGAAACTGAAAATTTCATGTTATTTTCAAAGTGAATGTGGCATAACCCCGCCAAAAATTATCGACCCATAACCAAATTCAAACTTGACCTGCGCATTCCTTTGACGTATCCTTATGTCAAATTTTAGTTGAATAGTTTTTGGGCGATAATGAACGGAAACTAAAAAAAATATTATTATTATTATTGTCAAAGAGAAAGGGGCAAAAATCATTAGACCATGACCATATTCGAACTAGACCTGTATTTTCTTATGATATATCCATACGTCAAATTTGAGTTGAATGTGTGCAACCGTTTTTAAGATAATGAACGGAAAATGATGATGACGAAATGACAGAATGACGGAATGACAGAATGACGGACGGACAGAATGACGGTAGGACGGAATGACGGAACCAGGTAACACTTTTTAGGCAGGGGCATAAAAATCGTGCCGCTGTTTCTAAAGGTCATGCAAAGATTGTTATAGTTATTAGGTTAAAGCATACCTATTTACTCCGCAGCCTATAGCTGGTATTGCAATTGATCTTTTCTGTAAATTTACGGTCGTTTGTAAGCACTTAAAGACAGTTAATTCTAAACTTTTATCCATATCTTTTCCATTTTCCCATTGCTGGCTCATAATGTGTGCAATTTTTTCAGCTTTTAAATCACCCGCAGTGCTGATGAAAACATCGCCGTCATTTAGACTTCCATTTTTATTTATAAAGTCTTCGCATTCATAATTTATCATTTGTCCACCTACAATAAGGAATTTATTATTTAGAATAAAGTTTACAAACTTTCAAAATTACATGTGTAATGTTGTTAAGCATCGATTTCAGTATTACCTTCATATTCGTAAAAACATTTAATACGTACCCGTTTTAACAGAGTAAATTGTTGTACCTTTTGAGAAAATTGCCTTTCCAAGTCCACCTGATGATCCTAACTTTCTATCTGACGGGTTGACTAAAATATCGACATCGAGTTCCGTCATATCTCCTTGCCAAGCATAAATAGTCGTCCCATAAAAGGTTGTATGTGATCTAGTTCCAGGTTCTTTGTCTGTCATTTGTTTATACGCTACATCTCCTTCCACAACGATTACACATTCCAAGGAATGTTCAATTGTATGTATGCTATCTTTTCCTTTAGGGGATAGTATATGTTCTGCTATCCCAGGTTTAGTTACCGTATGGTTTTTATGCTTTACTCTTTGTAATAAGATCTGAATCTGTTTTGTTGAGTCCTGAACACCCTTCTGCAAACCTCGAATTTCAAGACCTCTGAACTGATCCATGTGTCTAATCTTTACATAATATTGTTGATACCTTCTTGCGATTTCTTCAATATCCTTTTACAATTTTTTTCCAAGAACCGGTTGAGTTCTCTTGCGTTTGAGATCGTTTCAGAGGTAATCGTGTTGGCCTCTAAGAAAGTCTGAATGTCTCCTTTTACTGATGAATGTATGTCAGCCAATGCACATATATGAATATTCGTTTGGTCATCTTCTAGTGATATTCTCACCTTTCCGGGATGCTTTTGATATATTTCTTCAAGTTTTTGTCTCCATTTATCCGTTTCTAAATCTGGAACCTCTTCTTTATTCGTTGCTATACGTTCATTAGAGATGATTGAACGAATGATATCTACGGCTTTTCTACTCGACGATGGTTTGCAACAGCACACACCAATCCCATCTGTGAAAGGTTCCAATATCGCCTGAATCGAGTTAGCTTCTAATTTTCTTTGCAATGCGTCACGAGTGCCATCTAATTGCAGTAACGTGAGAGCGACTTTAGGGATGTCATCTAGCTTTTGAATTTCAAATTTGCTCTTCCTATCATATATTGCTATTTGTGCGTTTTTTACACTACTTATCAAACCTTTAAGGTGTATTTCATTTTTCTCAGATATGATTTCAACCTTCAAGTCATTGAATTCATCCTCAAGTTCCTTCGAGAAATGTTGGAAAATCATCATCTTTGTCTCAATAGTCTCTAAATTGGAAAATATTTCTGTCACCCTTTGCTTTTCCCTTTCGACATCTTCTAATATCTTTTTTATCCCTTCTTCTATATCATGTTTAAGAGCGTCAGCTGCAGCTTTAGTTCCGACAATGAGAATATGATTTTGATCTTTTTTACTGACAATCGCTACATTTGATGGATCGGTTACATGTAAATTCATAAGATACTGCATCACTTTTGGTCTAACGTCTTGTAATACATCAATGCGGCGAACAACAATAGAATCAATCAGTTTCATAAATACAGTCTGTGCTGCCTTTCTCCATCCTTTTGCTATTCTGAAGCAGAATTTTTCATTTTGAGTGAGCGTACAATGTAATTGTACCTTCTGGTTGATTTTCGATGGCCATACTACCTTTGTGTACGTTTTTGTTAATTCTTCCTGAAAGGATTTGCTTATTTTGCTTGAACTGGAAACAAATGAAATCTTATCAAAATCTGCATCCTTGATTTCTATGAAATTTGGTAGGCGCCACTCCCTTTCCGTTTCCCCTTCTGGGCGTCCTAATGCAGGTTGAAAACGTTTAACTTCTAATTTCTGACCTCCAAGAGTGTGATGCATGCCAAGAATATCATCAATTACTGCAAAAATTAGTTCAAAGCATAATGTAAACTAGCACGCACACAAAGTATCAAGAAATCACAATTAAGACTTTTACTAATATTGATTTCTTATTTTCAATTCGAACACAGAAGAGACATATGTTGTGTTTATTATTTAAGTCAATTCTGTTCTGTAAGGTATTAAAGTCGAATTTAATTTTGCTGTAATTTGATCACAAAAGTACATATGTAGAAAAAATTGTGAGATGTTATGAATTTTACAAATCAAAAGCCTCCGTTTTCCTTAACATGTTTATTTGTATGATTCTCATTGCCGACAAATTATTGCTACATACTGTGTGATAATCATAAATATACTTATTCGTTAAAAGGATATTGTATAAAACATATTTAACATACCTTTGTAATCCTCAAAAAAGATCATACAAGTACGTTCATTATCGTCATCATTCATAACAATTTTGTCTACGTCTCCTCCTCCAGACTTCCTATTGTTTTCAAAATAGTATTGCAATGTGTCTTTTGTGACGGCCGGTGCGATATTGGTCACGACAATGCTATGTGAAATTTGGACCTTTGATACTTTAAGCCATGCTCCCTCTAACTGCCTTTCATTGCATGCCTTTTCAAGCTTCTCAAAATCTTTGAAAGAAACATTTTGGATTTTGATAAATAATATTCTGATTCAATTTAATATTATTATGCCCAGATAATAAAAATCAGTTTATTTACATGTATTTACATGCATATGTACAATTTTAAAGTTATCATATTTGATAAAATTTCATGTTTTTATTGTATTATTATGTAAACTGTTTTATCAATTGTAAGGATAAATAATTTAAGTGAAACTTTGCATTTAATAAACATCAAAACCAATGCTTGTGTAAAATCTTGCTATAATAAGTAATGAAATACTTGGTTTTTCCTTTAATGTCACCAGCACTGTACTATCATCTTCTTCATGGGGATCCATTCTAATTGGTTCCACATTTGCTGTGGCTTCAAGGAACAAGAACAGTGCATCTTTAGTACTTTTGAGCCCTTTAATAAGAATCTTGTCATCGTAACAAGGTGGTGGTTTGTAAAGAGTTACACGCACCGTACAATTTTGCACAGTATGCTGTTTTCCAGAAACATTGTTTGCATCTGTAATTATAAGATTTATTCATTACAACCTAACACAATCATATTTTTAATATTTTAGATAATTATATATTAAGCGATGGTTTCTTTTATAATAAACTAAATACACCGCTCCGTTTTAACTAGTTTCCCCTATTGATTTTACAACTTAATGATTTGACATCGAAAACTTCTATAATCGTTGGGGTTAAAATATGACTTTTGCATTCTATAACACGATATGGTGATACTTCATATGTGACTTTCCAAGATACCTTCAGAAAAAAGGCCCATATGACAGGGATCATTTTGATGTCATTTCCGTTTTCTTAAATAGTTTGCACTCGTTTAATATGTTGCATATTTTCATTTGGTTAGATGCTTGTTGCTGAAGAAGAAAGGAGTGTAATTTAGAATTTTACACAGGTATAATTTTATCTGATAAAAAGTAGTGAAAGTCGATTTAATCAGACAAAGCAATGCATTGGAACCTGACAATTAGGGTCGCATGTCACATATGATACAGAGACGTATAATTCAGACCATTATACAGGGAAGAATGCTGGGTAGACTGAAACAAAGTTGGATAAGACAGAGACGCGTTGAAATCAAGGGGTCACTTAAGCCGTCTTGACAAATAAGTAGAAGTAAAAGACAGTCGGTGAAATTCAAAAACTTTTGTCTTCAGCAAAAGACATGTAATCAAATAAAAATATGTAACAAAATGAATTGCAATCATCCATGAGCATCTATATATTAAACGAATGTGAACTATCTAAGGAATCGGATGTGACATGAAAAGGATCATCTTTCAGAATAAGGGAAGACATGTAATGCTTTCAGAGATGTGTTGGTTCATTAATGATATATTTTACAATTCAGTTAAAAAGAATATACAATATTATATTAAATCTTGTTAAGACAATGGTGAAACATATAGAAACAAGAAGCGCCGCAATGCGACGAAAACCAGGTTTTCAACGACCAAGTTTTGATGTGACAACAATCAATAGGTCAAAGTGCACTGAAGTTATTGAGTAGATACTGAAAATTCTATTGTAAGCAAATTACCTTGACCTTGTACCCAGATATCTAAGTGGCAATCCAAAGCTGCCACTCAGCAAGTTCAGTGTCAAAAGGTCAAAGCAAACTCAAGTTATAACATGAAAACTAAATGCATTAACCTTGATCACAGACACCTGGGTAGCAATCCCAAGCTGCCTCTTGATATAAGCTACCCATTCATCAAGTTTGGTGTCAATAGGGCAAAGCAATCTCAAGTTATTGAGCGGAAACTGAATTTCTATTTTTCGTAACAGTGACCTTGATCTTGATCACAGGCACCTGGGTAGCAATCCCAAGCTGCCTCTTGAGATAACCTATCCATACACCAAGTTTGGTGTCAATAGGCCAAAGCAATCTCAAGTTATTGAGGCAGAAACTGAATTTTCTATTTTTAGTAACAGTGACATTGACCTAGATCACAGACACCTGGGTACCAATCCCAAGCTGCCTCTTGAATAAAAGCTATCCATACACCAAGTTTGGTGTCAATAGGCCAAAGCAAACTCAAGTTATTGAGCGGAAAACTGAATTTCTATTTTTAGTAACAGTGACCTTGACCTAGATCACAGACACCTGGGTAGCAATCCCAAGCTGCCTCTTGATAATAAGCTATCCATACACCAAGTTTGGTGACAATAGGCCAAAGCAAACTCAAGTTATTGAGCGGAAACTGAATTTCTATTTATAGTAACAGTGACCTTGACCTTGATCACAGACACCTGGGTAGCAATCCCAAGCTGCCTCTTGATATAAGCTACCTACACACCAAGTTTGGTGTCAATAGGCCAAAGCAAACTTAAGTTATTGAGCGGAAACCAAAAGTTGACGCCCGCCCGCCCGCCGACTTCGGCATTACAATAACCCGGTTTTCGTTGAAAACCTGGTTAAAAACTATGTCGTGACCTTCGGGTGATTTAAATGTAATGAATACGACATTTTCATCTTCTTCACTGCAACGTGTGTCCACAATGGGTCCACCTCCAGATCGTCTTTTACTTTCAAAGTAGTATGTTAGTGTTTCGATTGAAACAGTTTTGTCTACACCTTTTACTTTCACAGTATCAATAGTTTGTGTCGGACATTCCTCGTCTTTAGTTGGCTTTGTTTTCAGTATAACTTCATACCCTTGTTTACTATGATCATGAGAAACAACTCTCTCTGCGACTACAATTTCAAGTTTTGTTATTATTCTAGTATTCACATTTTCATTATCACTTTAAATTATTTTAATAAACGGTAACTTATAATTCTTAAAAAAGGGTTTCGTAACAAAAAGATAATAACATTTTCTATTCAGTAGAATTTACACTTAACATTTTTAATCTATGCAAATAATTTACATTTATTAAGACCTAGTTTACAGATAAAATACCGTACATACCTTCTTTATTTTCAAATGTTATGTAAACTATATTTTTCTGAATATCAACATCATTGCTAACAATTTCTCCTCCGCTTGAACGCCTTTTATTTTTGAAATACATCAACACTTTTTCAAGATTACGTTCTATGTCGGTGACACCATGAATTTCTATTGTGCAAAGATTAACCTGTTCTTCTCTGTAGCGTTCAACAGATACAATGTTTTCTTTCATTTTCAAAGGAGCCTGTTTCATTATAAAGTCTACGGCTACAAGATAAAAAAACATACAGACAATTTTGAATGATTACTCTCAATCATATAGCTAATCATAAAATAGGTATTTTAAATAGAATTCAAAGTTATATAATGTTAGCATTAATATTTCAGCATACATTTGTAATAGTCGTCATCTGCTTCCATGTCTTCTTATCTTCGTTATTTGAAATGTTTACGTTCTGGTATAACCTAAGCAATGGAATGGAAATTATTTGCGACGTTAAGGCAAAGACTTAAAAGTTTAAAAGTCATATAAATGAATGTAAAAGTCAATCATCTACTTTGAACAAACATACTACATTCTTTCAATTACCTGTTTGGTCATGAAATTCTACAACAGCTGTAGATTTGTCAGTGTCTAGTTCAACATTTTCTACCACCATTTCATCAGCCCCAAAATCCTCAAAATATAATTCTAAATATTCTTTGTCGATTGACACAGGTAATTCTTTGATGAGTATCTTTCTGGTGCTTTCAGAAACCCTTGACTTTAAATCTTCTTTTGGCTTATTATATAACATTACTTCCAACACTGTTCCCTTCAACTCATGTTTAGGTCGATTTACAACCGAACAAGCGACTGAAAACAAATAAATTCAATACGACACTAACATGATTCCACGACAGTTAATATTAAATATCAAGTTCTTGAAAAGCATATGCTGTCATGCATTTTGTTATTACTTCTCTAAAATAATAACTTATTTACAAATATTTAATTTAAGTGTCAATTACCTTCCTCAGTTTCAAATTTAATGAGTGCAATATTTCTGTCTTTCTTAACCTCACAATGAACGATTTGTCCTCCTCCAGACCGTTTGGAGTTTTTGAAGTACATTCGTAATGCATCTATATGGTTTTCAATATTTGGAAGACCTTTAACTTGTATTGTACAATGTTTTTCTGGTTCATCTGTATATAGCGATACGCTGATGTAATGCCCATCGATACATATTGGTTGTCTTTGCAAAATGATTTGAGCGTCTACAAATTATATATTCTAACTGATAAAATAATTTATAAAAAGTACAGATATTTTCGAATTTTCTTTTGTAATTAGGTGTAATTTGTTATACAATATGTATAAATATGCTATATGAATAGTAAACATGTCAAACTGATAATTGAACTTTAATATGATTCTTCAATATATAACATAAATACATGTAACATATTCATAGAATTAATGCAGAAATTTTTTAAAAACTGATTAGAATTATTTGCATAGTTTTGTTAAATTGCATATCAGTTATAAAAATGTGTATGCTTTTACCAAAGTCAAGTGACCTTCTGCAATACATTCTTTCCCACCACATTATTTTAAAATATGTTCATTGTCATACTTATTCAGTTTTTCTATACCATTTGAATCATGAAACTCCAGTATGACCGTTGAATCATCATCACCAGGAATTTCGTCTGTAACGTGTAGGTTTTCAAACATGTCCTCTAGGTAAAGGACAAGGACATCTTTAATTGCTCCATCAACACCCGAGAATAGCAACTTATTAGACTTTTCGGGAGATGAAGTATCAGATTTGTATTCCATTAGGTTCACATCTATTGGTAACGATTTAAACTTGTGAGTATCCCATTCTGCTACACGTTTTGCAACTAAAAGAATATAAATCATTGTATTATGTAACATTTTTAAGTCAAATTCAAACTTAAAGAAAACCTGAAGCAGTCAAAACATTGACGTAAAATCAGATGTTGCACGTACTCACAGAGACTTAGGGGTCAGACCCAGCCCCTCCTCCAACCCCCGCTTGATAAATAAGACATAACATTTTAACAATGTGGCATTAGTCTCAATCATAAAAATTGTATATAACTATTTCCACACGAATAAAAATCCATGTAGTCCAAATAAAGTAATAAAAATTTATGGTTATTGGGATTTTTTAATAATGTGGAAATTGAGTTAAGACAAGTTTGTGACTTAGACAGGGATCAAACTGTTAAAAGGAACTGAAAATAACAAAGGCGGAACATTTCCGATGTTAGTGTCTGACCGTGTGTCTGTAAACATTCTCCTTCATGAACCCTTATACTGTCCTACGTATGATATCATAATCATCAGCATCATCACAACCAGAATAAGTAGTAGAAGTATGTTACATGACAAACGAAAAGAATATATTTATTTCTCATCGTAATATCTTGAGTGTAAATCAATTTCAAACAGGAAATATTATTTACCGAGCGTTTTCTTCTGTACCAAAGTGAATTTTATAATATATTCTTAATATAAAATAGATATATATGCATAAAAACATGAATATCCACAATGTACCTCTCTAAAGTGAATGTTTGCAAAATATTTTTTTAAATGTATCAAATGTATTTTATTGTGAATACACATTTTTAATTACCCTTGCTAGATTTAAATGTAACTTCGACCGAGCCAGGTTTTCGCACGCAGCAACCAATGGTATCTTCTCCCCCTGATCGTCTCTTGTTATTGAAATACATTTTGAGTGATTTGATGTTATCCTCTGTGAGTAAATCAGTTGGTCCGGTTACCACAACAGTGCACGATTCCTCTAGATTATCTTCTTCGATAGGTTCAATATATACAGTCTGTCCCTCAATATCAACTTGCTTCTTCTGTAGTATTCTTGCTACGTCTTGAAATAAACACAAAAAAGCTATTGCACATCAAAATTGTGTTTCTTCTACATTTGATACATGTACAGTTTAGTTTACAATATTGACATAATGCAATAAAAATTACACACTGAACTCTCTGGGATATTAAGTCCTTAAAGCTGCATGGCTCCCGATAAGCCAAAATATAATAAGTAAATCGGACTTGAGAAACATGTACTACGATTTTAAGAAAAAAAACTTTTATGTCTCTATATGTTTGTACTCACGGGAATAGTTTAGGCGAAATACTAAATGTTTAAAGTAAGTTTTTGATCTGTTAAATACCAAATATTGTAGATGTTAATGAATAATTACTATATGCTTTTCTGCGGACAGTATCATTACATTTTTATTAACTTATTATACTGATGCAAACAATTACAGACAGTTTTCAAAGCATTTGCCATATTCAAGCTTTTCCAGATGGAGGTCTGCGTTCCATAAACGGTGCATCTCATATGATGATCTTTGATTTCATATTTTACATGCTTGAAATCTTTTGCATTTCAAAATAAGGAAAATGCATTCTATATGTCAATGATTCAATTTCCTTATTATTTTTATGCACGGTATCTAGTTGCTCTGAAAACAACAAGAGCCTGTTGAATGTCCAAAGTTCAAACTGTAAAAATGAACAAAGAGCAATAACTTCAAAATAAGACAAGGGAGAGTTATGTTGTCGTTCTTTTGCACTGCATATCTACTCAATGAGATTTATCCACATACAAAGTCTCTTTTATATATATTTAAGAGTTATATCTCGGACAAAGTTCAAAGTGTAAAAATGAACAAAGGGTAATAGCTCTAAAATATGGTATCTTGAATAATACATTGTTCAATTAGGAAATATAAGACTTTCTCGAAGTACAATTTAACAGCAGCAACTTAAATGTAAATAATTTGAAATTAATACTAATACTTAATAAATTTCAATAAACGTGATGCTAATGACGTTGATGATTATGATAATAACCATCGGCTTCTGCAAAGTGTATGATTGCACTACTACTCTTAGGGTCTAGTTTAACATCGGCAACGCAGATATTCTCTCCAAATGTTTCAGCGTCCTCAAACACCATTTCCAGAGTTTGTTTGTCGATTTCATAGGGTACATTTGTAATGCGTATTGATTTTGGTTTCCTTTTTTCACTTTCCTCGTTTGCTCTTTTCCTGAGCAGGTCTTCATCTATCCGAACAACATTAAGTAAAGCGCCTTTGTATCTATGATCTTGTCGTGCAGATACAGCTTTTGCAACTGAAATAATAAAACAAATCGTCATCATTTGCTACATGAATAACAAGTTGAAAATTTATAATACATGTACTATATTGGTCCATTAACTATAAAATATATAGATATACTTCAGCATGATTGAACAACACATGTATTTCAAAATGCAGATATACCTTCTGCTGATTCAAACGTTATCAGGATTGTTTCTGTATCTGCCACTAATTTGAATTCCAATATTTTCCCTCCATCAGAACGACCATTATTGCCAAAGTACATACGAATAGTCCGTGCGGTCTTTTCTGTAATAACTCCTTTATTGGATGTAACCTCTATTGTTTTAGGGTCACCTTGAAGTAATGGTTGTGATTCTATGAGTTCTACATAAACACTCTGACCGTCCACGTCTAAAGGCTGCTTCTTCATTAACAGATCATACACTGAAATAATGATTACGTTTAAAAAAAATTCCTTATTAGTAACTTATGGAAAATAAGGCGTCATAAATTATCCTTAGTGGATAAAGCAACTTATATGCGTTTGCTACTTTCATATTTCCCAAAAATGTAGGAGTTTAATTATATGTCAAAATAAAAAGAACAGATAAATACTAACTGCAATATTAATTCTATAAGGATAAAATGTCAATGACTACATACCTTCTTTATTTTGAAACTCTATTATTGCTTCAGTGCCGTTTCCACATAATTCTATTGATTCAAATGCAACATCATTTCCTAATTCTTGCTCCAAATACAGCTCTAAATATTCCCTATCACTATCCTCCGGTAAATTTGAAAATTTAGCCTTGACAGTTGGTTTCTTGAACTGCTGATCTTTTTCAGATGTGTACTGTGATGTGTTCGGTTCAAGGAAAGTACCTAGAAAATGGAAATATATTCAGCAACTTAGTGTTTAACTATAGTTAAACAAATTAAATGATGTAATTAAATGCTATAATTAGTTTTAAAGTTTTAGGATACATTAAATACTATTACCATTGTGGAATTTATATAATGAATTTAATGATCCTTGTTGAAAATGTAATAATATTATGATCTACATATAGTATGTAAAAAGAGCGTTTTATTCCTTTTGATTATACAGTTATCTAAATGTAATTATCTACTTTTAATCAGCTAAAAAAAGTAAAATTTGGTTTCAAAAATGGCAATGACAGTCAATTAAAGAAAGATCAAAATGTAAAACAAAACTTAAAGTTACATTAAATAAATTTCATAAAAACAGAAATAGCGACATTTCATTAATAAATTGGGTTTCATATCGACTCCAGATCTTATTTTGGTGTCCAGACAACCAAAATGAGTTTTATGAGCATACAAATGTGCAACCTCATTGTCGCGAATTCGGAAGTACAATTTATGTTTGCATGCAAAACTCCGCCTTCAGATCATCCGTACATCAGTTTTACATCAACACACATGGCTATAAGTAGCAGTTCTAATTTAACGGTTTATTTTCGCATTGTAACGGATGCTTTCATATAAATTTAATCTTTGTTTATGGTATGATTATTTTTTATCTGAACGCCAGGCCTAGTGCATCGTGAAGCTAACACAATTAAAATGTGTTTGCGCTAGAAAATCTCATATTTGCGTTCCTTATATCAACTATAGCATGACGTGGCGTAACGCATACACGAGCTGATTAAAGTCTTCAATTGCATGTTACAATTCGTATACGAACTTTAGTGTTACCGTGGGGTTTTCCATTTTAAATCCTAATTTATGAATAATATTTGATGAGATTTACAACAATACTGTTACAAAGGTTAATGAATCTGTAGAATGCTTGGTTTTTAGGCCGACGGCAAAAATATTTTTACATATTTATTTAATGTAGCTTTAAGTCTTCTAAAATATAAGACACTGATTTTCATTAATTTCTGATCTACAGCACTTTTTGGGTCTATTGAACCAGCAACTAATAATAAATTGATCAATAGTACTATGTTTGAAACCAAATGGTCAATTTGGAAATATCGTAACAATTGTATGCACAATTATTCACATCAACCAATACCTAGTTTGGTAAGAAAATTGTTCAATGATATAAAGTACCAATTTGAATACAAATGTAGAAATAAGACGATACTGTGACAGAATTTTAGCAATATGTATAATTTGTATGAATATTATCTTTAATGTAAGGGACGCAACCTTGTCAATTTTCGTTTTTCGGACAAGCAGATGATACCTTTGAGAATTCTTATATTTATCACATTACCTTTAATGTTTCAAAGTTTGCCTTTAATTCACATTATGCAATCAAGTTATTTTTTGCTGTGAAGTATAACATCAATATACTGTATTTCGTGAGTAACAGTGTCTCTGTTTTATTGAGCATTTGATTTTAAAAACTTTGTATTAACATTTTGTATTGTATAAACGCAGTTTAAGCTTAAGAATTCTTTGAAAATATTAAAATTAACTTTATTTCATTAATGTTATTTTGTCAGAATCAAATATTAATGTATTTATGTATCATTGTAAGGCTGATAGAAGGAAGCTCCTTGACACCTACCATGCCAATGACGGGAGAAATAAATGGAATTACCCCTAAACTGGCGCCCGAAAAAAATCGATAATTATTATAGTTTTTAATTACTTTGAATTGCATTTCTTCATCTGTCAATTATACAGAGATATACAAAATAATTTCCATGATGGTAATTTGTTTATTAAGAGAAAAATACATCTAGGTTTACATGATACGTAACTGACTCACATGTTTTTCATTGAGAAGTTAAAAAAAACATCATCATACCGTGTTGGGTATTGTTACCAAGTCCCCTGTTACTCCTAGCAACCTGAAAGTAAGTACAAAAATCATATTTTCTTACACTGTTGAAAGACAGATTACTTCAAATTTGTTCATACATGTACGAGTATTTCCGCGTAGAATGACTGTATGATGGATAACCAAAAGTACTGTCAAAATGTTTATCATTGTTAAAACTCTTTTTTAGTTTGATAAAGAATACTTTGAAATAAGAAGTATCAAAATTTAAAAATTAAGCCTTGAAGTAGATTGGTAAATTGTGAATATAACTGTAAAGAATATATGTAAGTAAGATAAGTTAAATGAGGGTTTTTGTTTTTGTTTTGAAATGAAATGCTTTGTTTATGAATACTGAATTACATCACTGTTGACCCAAGCTTCGGGTATATCGGACTCGTTGCATCTGTGGAAAGTAACTGTATAATATTCATCATCTGTATCGATCTGATCCTCTTGTATTTCATCGCAAAGGTCAGAAACGCCTGAAAGGAAATAAACAGCGTCTTTGTTGATAGAAAAACTGTTAAAGAAAGATAATAATTTCAACAAGATTGCATTTGTTAAAAATGCTATGCCACCGCATTAATACAACACTGAATAGTAGTGTAGAAACAGATGTTTTTTGCTTCTATACAACTGAAGATTGCTATAATGCATAGATCCCTGACCAATCTATATTTATTATGAGATAAGTGGTTTAATCTATTGTTATTCAAATAAAAGATCAGAGTAGGAATCTATCAATGCATTGAGTCTAGGTCATATTTCACATGGCCTAAATTTCATGACTGTACATCAAAGGACAACACAGTAAGACACTTTGTCAAAATTTACGTATGTTGAGTTCACTTTACATCTTAATCTGTGTACATGGTTCAAATTTCATAGCTGTACATCAAAGGACAAGAAAGTAGGTCTCTGTCCCCTTGGGCAAGGCAAAATTTTGACCCAAGTGTTTAATTCAAACAGTCTTCATACAGGTCCAGCAAACAACGTTTCATCTGTACCTTCCTTAATTCAGAAAACATTTGTTTAATGGAAATCAATGCCCCCGAATACCAAGGGCAAAATTTAAAGAACTTTGGAAGAGGACCTATAGATGATGACCTCGCAAAGTCTTCGCAAATATCTAACCTATAACCTTTGTTAATTCAGAGAAGAAAATTTTAAGTTTTTACTGTATACATATAAGGAAAACTATCGCCTCTATAGCAGGGCAATTTTAACACTAGAGGCATAATTTGAACAACTTTCGTAGAAGACCCATTGATAATATTATATACCAATTGACAAGCAGATTTTTTAATTTTTACTATATGTACATAGTAAAATTCAATGACCCCAGGGCGGGGCCAATTCTAACCCAAGAGCTATAAGTTAACTACACAATGTTTCATGCAAAATTGTTAACCTCAAGCCTTTGTCAAGTTTTTACTGTATACATATGAGGAAAACCTATGACCCCCGGGCGGGTCTAATTTTATCACTAGAGGAAAAAATTGAACAACTTTGGTAGAGTAGCTATAGATAACATCATATACCAAATATCAAAGCTCTAAGTATTGTACCTTCAGACAATAAGACTTTTTTTTCATTATGTACATAGTGAAAATCAATGACCCCCGAGGCGGGCCAATTTTGACCCCAGGGCTATGATTTGAACAATCTTGCTAGAGGTTCACTACACAATGCTTCATGCAAAATATGTAACCTCTAGCATTTGTCAATTTAGAGAAGATGATTTTTTAAGTAAATAAGGAAAACCTATGACCCCCGGGGCGGGGCATATTTTGACACTAGCGGCAAAATTTGAACATCTGTGGTAGAGTACCTATAGCTGATATCATATAACAAATATCAAAGCTATTAAGCTTAAACCTTCAGACAAGAATGTAATTTACGTTTTTTACCATATGTACATATAGTGAAAATCAATGACCCCCGGGGCGGGCCCAATTTTGACCCTAGGGCTATAATTTGAAAATGATGATAACTTGCTAGAGGTCTACCAGACAATTCCTTATGCAAAATATCTATGTGCTAGGCCATGTGGGTCTTTACAAGAAGATTTTTTTTAATTTAGTTTACAATTCCTTTTGGTTGCCATGACAACCAGATTTCTGCATGGAATGATGCGGTTGCATAAAAACACACCAAACAAAAACAACTAAAAAAGTCTTTCTTCATAAGACTTTGTTTAAATACAGTTAAGTATTTGACCTTATTTTGTAGGATGAATCGGTTTAATCAAACGGTGCATGACATAAAGGAGTCTATTTGCTGAAGCAAGCAAGTTTACAAGATAGATAGGGTCACGCCTTTCATCTCAAATATCGTTATTGTTACTGTATATAAATTTACTTGTAGATATGATCATACTTGGATGCACAACATATAATGTATTATATAAACCATCATTCCGGTCTTGTTTAGCTTGTGTGCTAGTAGACATATAATAATAATAAAGCTATATAAATATTACATTTGTTATCTTACACTTTGTCAAAATGGTGATGTTGTATTTAAGATCGGCTGCACTCATTTACACACTTTTGCACACAAATTATGTTTTAAGTTTTTTGGTAAAATTGTCCTTCTTTTGTTATATTCGTGTGTAATATTCAGCGTAATTTCACATAATCATTATGTTATGCATATATTGTGGTATGTTTAAATTATACTGATTAAAAGATATCAAAAAGGTAATCTGCAGAATGGTAAAGGTTAAAGCTATTGATATCAAAGTAACCAGAGTCCATTCATACACTCTATATATTTATCAGACGAGGCTCTCCAATTAGCTAAGATATTATTGGTACTTTACTCAGGTGTCAGCTTATGTAATTAGCCATATGACATAAACCGTGTCAGTATAGTGTCAACCTTAGTAATATAAATAACAAAAAAAAAAGATATAATAAAAAATTCGTTTATCGGTTCATGTTTAAAAATATGTTTTATGTTCTAATGTCATGTCTGAACTCTTAGGCCTATACATAAATAGATAAAGACATAATAATGCGTTTATTAATTCGCAATTAATGCGTTAAATAAACCGATACTATAACTTCTGACATGAATAGATTGATAAAAGGATGATCTAAATAATACTTGACCGTATTGATTTAAATTAATAGAAATATACAATCATTGATAAAATCTACACATTGACATTCAATTTTAAGGCACATTATTTTACAGAAACGAGTAAACATTCATTTGTTTAAAAAGTGCAAAATTAATTTTGTAATGATTTTATAATGGTTTAAATGCATGCTCAATGCTTGTTAACTCAAAAAGGTAGCGCTAAATGTATATGCTAGCCAATATAAAGTTTAAAAATGACGAATATTTGGAACCGATTCATAAACGCTCTGCTGATCACTTTGCCGTGCACAGACTACATTAGACAATCGTTATAAAGCGGTTCAGACCTGAGGCAGGTTTGTTGAAAGGATGAAAGTAAGGAATGTTTGCGATAGAAATGGAATCCTGAAAGCTTAAGAAATATGATGTCGTTATAATAGCTATTGAAAACACTCTGGCTCGGTTCAGTTAAAACTAAAACATATGGGTCAAATACAGTGGCATACAACCAAGCTGCCTAATCTCTTCCTTATCAGTTTTAGGTCATTAAAGATGAATTTGTGAAACAAGTCAGCAATGTTGCTAATAAAAAGAATGTAATATATTCACTTTTATCAACTTGGAGAAGACATTTAATAAGATTGTAGAGAACAAAGAAGGTTGCTTTAACCAGGTCAACAAAAAATTGGTCTTTCAAGCAATTAAATATTACCGTCCTTTGCTAAAATTGGTACATTGTTAAATATCTAAATACTTTTTCACTGGTCTGACTTTTGTCTCCTTAAAAATTTCGATTTCCGTATGGTATAACATAAACTCAAGTAACTATAAATGCCTGTAAAACATTTATGACCATCTAATGAAAACCCGTAAGTCATGTTACACCGATTTCGTGGACTTATTTTTTTTAAAGGTCTGATATAATAGTCATCGTGATCTTTGATGCACCAGGGACGACGAGTACATGTAAAACGTTCATTTACACTTAATACTTAAGTGCTAAATTTAACATATTTTATTAGTTTTATTAGAGACACGATATCTTAACGTCGGCGTGACTTTGACGTTGGATAATCTTACCCTAGGGACCATGTTCTCTTCACGGGCAACCCCAACACTAAAACTTAGAATTATAGGTAAAATGTTCTCTGGTTATTGATAGGACAGGCACTGACCTTTAATTTACTGACAATAAAATCAATAGTTATTGCCACGGCTAACTTTCACATAAAATCTAAAAGTTGAGACTAAAGCGTTCTCTAATCGTTTGTCGGACAAGCATTTAGTTGCAAAGGCATCGTTAAACGTAAGCAGGACTGAAGTCCAAAGTCTTATCTAGTTTTTAGCTGAACAAGGTGCGCTCCTCGGACCGTCAGGAGCTGTGCAAAATAATATATTTCACTTCCTTGAAAGCTGCCTGAATAAAAATATGTAGAGAAAATCAAGCCTTACATCAGCTGTGTTCGGGATGTATTTAACGCTTTTCAAAAGTATCCAGAAAGCATTACCTTTTTCTGAAAAAAAAAACAAAATCGTCTTAAAAAGCCAGAGTGTTAGAGCTTAGATATTATGCATGAAACATCTTCTAATGGGTTTCTACCTAGCTTGTTCAAATTTTTAAAAAATCAAAGCTTTAGGGTCAACATTGGCCCCGCCCAAGGGGTCATTGAATTTCCTTATATGTATATAGTAAAAATAAAATAAATTCTATTTATACAAACTCAAAGAGGCTTAAGCTTAGATATCTGGTATGAAACATTGTCTAGTGGACCTCTGCCAATTTTTTCCAAATTATAGCCCTGGGATAAAGATTAGCTCCACCCCAATGTCGCTTAGTTTACATAGACTTTTAAAGGAAAATACATTTATTATATAAGACATCTTCTTTCTTTAAACTTTAATGTCCAGATGATAAGATTTTTATATATACATAGTAACAACTTTATCTCTAAACCTACAAAAGCTAAAGCTTATTTTTTACATGAAACATTGTTTGGTAGACCTCTACTATGTTTGTTAAAATTATAGCCAAGGGGGGAAATTGATTTTCCTTATAAGTATTTAGTAAAAAACAAAAAAAACTTATTTTATTATACTATAAAGTCTTAAGCTTAGTAAGATATATGATATGAAACATTGTGTGGTAGACCTCAAATAATGTTCAAATTTCAGCCATAGGGCCTCGCCCCGAGGGATCATTGATGTTCCTTCTGTGTATACTATTAAAACAAACAAAAATTTTTCTGCTATCATACTATAGAGGCTTTATCTTAGATATTTCGTATGAAACATTTTCTGGTGGACCTCTACAAAATAAATCAAATAAACTCTAAGGTCAAAATTGGCCCCGCCCCGGGGAACATATATTTTCCGTATATGTTTATAGTAAAAACTT